TGAAGTGTCTAGTCTGTCTTTTCTTTTCTTTTCATAGGAACGCTACATGGTCTTATGCGCAGTCACACTGTGAACACTAGCCATCCATCGGCCCTTACCAGTATTGTACCAATTAACCCTCCATTGACCAGTGCCAGTATAATACCTTTTGTCCTCATACTTAATCACCGATCATGACTAGTGATTCAGCAAGCTTTTACCGTCGCTGCTAGGCATCTTCCGCGCTATCAATATAACATCCAATCTCCTTCTTTCAGTTCGTTGTGATCCAATTGTCGAACTATCATGCTGGATACACAAAGAAGATCCATATATGGGTACCACATGGCTTATGGAGAAAATCCTCATGGAGCGAATTTCCATTTGCGAATCATTGCTGAATCGGAAAAAACTCAACACGGATTTCAAGGGTATGGTAACTAGTGATGAAAAGTGAATCACATGCAGCATTTGCAACCGGAAAGGGTTGGCAAGCATTCACCTACTATGAGCTCCTCCCTTAGGGATAAACTCTTAATTCGGATCTATAATGTCAGAAGCTGGGCCGTCTAAAAGAAGAAATCGCCCAGAAGCGACCAGCTTTTGAAAACAGAAGGGACAAGATCAGACTGCGCACATCGATAGAGAGCTGCTAGAGCTTCATTGGCTGGTGAGGTATTTGCCTCAAGATAAGAAGCCTGTGAAAATCGATAGTCCCGATATTTAGGTATTAGGGATAAGGGTTTGTATGAGAGGCACATAATGGCATTGCTATAAAAATGGCTAAAAGTTATCGAGCATATGGAGGATATTTCACATAAATAGGACAATTTTAACAATAATAAATACAGCCTTCAATTTAATGCAAAAAATAGTGGACTACTTTTTACTAAACCTAAGCCAGCCTAGACAAACTCTCTCTCTATTATTTTATGTTTAGTATAAAGAAATTAATTATTTTTGCATGAAATTGAATTTTTACTTTTCATATCCAGCCTTGTTCAACTGGTTGCAAACGATTTTTATGAAATCTTTAGATCTTGGGTAATTTCTATAACTGGCCTTCCACTCCGTGAAGCAGCTTTCACATAAAAATTCCCGGAATAAAACCGAAATTGTGAATGATTGACTGTAACAGTATAAGGACCATAAACCCCATTCACATTTTCAGGCTCCTGGCTTGCGTTTTCGCCCATATCGAAGAAAACCTGTAAAATATATCGTGTCCATTGTTGACGAACGCTCAAACAAAACTGAATTCAACCAATCATAAAACAGTCAGACGCCGTCTCTAACGCCGTCTAGCGGAACCCGATCGGACTTATATAACGCGAGATACAGATGAATGACGCCATCTATTAAAAAAAGAATAATGGACTTCTTTTTACTACACAAACGAAACAAATCAAACTTTATATAACGTTTTTATTGCGCAAAAGTTGAAGAAATTAGATAGTCACATTTAATTGTCCGCAGGAGAGTGAGATTACGTAAAGTGTAAACGGTTGACTTCATTAAAATAAATTGGCATGCAGCTTCCACGCATTGTTCTTTCTTAATGTTCACTAACTACATACATACACGCACATGTGTAATTCATGGCTCGTGTTAATCCTTATTATAATTAATAGCAATGTACGGGAAAGAATCAATTTAATTATGTAGTAAACTGACGATAATTAGAAATTACGTGCACCCACGACATTTTACCACATCTGTATGCCTGTGTGGATGTCCTGTCAAGTTAAAATCTAGTGTTTTAAGTAAACACAATTACTCAGAGCTTTTAACAGAGACATGTCTTATAAGAAGTGTCTTTTTATAGAAACTACGCAGATTTCTTTAGCAGAGACATGTCTTCTGAGACACCAACGGTCACAGTCTGTTAAATTAGATATCAGTCTCATCTCGTAAACATGTGCAAAATAATTACTAGTTCGATTTGAAACCCAAGCAAGAGAGCAGAGCTGTCTTTATACTTTTCATGACAATATCAAATTTATGATATTTCCTTTTAAGATTAAAAATTAATTTTCAGATTTGGAAAATTGATTGGAGAGGCTTGATTTTCGGTGTCGATGTTTACCTATATATACAAGTCAAAATCTCACAACTGAACAAATATGTTGTATGGCGTCTGTATGTCATAGTAGTCCGATGTAAGAAAGGTTTAAAGTTAAATAAAACAAGAGAGTTTACATATTTATAATAAAAGTTTTTAGTTACTATTTATTATTTTTTAAACTGAAGCCGATTCGGTACTTCTCTGACCAATGGGATTTCAGTCGAGAATAATTCGTAGTAAACTAAAACTATTTGGGCGATGCCACCGTACCACAAAACATGTTAGGAATGATGAGCTACTTGAAGTTTAGTCTTTGTTTTCCGAGAAGGAACTTTACTTTTCAATTACCTAGCTGTTTGAAAGAGTGAATCTGCTTTGGATTTCAAGGTTGACACTGTTTTTGGTGTTAATGGTGGTTCCAAGATAGACGAAATTATCCACGACTTCAAAATTAAGACATGGGGCCTTATAAGTGATATAAGGATTGGGCAGATCATTCTAACCATAACGGGCAGTGAAGCAATGTTCCATCGTCATCGGTTGAGGAATCGGGTCGCCAAGTTAATGTTATTTTTTTAAAAAGAAATAAAAAAATACTCTTAAGGGGCACACCTAGTGTGAAATTTCAAAAAACCTTGGAAAATAACATATTAAAATTTGAAATCGATATCTCAAATAGTTTTTGAGTTATATCAATTTAAAGAGCAGCCGCTCGGCAGCTGGAGAGTCTCGTTAGCTATGAGTGAAAACGATCATTTTATCTTTAATCGCGTTTTTCTCGAAACAGCATTTTCCGAACTTGCTGCAGTGATTGCTCAAAAACAAATGATGCGATCACTTTCGAATTTTTTCTATATGTCTTATATATATAGTTCTCCGTACAATAACCTATCGATTTTTGAACTGATCAAAAAAACCAAGTTTTGGCAGGCCAAAAACGACCAAAATTTTGGGTAAAATTAAACTATTTTTTTAAACGCCGCCAATTTTTAATTTTTTTTTGTCGAAGGTCAGTGTACAGACAATATTATCCAGTTTAGCGAGAATTTTTTTTTTATATTTCATCCACGGAGAAGGCCGGAATCACTGAAGCAGTGAAGGACCTTTTTCGCGCCGTGGGAGATCGACTATAACTTAAAAAAATATTTAATTTTTTTCTTCAAAAATTTCACTGTATATTCTTGAAACAAGTGTAAATATATTCTTAAAATTTTGAAATAATTGATAAAGTATTTTTTTTTAATAAAAAATTCTCAAAAATTACCCTTCTTTTAGGCCATTACACTAGGTGTGCCCCTTAAGAACTTAAAAAATACTAATGTGTTTTGAATGCACAAATTGAATTATTTACTTTCTACACTATTAATAATTTATTTCATATTCTCCCATGTACCGGGATATCTGCATAAATTAATTATGAACTACAAATTCATGTTTACTTAGATACCAAAAATAAATTATATATGTTTGCGCGGCAAATAAACAAGTAAATTTTGGTTGGACATAATAAATTGTAAGCATCCTACTGCAGATTTGCACATGTGTTTATACATTTACATATATATTTGTTTTTCATACTTATGTACATTTATTTAGAGACCAAACGCACCTTACCGGCTTATTACGGTTTATTTAGTGCGAGTGGCGAATGTCGGTGAAATCAAATTTAGTGGTTTTTGTTTAGTTGACGGTTTTCGGTCGAATGCAATTACATTTCCACCATTTTTTCAATGGTAATGAATCAGCATGATACATTTGATTATGTATGTATGGACATTTTTCAGATTTAGTAATGTTGTTGTTCGATTATTTACGAATAGTGCAACAGATAATCTTATTTATTTTTCAAATATCACTGAAATAGGTTTGAGCAACAATTTTAGTTTTGTATTGAAGCAAATTTTACTTTTTCTATACTTTTCACCAATTTACCCTTCTCTTTTACATCGTTGTATTTTAAAATTATTAACAAATTTAGAAAGAGTTAACATTAATTGATTTTGGATTTTGTTGATAACAAATTTTATTTAGTAATATTATATATATAATTTTACTAGTCTACATGTTTGATCAGCACTTCAATCGCACATAACTATAAAATCTCTTTTGGTCTCCGTTTGTTCGATCAATCGATAAAATATTCGATTAATTAGTGGCATTCTATAACTAAATAAAAATCATTATTTACAAACTGCAAGACTGGAATAAAAAAATTAATTGAACTACATATTTAGACCATTGAAATGGCCTTCTTATAAAAACCTAAAATAAATAAATAAAAATTAAGTACACAAATCCATCTGGATGGAGCACAAAGTGATTTATTTTAGTTTGCCTTAAGTGTTACGGCGTGTACTTGACATTGCAAGAATACAATGACTAGACCGTGAACACGTGAATATATGATAACAAGCATACAAAATGGCATACAAAACTATTTACATACAATACATATTCAAAAGTACGAACTCAAACAACAAATGAAACCGTAATTTCATGCCAAAACTGTATACAATGTGTAAAGTAAATTAAGTAGCAGCACCGTAAAAATAATCGTATGTGTGTTTGTGTGTAGCCAAAACATATTGGATGCTGAGTGTGGCTTGAGTGCGACAGAAGTGGGTGCTTAAGTTTCGAATTTCAATCCAAGCGGTATTGAATTGCAAAGTTTATATGAAGTACTGTAGAGAGACAGGTTGACTTGTTTCTTTTTTTTATAATATTTTTTAACATTTTTATTGTTGTTACATTTATTTTTTCCACAAATCACTTCAACTAACATTTTTGAAGAATTCTACCATTTTTATATAAGTTTTTCGTGTTTTCAATCGATGTATTTTTCTTTTTTAAATTTTTTATTATAATATAATTTTTAATAAATTTTTGAAAGTCATATTTTGGTATAAAAAGCTTTGAGCTTGTTAGTAAAGACATCATTAGCAATTTGTTGATTGTGGCATTAAGTTCAAAAAATATTAAAAGTACCAATTAAATCAAAAACAAATTGTGTGTGGAGCAATAAAAACAAGCGAGAAAAATGGTGTGTAAAGTTTATATTGAAAATGAAAAGTGTTGAAATGATGAATTCAGTACATAAAATGAATATAATAAAATAAGTATAAAAATAAAAATTGAAAATAAAAACTACATAACCAAATTACATAAGTGTATAAAGTATATAGTCTAAAACTATAAAATACAAATTGTCGACAAATATAAAAAAATATAAAAAGTAATATTAGTTAATCATACCCTCTGGATGGTGTATCGAAGTTTGCTGACGTCAAGATCGTGGATTCAATGAGGTCCATTAGAGAATCAAAATGGATGGATAATGAAACCTGATGGTCAAGTTATTGTGACTTCACAATGTGTCTCATTCAGGCCTAAGTGAATCCGACTCGAAAGACCGCTACCCACTACCATCTAACCTCCCCTAAACAATTCTTGAAGCCAAAACTGTGCAAGCAAAATATTTTTAACTTTTTTTTAACAAAGAAAAATTTCAAATATTGAAAGAAATAAAATTCACATACAAAAACAATTTACTTTATATTTCTTCTATTCTCTCTCTTTACATTCTCTTTCATTCACCGCACCACCAATAGAAATTCACTTTGGTTCCTTGTCTTCTGCTGGCTACAGCCACCGCCATTGCTACAGCCATACCACATCAACGTCTGCAACGTGACGTCTCCGAGTTGGTGCCATCATCCAATCAACCTGCCTATAACTATTTACCACCAGAACCAAAATTCGTCGCACCTGAAGACACTGAAATCACAACTGAAACTGTTATTGCTGACACTGAAGCACCTGTTGCTGATACTGTTGATGCTGGTGAAGCTGTCGCTGCCGCCGAGCCTGAAGCAATGCCAGAAAGCGGCGCACTCGGTGCTGATGGTTATGAATACCGTACTGTACGCCGTCTCAAGTATCGTCAACGCGTACGCCGTGACGTTTCACATTTGTCAACAAAATATTTGCCACCCAGCCAATCTTACCTGCCACCCAGCGGCGCTTCTGACGATTCGGAAGTAGTGAGTGCAGCACAACCTAAAGTAGCACCAGTCTATTTGCCACCCGCCCAAGAGGAGGTGAGTTCTGAAGCACCAATAATTGTGGAAGATGTTGAAACTGAAGCACCAGCGGTAGAGGAAGAAGGTGAACAACCGGAATTGCGTACGCAAGAGGGTGAAGAGGAAGTGCCACAAAATAGCGCTCTCTTGATGGATGATGGTTATCATTACAAACAACCCGCTGAGGAGATGGCTTTACCCAAGGCTGCTGAGATTGAGTATTTGCCTCCTCTAGAGCAAGGTCAAACGGAGGCTGAGGGACCTGAGGAATCCGCTGTGCTAGCCAAGGATGGTTACCATTACCGTGCCATAAAACGTTTGAGATTGTGAATGTAATTCCTTACTTATATATATGTAACTATATATGTGAAAAAAATGCAAAATGTATTATTTGTTCGTCACTTACATTAAATAATTGGTTATACATACTTATGTTAAATACATAACTTAAATATATTAAAAAAAAAGTTATTTTAACTGTTTTTAATTTTTTCTTTTTATTTTTTCTATTTAGAGATGCAGGGGCAACTAAGCCAAGATAGGTCTTAAAAATTATACTCAGCCAGGCAAACCAACTAGCTCCTTCCTGTTTTTATTGAGCATGCTCCATTCTTTTTACTCCGGTAACAAGAGATTTGCAAAATCCGGTGAAACAGCAAGCGTTCGTTTCCTGGTGAGGAGACTCAGCCAATCGGTTTACACCTCCATACGAGGAACCGAAGCTTGCATGAAAGATCAAAACCAGTTCTCCGATCGCCATATTCGGTGGAAATATTTCTAGAGCAGTTAATTGCGTCTGGTTTCTGGTGCGTAATTCCAATTAACCGGGATTTCCGTTCTCGTAACGCTGTACTCTACCTCGTTTTACCCTTACATTGAGCGATAGGCTGCAACTTACAACAAATGGGCCAATCACAATACTTTCTATAAAACATAATTTAAGAGTCCCAATGCAAAGCCCTGTCCGAAGAGCTGAAAACACAATATGTATCTCGCGATGGGCTTGATGTACCCAAAATCACCGCGAGAAGCCACAGACTTACTTAAAAGACAGACGCCTTGCTCTCCCCGAGCCCTAGGTATGCAATCAGATTTTTCGAAATCGACGTGACCTTTGAAAACTGCCTACCCTTTTTTAACCGCCCAATACTATCGATATACATCAATGACTTATGGAGATTTTGGTAATTCCTGCCAAGATTCAAACTCAAATTTTGGTCTGACATGGGCTTGAACTCATGAATGGCATCCTCCACTAACAATTCACCCGCATCTTTTCTGCCTTTTCTGCGAGAATTTTACTCTCGGCTGATGTTTATATATATCTGGCAGCCTCTGCCGAGATCCGGATACATCACTTTGTCTAACCAGGGTTTGAGTCCTTAACTGGCTAGCTGATATACTAACCATCTACCAACAGCGGTCGCCAACTAATAGGGATTTTAGGTTCTTTATATATTTTTCCCAAACCGTTAAGTGAGTCCTGACCTCAGTTGTAAAGTCGCTCATTGCCTTCCGTTACCGCCATTTTGAGAAGATTCTTATTGTGTCTTTATAAATTTTCCAATTTATTTCATCTCACATGTAATTACTAGCAATTCGAGCGAATTCCTCAGCGAGTAAAAATAAAAAATGACTAAATTGCCAATAAATGCCTGAGCGCCATCAATACTGAATGTGAAACATTTTCAGACAACTATAAATTTCAATAAAATCCAAAAGGTAAAAGTGAATTACGCGGCGCCTGAGAAATGTAATTACACTTAATTATTGGAAAATTAGCCATTAACACGTACACACACAAACACACATATATATTGTATGTACGTATAACACACATTCATGCATACACACTTGCTGCGCGCAACAGCAAGTTCATCTTTAACGGTAAGAGAACTTGGAATGTCCTTGCCTGTTGTCACTAAAACGCAAACAAAAGAAAACAGAAACAATGGGAAGGTAAGAAAAAAAAAAAAGAGATAAAACGCCAAATGGCGGTACGCGCAAACAGCAAATTGTTGCATTTAATTGGTGAACTCATTGAAGGCGCGAGGGCGGCACATAAACATAGTAGACATGTTTGCAGTGAAGACTGGATTGTAAGTCTTCGCAACAGAGAGTTGAAGCCACAACCATGAGAGTTAAAAAAGATAATTGTTATTGTTGTTTTTGTAGTTGAGAAGCACTACCCCGCCAGTATATACACAAGACCTAATAACACCAGCATGTTATGTACATACGCAAATATGTTTGTATGTCTATCATTCAGTGGGTGGTAATCAATTCCTTAAGTACACAACGCTGGCTGTAACATTTACGGCAATGCATAAAATAATTTACGGGGAAATAACGACTTGAGCTACGCCGACGACAAAACTTTAACTTGCGGTGGAAAATTGAAATTGGAATTGGAATGCAAAGTCAAAGATGAGCTCTTTGCACATACTCGCACATACACACATATGTACATACGGGCGTTTACAAACATACATACGTGTACATACAGCGTTTGTACATTTATTTAGAAGGACATAAACGAGTACGTGTCTGAGGCCAAAAACCTGTTGCGAATGACAGTGGTTTACCAACCACGCATTTTTAGCGAAGCCATTATAATAATGGTATACAAGGAGTGTCCCACTGAAGTGGAGACTTTGAAAAATCCCCTTTTTTTTGCAAAATTTATTACTTTTAAATCAAAATATGTTTTCCCAAAAAAGAAAAAATTATTTTGACCAAAATATGGTCACCAATTTATTTGTATGTAATGGAAGACAAAACCTTTCGAAACTTTTCAAACAATCTGCGTTGACTTCACTTTGCATTCTTTTGGTTACAGTCTTAGCACTCAGGAACTTTGTCGCGGAGTAAACAATTACAAATACGAGTCACTATGTAAACTTATGCTACACAACTACAAAAGCCCCATCAGATACTAGAATGAACTTCCCGAGGCCTTGCACACAAAGTGAGGTACCAGATAAGAAAACTCCATAACCTGTGACTTCTTTAATCCAATGTCGAAGCAAACAATAATATGAGCTGCAGCACTATATAGGTATAATCTTCTACAACTGTTACTTACTTTCACTAACTTGGACCAGAATAGAGATGAATATGTTTGGTGGGGTACAAGCATGAGATGAAATATTTTCTGTAAAAAAAAGTGGCCGGTAATTCCGATCTCTGTATGCACATCCAATGGGGAACCACTCATTCCAACATGTACTACTTTGGATACCAAATCTCTACATTATTACCGTTGCAAAAGAAAATGGCTACTAACTGCTATATGCAATCAATTGGCACTTGGAGCTAACGAAAAAAATCGAAATCCTTTTGCGATTTGTGGCTTGATATTTTACCTACTTTTAGAGAATTTTCATGAGGAGTTTTTTATTTAGGGTCAAAACTGTTCTCAAAGTAGTTCGTGATACGTGCGCACTGTTAATCATTTGGCTAATGTAGCGGACATTGAGAGCGACTACGTTGACTAAGTCATATGGTACGGATGGAAGAAAACACTCCAACTTTGAAAATATGCCATTTAAACCCCGAAGATGGGAACAATTCTGTGCTTTCCTCTTACTCTAACTTACTGACGAGCTACTGTGGTCGCGGCTATAATCACGGAATTTTAAGAAAAGAGTTAATTTTATGTGTGTTTGTGAGCTAATTTTGAACTATCACTTTGTAAACATACTTTCCGACCAGCTGGCCATTTCGACGCTAAAACTGGACTTGTACTGGTTAAAATATCATGAATATGTCAGTAAGATGTCTGTGTTAGACCTCAGAAATCCATTTATGTAAGCAGCAAGAGAAATGTCAGCAGCTTAAACTACATTTGCAGTATTGTTTTCTAACTCAACTCAACTTGTAAGGGAAGGAAATGCAAAATAACAACAAAAAAAATATAAAACGAAATTTTTGTAACTGCGTGAATAATAAAATTGCAACAAAAGTTTGAAGAGTAGGTTGTTAAGTGTTAGACATAAAATGTGCGTGAGTTAAACTCTTAAGACTCTTATGGGAAAATCAACAACATCTCCTGGCTCTTCTTTATTTCCCACACATATTTAAGTCAATCAAGGTGGGCAGTAGTTATTAGTGAGTCTCTCATTATTTAACGGGATATCTCTGTCATCAGTCTGAAGTGCTCCAGCCCTGAGCTTCATTTCCAAGGCTACACCGAAAAACAGCGCTAGGCAAATTGAAGAAGACATTTTCGTTGATTGTTGAATTAACAGACAGAATATTACTTCCAACAGTGTGAGAAAATTTTTTGAATATGCTTCTGAATTAACAGATCGGTTTACCACCACGTTTACTCTAGTGGATAATGGGCACCATCAGAGATGACACACAGGACACACAGAAGATGCTATTGCTGCTGTGAAGCAGAGTGTCGAAGAAGTCCCGAATGTGTCCATCCAGCACATCCACTTTTTGAAAGATTTTGTAGAAGCATCATGGTTTTCGGGTGTACAAAATGCATTTCTTTCAATAATTAAAGCCGAATGACCATCAAGCGCGTCCCACATTCGGTAAATGGACCCTGCTGCAAAACCCAATCAGAAACACGTCATAATATCAGATGAAACTACATCAATTTTAATCAGCATTAAAGATCAAAGGCAGCTTTCGAAAGCTCTTTTCGGCCGTTATAATACGCCGCTATAATTATTCTGGCTCCACTAAGTAAAATGGCTCGTTAGCCAAAAATATTTTCTTACCAAAATGAAATATTTTCAAGTATCTCAACAGACAATCTAACAATCTTTTATACTTTATATATATATTTAACGCATAATCCAAGCCACTTACTTATTTGTCGTGTACATATTTATATGTATGTGTGGTACTCATATGTATCGTAATCATCTTTTGAATATATACGTGTATACACCTGTGTAAGATAAAGAGCGCGTTAATTATTAAAAAGGCAAGAAACACTTGATGGCAGATGAGGGAAAAGCTTTTCATGTACATAAAGTGAAAATTTTAGATTAAGTGAAATCATTTTTAAGCGTTTTTTCTGACGTTCGCATAATATATGTATTTGTATGTATCATACCAATATAGGAATATGTATTTGTTGAGTTAATATGAATGTTATGCCAAGAAATTCCAAGAGTTTCATTAAATATTACCTTAAAGCATATAAATTTACTTACATACAAACGTATATAAATGCTGAGTTTGTGCAAAAAAATAGAAAAATCTGGTAAAATTTTTGTTGGAAAATGAAGTATGAAATTTGAAAATTTTTTATACATTTTAAATTAAGCAAAAATGTGCTGGCTCGTTAAAAGGATGATTGCAACAATACCAACCAAAATATGAACAGCGTGAAATTTAAACACCAACACACCCATATAAACGCATATTTAAGAGTATAACTGTATACTAAATAAAGAGAAATAATAAATAAAATGGCAAAAATCCTGAAAAAATTCCCTCACCGCATTTTGGTGCATTGTAATTTTGAGCAAATTATGTGCGTGTGTATGTAATCGAATTTCGCGAGAAATGTGCAATTATTTTGTAATTTATGTTCTCCACACACATGCTTACATATACGCATATGCATGTATATGTATGAATGTATGTGTTTCATATAATTCACATGTTTTCCAGAGCAATCATAACTCGGAACACGCACACACACACATACACACACAACCATATGTACATACAGATATATTTAATACTATTAAATACAATTTTAACAATTTACCGCTTGCGGCTTTAATTATATTTTCTGTCACATACAACAACAAGACAGGCCACAGCCAAGTTAGCAAGGTAACAGACGCTGCGAGCGTAATTTTCTTATAAAATATAAACAGGAAAACATTACGCATTACACTATGAAAATAAGAAAACAACAAAAAGAAATGAAAATCATTCAAAGTACCCACAGGGGACGGTATTTTTCAAACATAAAGACAGCAATGTATGTCATCACATACAATATACATATATAATATTATATATAATACTCATACGACATGTCGCACCAAAATCAATTGTAACAAACAAAGAGCGATTGGCAATACATATGTACTCTGGCTTTCCTTCATACGCACATACATCTTCCTTAATACCTTAAGTTGATTATAAAGATTTAATTGTGATTTTATTGTATTTTTTATGTGCCAGCAGAGCGTTGAGTCTACTCAGAATTGTAATTGTTTGCATATTTTTCTACAAACAACTGTTTTTTGTTGGCTCGTACATGCATACGTATGTATGTACAGGGTTTTCCATTTGGTAGTTTCGAAAATAGGCGTAAATAAAATGCATTTAGAACAATTTGTTCACGAAATCGCTTCTTTAATAGAAAATAAAGTCTGCATCCTGTCGTTATGTGAAAATCTATACCAAACACCATTCAAATGTGCCGCATCGTTTAAGAAATCTTGTTCGATGAATCGCCATCCACCTGTCTGTTGTATGTACGGTTGCATCCAATCAACCTATGTACGATTATATGAATGGTCAGGTAGCTTCAGTTGTTGTGTGGACTGGACTTTATATGGATGTAGGTGTAAGTCCAAGTGAAAAATACGTCATAATGGGCACTAAGAAAGTCCCAGTTCTTGCGACGTCTAGAAATAGACTCATTCAAGTCTTCGGCTGCAATGCGGCGATATTCGAAGTGGAACGAGCAAAACGGTGAAGCAAATACCCTACCATATCTGTAACCAATTGAGTCTCTTCCAATTTCCTTAAAATGTTACCATCTACTTGAGTAGTGGGACGATAATGTACACCATAACCTCTTGAAGCACGCAACGTGGCCAAGTTTGCATCACCATTTCTGTAGTAGATTTTAGCAATTTTAAGACGTTGTGCGGTTGTTAAGTGATCCATTTTCATAAATACTTGGCTTTTAACTTAAAAAAAAACATGTTAAATTTGAGAAGTGTCAAAATACAACCCTTTGCTTTTGATACCTCGAAATGGATGACCCCATATTTATGTAAATAAGATGTTATCTTGAAGTTAACTAATTAGATAGGCGTTTCTCTTAATTTGTAATTTTCATGTGACATTTTTTTTTTTATTTATTATTTTTTTTTTTAATAATTAGAAATTAGATGTCTTTGAAAAGCTTATTTCATGTTCACACATGCATAAATTTAATAAAGAGTGTGAGTGTAATTTTCCAAACGCCGTGTGAGTAACAGCGACTACGAACAGGGTTTTGTAAAATATCTCAACACATTACCTGTCTCACTGAAGACATGTGGTTGCCAACACTGAAGGTTTATTATATTTCATGCCATTGCCTGTCACGGAGTTCCATGAGATAATGATATGTATGTATGTAATATACAATATAAGTTTAATAAATTGTACTTCCACTAATCACTTTCATACTTTTAATTTAACAAGATAGGTTTATACGCAAGGAGTAACAAACCTATGTGCTTACATATATAGTATCAAATCTTGTCACGTTTAGCTCAAACTGACATCACTAATTAAATGTCACAAGCGCTAAATAACTTTCTAAAGCATAAGTTAATGACCCGAAATTTACTTACATACTTTTTACATATACATACTTATATGTTGTTTATATGTTTATATGAAGAAACCCGATACTGCAAGTTGATAAAAGTAGCTCTAGTTTATTGCTATTTATATTTCTCCTTGCTTAAGTTTGGTTTGTCTACTAATCACAGTCTCGCAAACAGACCCGCCCGTCCATCTTTTCATTGCCTTCTACATCCGTTTGACCTGGCGCCCAAGAGATATTCGATGATACTTTCCGCGCTAGTCTGTTAATTGGCTCTTTGCATCAAATTGTCGCCGTTTGTCTGTCTACCAGAAAAAATGAAGGTTTCCCATTTTAGTAGTTGCACATACGGTGCCTTGGTTAATGGCGCGGTCAGAGAAGAAACCGGCTTCTGTATCTGCCTCACAATTAGGCCCGACTTTCGTCCATTCTTCCTTATTATTATAGAAGGCGTAGGTGGTATCTACCCGAAAAAAAAGTTTCCATTCCTCGGTCGCACATTACGTTTAGCCCGAGTTCTGCTATAATTTTCGGAATGACGCTATGACCTTTCCAATTTGAATACCGAGAATTCTAAAACATTTGAAAAAGGCTTGCAAGAACTAGTAGAGGATTAGTATGGTGAAACAATTTTTTCCTATGGTCAAACAAAATTTTACTCTTCAGCTCTATTAAGTCATAAATTTTGCTGCTTGAAATCTTTGATTTTTGCTTTAAAAACAAACAAGTGCTTTCTTCCAAAACATGCATTTGTGTCGAAAATATTATAACAAGCTCAAGCCGACGGACTTGTTTGTTACTTACTGTAAAATGGTTTCTATGCCTTACAGACTTAGCAATTTACTATCCGGAGAAATTTTCTATGAATTGGGCTTTTTTTGAAACAGTTAAAACTGAAACTTTGTTCATAAGACAGACCAATAAAGCTCAATATAAAGCTTTGTGACGGCTTCAACCCTTACTATGCACATTTGGTTTTGGTTGGCAATTATCTAACTACAATCTACAAGTTTCTTGTACGCATACGATGGCGAGTTCCTTCGAGATGTGGTGAATTCTTCCGAGATGTGGTGACAAAGTAAACATTTGCGCTATCTCATCATATTAACATTCTCTGGTACAAGCTATTGCACAAATTGAGAAGTTGAGAAAAGTTCAAAATTAAATAAATGAAGAAGTTTAATAAATGAAAATACTAAAAATTCTTCATTAATCGAAAATTGCACTTAGCAACTCTGCAATGCTCCCCATAAATAAATCTGTCTCGATTTTCAAACTTTGACATTTGTTATCCAAATTGTCAAGTTATGTTAAGTTTGTTTTCATTTCAAAATTCTTAGGAGCAGAGAAAATAAGAGTCATTTTAAGCGATTTGTGGAAAATATTTCGTTGATTGTTAGCAATTATTGGCTTAGGATTTCAGTTGTTGAGTTTATAAAGGCGGTATAAGGTAAATTTTTTTTGGTAAAGTTCATGCAGCCGGTTTAATAAATATTTGCTTTATTCCGAAAACTGTATCAACGTGTTTGGCCTTGATATTTATTGATTCTATGAACTTGTGCTAAATCTAATAAAAGATTGCATATTTGTGAATAAATACAATATGTATATCAAATAAATCAAATAAGCTAATAAAAATATATTTCCAGATCAAATTCAATCAGTTCCAAGTGTAGTGGAAACTATCAAGAGGAGTTCATTTGGAAAATGTTAGCAACATTTTAGCACATAAAATATTTTTACACCGAGGAATAAGCGAGAAATCGGAAAGATGTCCATATATTGTTGGGGTAACACAAAACATGGTGAACTTGGATTGGGTGGAATTGAAGATGAAGAGGTTAGTTGGTGATATTGAAAATATCAACACAGTGATGCATATATTCCTTAGATTTTGGAACCCCGAGAAATCCCCTGGCATCCAGAAAGCTCTGTAATAAGCATTGGATGCGGACTTGAACATACCTTGTTTTTAACTGAAGATGGAAAAGTATATTCATGCGGCTGCAATGATTTTGGTCAATTGGGTCACCAGCAGATGACGAAGCGACCACGTATGTGAATACAAACAAATTCAATATATGTAACTATATATATTCCAATGAATTTATTGAACTTAAAGTTCAAAGAATTTTAGAATTATCAGCACCATAGCTGAATTTGCAGGTGCGTGATATTGCCAATGTCATGGTTTTGAAATAATGCTTCGATCATCAAAAGCCATATGCAGAAAAGTTGTGCCCACCTTTTTCGAGCAATATTTAATCGTCTATAAAATATCAGCACTCTCAAAGCATTTTAACTCAGAAACTTTAAAGCCCAAATAACCACATTTCACTGCTCTCATTTTACTCATATACACATACTTAATTCATTAGATTTTACATTACATATGTACATATATAATATGGCAACAGCTTTTCGGACCCATAATAGACGAAAGATACCGCAAACCGCAATAATACCTCTACAGATATGAAATATGACAGTGCAACTCAACAAAATACTAACAAAAACTTTTAATTATTTTAGAACTCATAAGTGACCTCGAAAGCACTGTAATTACGGAAATAAGTTGTGGTGCAAGACACTCCTTGGCTCTCAGTGAATGGGGTCAAGTATTCACTTGGGGTCACAATGACTATGGCCAGCTAGCTCTACCAGATTTTCCCGATGTTGTTCGCTCACCAAAAATCGTTAAAAAACTTGCAACCCAAACAATCATTCAAATTGCCAGCGGCTACAATCACTGTCTTGCTTTGACTAATTGTATGTGTGAAATTCAAATTTATAATGAAATTAATTTTAAAAAATATTTAATTTCCAATACATTGCTTCTAGGTGGCGCTTTGTATGCTTGGGGTTCAAACATTTATGGACAGCTGGGCATATCACCGCCAAGTGACTTGGCTCATTCAACAACACCTCGTTTAGTAGACTCATTGCTCGGTATACCAATCGCTTTAATAGCATGTGGTGGAAACCATTCATTTATCATTTCAAAATCTGGTGCTGTGTTTGGTTGGGGCCGCAATAACAGTGGACAATTGGGACTAAACGACTGTATCCATCGACATTTTCCAACACAATTAAAGACACTGCGCAGCCTGTGTGTTCGTTACATTGCTGGTGGAGAACAATACTCTGTATTTCTGACCAACGATGGTGGTGTATTTACATGTGGAAGAGGTTCATATGGCCAGCTTGGCCATGGCGGTAATTTGAATGAAGCACTGCCGCGGAAAGTAACGGAGTTGATGGGTAGCACGATTACACAAATTGCTTGTGGCGCACAACATACACTTGCCTTTGTGCCGTCTCGTGGGAGAATTTATGGTTTCGGTTTAGGTTGTTTTGGACAGTTTGGAGCACGCAAAGTGAGCAGTTGCTCTCTGCCGCAGGTGGTGGTGGGACCATGGGTAAATAATAGTTTACAGTAGCTTTCAGCTATAAGCCTTTGCAATTGCAGGTATCTCCCAGTGGATCTAAGTTAGTGGATACTGATACCAAAGAAAACCTAGAGACAGCCTTTTTAATACGTCAAATCTTTTGCGGCGGCAATCAATCCCTCGTATTGACTTCGAAATTTAATGACGATATTCTTGCCGTAGATTATCGCATTTATGAGTAATTATTAAATTTTTAATGCAAAAAACTACAAATTTTATTAGTTATGTTTATGACTTAACTTTACTACCAGGCCGAGAACCCAAATAATGTGTTTAACCAAAGAACTGGCGAAGCAGTGTGCTTTGGTGGAGAAAGACGCTTCAGTTGATTTAGATTTAATGACAGCCATTGAGGTGATTTTCAAAAGCCAAGCTTGTCTCAATGGCTCATTTTTATTGGAGAATAGGCATTTCTGTTGCACCTCAAAGCAGCCAGGTGTTGATTTGTTGGACGTTAAGGAAACTTTTGATTATATACGCAAAGTAGAGCACGAAAGCATTAAGCAAATCGTAAGTAATTAAAATGCGAACAAAAATCTGACGGTAAACAATTTCATCTTTTGAAAACCTCTTATTTCTAGATATGGGACAAAATTACAAATGAAATAATTGCCTCACTCATGCCATCGCCGGCGGACGTTGAAACTTTACGACTTTATTTAATTTTGCCATTATATCATGAATTTGTTAATTCTAAGAACTATGAACATTTGCATACAACCTTCAGCAATGCTGTGCTCAGACTCAAAGATATACCTAAGAAAATAATCGCCATATGGTGGGCACAAACACCAGTTGACTGGTTTGAAAATTTGGTGTCAAACTACAAGAATGTTGTAGCACACATAATTAGTTTTAAAATCGCTGCAAATTCTAGTGGTACCTTCGAAAAAAAGGTATTGATTTCATTTAAAAACTATATATTTTCTTTCACATCTCGACATACTCATATTTTTTTTTATTTTTTTGTCTTTTCAGCTTGTTACATACAATTCCAATCTATGTGCCGCTCTAAATCTTCTAGTCGTTCTACATCGAATTAATCACAAAGAGCGCGAAGAAAAAATTGACTATGATATTTTCCACTGGCCGGAGCTAACAGATTATGTTGATATCCAACAGGATTACATACATTGGCTATTCGACAAAAATGTAGGTCTTCAAAAGCAAAAAAATTTTAAAATTCACTTTAAATTTTTTTTTTTTGCAGCCCGATGCTTTTAATATATGTAATTATCCGTTTTTGTTTAATGCGTCTGCGAAGACCACACTCCTACAAACAGATCAGGCCATTCAAATGCATACCGCCATGCAAAACGCTGCCAACTCAGTAATTCAAAATTATTATCAATGTTTATAAATTTTCTTATTGCAATTTTTTTTTACTTTTCTGCAGGGAATACTCTCTCTGCTCACATTCGGCACGCCTATTTCACAATTTATTGTGCTAAATGTCTCACGTGAGAATTTGGTACAAGACACTTTGCGGGAAATAATGCAATATAATCAAAGTGACTTGAAGAAGCCGCTCAAGGTAAGCGTCCAAAGTCTTTTTATTTCATATTCCTATTATTGTTTGTATGCATAATGTATCACTGGTGAAATGCTGAAAAGCACTAGCACACAGTTTATATAAAATTAAAACCCCTTTCCTTGATAATTTTAATAATTAATTAATTTTTATTAGTTACAGCTTAAAACACGCATTAAAAAACATCTTATTGTAATATTATTTTTGATTTATAAAAATTTAAAATTTCTCATATAGTTTTCTGCATTCTACTATACTTAATTTTTTACCATATTCTTTTCTTTTATGAAGATCAAGTTCCATGGCGAGGAGGCCGAAGATGCTGGTGGTGTACGAAAGGAGTTTTTCATGCTCTTACTAAGAGATCTTTTGGATCCAAAATATGGCATGTTCAAAGAATACGAAGACTCGCGTACGCTGTGGTTTGCGGATATTACATTTGAAACGGAGGATATGTACTTTTTAATCGGTGTAATTTGTGGGTTGGCGATATATAATTTTATAATCATAAATTTACCATTCCCATTGGCATTGTATAAAAAACTACTCGACGAACCTGTAGACCTTAGTGACTTGCGTGACCTTTCGCCGACCTTGGCGAATTCTATGGAATCTATTTTGAAATATGATCAAATCGATTTCGAAGAAGTTTTCAATTTGCATTTTGAAATATCACGTGATATTTTCGGTGAATCCAGAACGGAAGAGCTGAAACCAAACGGTGGTCAAATACCCGTTACTTTGGAAAATAAGTACATACCTTGCTCGTAATACATATTTTTTAAAAACAATTAACTTTTTTTTTATTAATTCTGCAGAAAAGAGTTCGTAGACTTATATGTTGATTTTATATTTAACAAAGCCGTAGAAACCCAATTTACAGCTTTCCGCAAGGGTTTTATGAAGGTGAGCGACTATACAAGAGTATTTCATCAGCCACAGAATTTTCCTATATAAATCTAAATTTATTGCAAAGGTATGTTGGGGCCGCGTACTACAAATTTTCAAACCAGATGAATTGATGGCTGTCGTTATTGGAAACGAGGAGTATGATTGGCAAGCGCTTGAGCTACAATGTGAATATAAGAATGGCTATAACTCTGGTGATCAAACGGTTAGTTTGTATTTTTTTTTTTTATAACAATATCTAGCAAATTTCTGCTGCTTGGTTTTTACAGATAAGATGGTTTTGGGAAGTGTTCCACGAATTACCGGAAAGCGAGAAGAAAAAATTTCTTCTCTATTTGACCGGAAGCGATCGTATACCGATCCAAGGAATGAAAGCGATCAAGGTATGAAAAAAAATGTGCATATTTATAATTGTATAACCGTTATATATATGATTTTTCTCAGATTTGTATACAACCAACAAATGATGAACGATTTCTTCCCGTTGCACATACGTGTTTCAATCTACTAGATTTGCCTCAATACAAGACTAAAGAGCGTTTAAAATACAAATTGCTTCAAGCTATACAACAAACTCAGGGTTTTAGTTTAGTATGACTTTATACTATCAAATTAGAATCAGCGCCTACGTTAAGAATAATGAAATATATTCACCAGACAAAAATATTTTTACAAGTATGTAATACAATACATGAATTACCCAATTACCCAACTTTTCTTTTGTCTAAGTTGATTTGATTTGTATGGAAAATTTTTATTGTTTGTAACAAAATTTTGGATTGAACTATTTGCATGTATATACATTTGTATGAAGATGATTATTGCAATAATAAATGTATCAAAAGTTTTGCGTTAAATGAAAATGATTTATATGCATTGCATATTAATGTATATTTTATTTTTCATTTACTTATGTATATTTATAGCTTGTACCTGTATGAATGACTTATGCTGATAAAACAACAACGTGTTTTAACCACCGTTTTTCGATATATAAGTGGAAATTGTTATTATTAAAAAATACTATTTTCTGACATCAGTAAAATAGTTTTAGATATTTTTATAAATGCTTGGAAAATGCTGTTGCTGCAAATATCTAGTTGGAATAGAATGTATTTGGAAAAATAGGTTGGTCTGTTTCAAATAATAATAGACATACATGCATAGTTTCAACCATACAGATAAAGATTCATATGTACAAAATTTTCTGGTATTTTACATAAATCAATAATGTTAACTTCAGAATATATGAGAATCTTAAATATAATCTACCAGAAATTCAATTCAAATATCTTTTTCAGTTACATCGAATCTCCAAAAGTCCACATTAATATCGACACTTTTACTTTTATGAAAGGAATAGCTGGTGTCAATGTTGTATTTCAATTCTGCAACTACGTTACCTTTCACGTGCCAATCTTTAACTTTCTTACGAATGTAATCTCTATTAAAATGGAAAAAAGAAACGGAAAATTGTGATAAAAATTTTGTTATCGTGAGTATTTAATTTCTTAAAAAAAAGATTGTGTTTTTTGAACTTGAAGCAATGGTTATGGAAACAAATTCTATACACATAAACATATAATCACTTCTTACTTACCGTGTAGAACTTTTGTGAAACGAATAAACAGCACCAGAGGCCATTGATATACCAGTCTGAACAAATAACATATCAATTCCACAATTATTTTTGGTTCCGAAGGGAGGGTTGGTAACAATCGTGTCAAAGGCATTTCCCCATTTACCACACTTAGGCAAAGCTAGAACGTCACATAAAACACAATCAATGCCCGGCAATTCCATTTCCGTTACATTGTATTGAAAAGTCTTAGGAGAAATCATGCAAAAATTACATCATTATTTACGTAAGGGAAAATAATTTAGTGTTATGTTACATTTAATGCGTCTCCATCAATTTCAAAACCAGTAGTCATGCCGGCACCAAGAAGAAAAGAACCGATACTCAACATGCCACTACCACAACCTAAATCACCGACATATTTCCCTTCAATGTCACCATACAGTGTCTACAATTTAAGAGACGCAATCAAACAAAATTTATCTTCCACGGTCAATGGGATAAAAAACGTCACAAAGGAACACAACCGCAACATTAAATTACTCTCGTTCATACATAATACATATGCAAACATATGCACGTAAATCGGAAAACATGAATTTCGGAAAGCACAGCTAATATCACTTGTAAACATTTGCAGTCTGCAAGCAAAAATAACAAAAAAAACAACCTAATGTAATGATTGTGTTCTTAGTTGTGTGTATATATTTTGTAAACGGTTTTTTTTTTTTTCAAATTTTAACCTGAATGTTGTAGAGCACACAACTAGCAATGTGTGGTGGTGTAATGTATTGCTCTAATTTGATTTTCGGTTTTTCAAAACTATCAACACCATGCAAATATTCCTCCAACTTTTTCAGCTTTATACTGGCCATAGTTTCTTTTTTTTAATTCAAAGAAGACACTGGATCAAGACGTGGTAATACCGGTATGAACGAATTTCCGTAGAAAGAATCTTGTGAGACGAAGTATCCTAGCGTGGTTGACGTTGTTGCGTTAAACACAGAACGTGAAGCTGTCGCCAAACCACTACTTTGAGAAAAATCCGACGGTTGCAAAAGTTGGCTTGCAGGTATCTTTAATATAATATACATAAGGCACAGTATTTTTTCAACAATACAATCAGAAATATACCTGGTAAAGTGTATTTGGTGATATTCCAGTTCCTAAACCCGGTATATTACCTTTCTGCAAAAGTTGTTTCTTCAACTGAAGATCTTCGAGAATTTTCCGATTAGTTTCTAAATAAAAATTAAAAATTACAATGAATTCATCAAATGTATAATATACCTTACCTTGTTGAGCACCTAAAGTAGGAAAATTCGCCATTAACCCAAAAATTTATTTTTTTCCTGACAAAAGTAGCTAATCGCTTACAAAATAATAATAAAGTGTCAATTACCATATACTTAAAGAAACAAAAAAGTGGGAACTTATACAGATTTTTTAAAATTATATACTAATTTTCTTTGTATCTGTTATTATTTCTTGTTAATCACTGAAAAAGAAATATTTTCAAACAAAAATATATGGCGTTTGAAATTAATAGAACAAAATTGATAAATATTTCTAATGCTGTAACTACTCATCTTAAATACCATCCGTCCTTTACAGCCGACTGGAAGAGCGAGATACCTACATGAACTATCGACGCTTCTAAAAGCGGCGAAATGTTGCCAGCTGCCAGTGTGTTTGCACACTTTTAAACAAATCTATAATTTTCATCAACAAATTTCATAATTTATGTGATCGAATATAAACGCAAATCAAATATACATACATGATCCATATGGTAGCAAATATATAGTTTCGAATTTAGTTTTCATTTCTTTTGAAAAAAACTACGCGTTATCTTCGATTATTAAATATTACTTTAAAAAAGTCTATACTGGCAACCTTGTATAGCAACGGGAAATGAGCCGAGCCGGTTTTATGGAAAAAATCTAATCGCCGCTGGTTTCTGTGTGACGACCGTCAGTAATGGCAATGGCAAGCGGTGACAACTTTGTGTTTACATGAGGCTCTCATTAGCTACGTTTGCAAGGTTACCAGTATTGACTTTTTAACTCGTAAATTCGATAAATTTGATTCGATCAGATGTTCCATGCTCATGTCGCTGGGGTTTGGCGTTGCCAGTTCTCTTAAAATTTGTTCTTGTGGGTTTAAAACTAAAAACGAAAACTAAGTTATATGTTTACAAAATATATTTTGCCCAATTATATATATATGTATGTATATAATTGGCACTTTGTAACCACCGAACCGATTTTCAGTACTGCTCCTCCGCCAATTTTTGGTATGAATTTTGATATTTTTCGAATCAATGAAAGGACCTACGATTTTAAACCACCTCCGAATGGCCAATGGATTTTAATGAGGCGCTTTATTTTTATGAGAAATACTAATTTATCCTATCATTCTTATAACCGTATTTATAACCGCTCAAGCGATTTTCGGTCAATTGGTGGTTTTGCGTCTTGATGTTTTTCCAACAAATGGAGGGACCTACAATTCATACTAAGCCGCCTCCGAACAGCTGACGATTTTTTATGAGGAGCTTTATTTCATGTTAGAAATACACACGGACGGGTTGATATTGCCTGCCGAGGGGTGACCGCAATAAAAAAAAATTAAGTATAACTTTTTATTTAAGTTAATTCAACTTTTGGATGTTGGTCGCATGAGGACTTGAACCCGAGCCATCCGAATGACAATACGCAATGGTAACCACTCAGCAACCGCGGCCGCTATGAAATATATAGAATTTTAAGTCAGTCACATGGTTCTGCGATTGCCTTAAGTTTCCCAGGATAAAAAAGTAATCGTCAAAAATTATATTGAAAAAGCTTCTCTCGTGTTTCGGAAATTCCTTTGCTTGTTTCAGCGTTTTCTTTGTACCAATTAATAATTGCCCTTCTATGAACCATTTTTCAAGTGAATTTTCACACACCACATACTCGGCAAATTTCAACACTTCAACGTGTTGAGTCTTTTGTTAATAAACTCGCAAGCTTTAACACTTTTTCACCACGAATTAAGGCGTCGATAGCATAAACATGTTACAGAGTTACAGAGTTCCCACATTGCTTACTTTTTGCCAAAAATACAATTATTTACCTAAATTTAGCTATGTTGGGCTTGGCTGCCCGTAGTAGAATATTTGATGTTTATGCTTTTAAACTTAACCCGAGTAGAACAAACCGGAGTAGAAATGAAGCATAATAGCAACCTGAACATACAGTGGCTCATAAATGAACTCGGACACAAAAGGTATATGACTTCAAACAAAAAAATATATAATAAAATGCAAATCGAAGGTTTTCTGTTTAACATATATTTCTATTCTTCAAGTGTATTTTTCAAAACAACCAAAACCATAAACTAATACAACTCGGTCGTATAAAAATAATATGAACATAACAACTTAACAAAACTGATGACAAAAAAGAACTCGGACTTATACGAGTACCTAATTTAAAAATATTATTTAAAGAGAAACAAAATATTCTTAATACTCGGTCGGCAAGTCTTTTCTTTTTCTGATAGCATTCAGTCTTCTTGGCAAAGATTCAACTAGCTTCTTGCATGTTAATGAATTTATTTTCCCCCACTCTTCCAAAATAGCGGCTTCTAGGTCTTTCTTATTTCTAATAACATGCATTTTCAGTTTACTTTCCAAATGAGCCCCTAGAAGTTCAATTACGGTAATGTCGGTAGATTGAGGAGGTGTTTCAAGCACTTTAGGACAGTTATGCATCAACTATAGGCGGACATCAAGTGCTTAATGCTTGGGACCGTTGTCTTGGTAGTACTGGAAATTGTCCTTAATTCCCAACTTTTCCGTATTTTGCACTAAATTTTCTTTTAAAATGGTCAGATATTGCTTGTGGTTCATATTACCATTTATGAAACACAAATTTCCATTACCAGCTGCGAACATACAACCCCATACCATTACTGCGCCGCCCCGTGGACGTACATTTTTTTCTAACAACTCTTTGTTCGGTTTTCTCCAAACATACGATTGTCCATCTGACCTAAATATATTAAATTTGCTTTCATCTGCAAATAAAACTTGTTCCCAGAATTGAAAATCCTTATCCCCATGACATTTTGCATTTTTTATCCTTTTCCATTATAATTATTTTTTTGTAAGACTATTCGGATACTCTCCGGATTACAACTCATATTGAGATGTTGCAAAACTTCTGTTGAGAGCTTGGGAGCGCTCATGTTTGGATTTTATTTTGATTTGCTACGCTAACAAAATGAATAATAATTAACTTCCTTACATCAATTGAACTTTGTCCACGCTGTCTACCTATGTTTGAACTTTTCACCTTTTTTCCAAAAAAAAAACTACTGAAATTTTATTTTAACCTGTTACGTTTGATTATATACACTGTAATATTACCACATGTCCGACTTCTTTTTTGGCGAAATTTCTAGCATGCCTCACGTAAATTGTTTGAAATAAGGGTATGGGAGACCTATAAAGTATTTAATTTGTTTGTTATCGGTATTTTTTAAAACCTTGTTGCATATCCTATAGAAACATAAAAAACAAAAATGCTTAATATCAATTGGTTAAAAAAAAAATCTAGCTTGAAGTTGCATGTTAATAACAGTGGATTGTATGTCCGAGTTCTTTATTGAGCCACTGTAGATGACTGTCGATAAATGTCCCGTTCCTACAGGAACAGTCTTCTGCTATGGCAACATGAAATTTACATGCCCTATACAAACATGCATACACACAATTCTACATTTGCATTTGGCAAAAATAAATTTCGAATGCACGTATGTCGAAAAGGGACTTATTATTTATTTATATATTGAAAAATTTTGATAATTTGAGTTCTAATATATTTTTTATTTACATATATATATGTATGGATATTTATGCACGTATAAATGTATGTAGAAGTTATTTTAAAAACCTTTTTGCGAAATCTAAATTTGTATAAGAAGATTAATATTTTTCAAAAAAATAAAAAGCAATTACCTATCTTTTTTAATGGCGAAAACTACTCTAGTGTTACTATTTGGCACATATTAACAATCACTCCGTTTTGCCCAAAGAGGATTTGCCAATATGGACATAGTAGAGTATTCAGCTCATTCATTGCTTTAGTGTTCTTGGCAGCATAGACAAACTTACCTTCTGTCTATTTCTACAACTAAGGTACATACATATTTACATTCGGAATTGCTGGTTTGTAAGAAAATAAAATTTATTTCAAACGTACATACAGAAGTTTCTATATAATAAACTGTTTATAGGGTATTAAATCACATTTTGAATTCTTTAACTTTACTAGTCAATGATCCCCTTTGCAGGATTGTATTAGCACAGAAATTCGCATTTATAATAATTATGATATAGATATGTTCATTGAATACATACCAAGGCCTATTGTATTGTGCCATTTACTAGATAAATCTTGTCCATAGGTTGTAAAAAGTCTATTGGCAATAACCAGGTAATTCATTTCCCAACCATAATTAAACATGTATTTTAGATGGGGGGCTACAAAAAAATTCAGTTATTTTCAAATAACTGCCGCTACTACAAATACATACCCAAATTATCAGGAAAAAGGATACTATGTTGAATTTGGTTTATGTTCAATTAGGTAGCCGGTGAGAATGCTAATGATGTTAAAATCACTTTACATTATGAATTTTTTCGTATTTGAAGTTACTACATACCATCAGTAAGAATTGTACCCAATTTATTTAATTAGAATGTGTATTTGTGAACAAGTTGGAAATCATAAGACCATGCTCTTTCACACTGTGACACCTTGGTCTGAACTAGTCCATTCAGCTTACAATTCTGGTCTGTCGTTAGTTTACCTAAATAAGTTTACTATTTTCGTACTTATATTTTATTTTAAAAGCAATAAGGATTTACATACCAAAATCTGAACAATGGTGGTACATGAATTTTTTCTATAATCGAGAAAGAGATTTTATTCAGGAAATCGCAAAAAGAAAACATTGAATCGATTTATGATTAGTTACATAATAAAATATGTTCAATATTTTAATTAATTACATACGTGCTACCGGAATCATCATGTTTACATTAAAATCATATGGTGTTGTTACTGGATACAGTTGTATTTCCGTCTCAATATAAACTTTAAATCTTAGCGACGATGACGCTCACGTGAGTGTGACCTTCTTCGTGAACCATAATTGTGTGCCCGAGAACGTGATCTTGAGCGTTTTCTTTCTTCCCTTGCTGGTGAAGAAGCGTTACCTCGCCGGTCCCGATCTCTCTCACGTTCTTTATCCTTTTCCGATCGTCTCTCGGATCGGTTGTCGGTGCTACTTCCACCTCCTCCACGTTCAGTACGCCGTGCACGATCTCTAGATCTGGACCTGTGAACTCGTGATCTTCGATCCAGCTCTCGACCGCCTACGAAATATCGCGATCGCTGTCTGTCTTCACTTCTTTCATTCATTTTTCCACTGCGCTTAAGTTCTGCTTTTCGTGGACCTGCCGTCTTTTCCAATTCCACTAATTTTTCACGTATAGTTAGGAAACCCAAATGTAGCTTACCACCAAAGTGATCAGCTAGCCGTATATCATTATCGTGGATACCTAAATAGGCTGAACATACCTCACATACTCGTAATTTTTGTTGTTGATAGGTTGATGCAGGCATTGATGTGCGATATTCGTGTTCTGCTTTAATTTTCTTCGTACGTAATTCATCTATTTCTTTCATTAAAGACATACTCTCTTCTACTTCTCCTGCTTCACCAAGGGCTTCAGCTTTAGCCAGTTTTTTGCCAATCTCCTCGGCTAAGGCATGAACCGCGTTTGCTTTTTCAGCAACCTCCGCAGTCAATTCCTCTTGTGTTTCCTTAAGACGCTGTTTCGCCGATTCTGTACGACGGTCGCAATCGGCAATAAAAGCCTGAAGATGTTCCATGGCTTCTATATCGTAATAATAGTCGTGAGTTTTGCTGGCACTTTCATAATCGGCCCTAAATGCCAGATCGTGAACTTTTGGGCACTCTCCAAGATCCATTCGAGTTGAAGCCAAAATATCGTGGGGACAACAATCGAGCAAGAAACTTTTACACACACGAGCATCAGAAAATTTAAGACCGCGTCCATCATCTCCATTACGTGTTGTGCCCATTAGTTGATCGAGCATAGCTCTCATTTGATCCGTTGCCGACATTTTTAGCTTTTTATATTTTTATTTTATATGTTTAAACTCCAAATAATTTTTTCATCAACCACACACAAAATAACCTTTTCTAAAGATGATACATATATAATCGAAACTATTTAGTCGATAATATTAAGAAAAAAAACCGTTTCGATGAAAAAAACATGCGATTTTTACTTAACTTAATCGATAAGTGAGCGCGTTCAAGCAAACTATTTGTTGTGGTAATGGCCTTCGTTAACCCCACTTAAGAACAGGTTAATTAATCTAAGTCATCGGGGTTATCTAACGGGAGGTCCAGGAAATGTGTTGTTTCTACGGGATGGGACCAGAGGTAAGGGGCGTTACATGTGTCGGTTTCAGGGGCATATGCAGAAGTGGTTAGTGTCGTGCAGAAACTCTCCACATGCACGGCATGCGTTGAGTATATTGGGGTCAAGTCTGGACAGGTATGAATTTAACCTGCTATATTATCCAGACCTAAGTTTTGCTAGTGTCACATGAGTCTAAAGAGCCAGCTGTGCTCGTTGTCTGCATTAGGTAATGTCGTTGAAGGTGTTGACTGACTCCTGGTGAATAGCGGTGCACAGCGGCTGTTGTACATATTGCTGGATGGTTTCCTTAAAAAAGCACAGCAAAGTATTATGCTTCGGCGTCATCAGGAGGTTTCCTGTCACGGTCCTGAGGGCAGTGCTCTGACAAGCCTGGAACTTCTTCATCTGCGTCTCGTTCGTCCTCGGCGCCCAGATCGGTGTGACATAGTTGACGACCAGCCTGCCAATTGCTTTGTAGGTTAACAGCAAGGTTTCTTTATCTTTACCCCAGCTGATGTCGGCTAACGCTTTGAGTATTTTGTTGCGGCTCTGGGGTTTTGCGGCAATTCCGGTCGAATTCATAGAGAAGGAGTGCATATTGTCATATGTGACTCTCAATTTTTTGGCCCGTACCTCTGTAGGGTGTATACAAAATGAAGACTTTGGAAGTTAATTTCTATTCATAAGCACTCAACAATTGATCAAAAAAACTGTCTTTAACAGTACTAAATATACATTTTACAAAGTTTCTGGTTATTTCTAATCCCTAATAACCTTCTTCTTCAAACTAATTATTACCTAAAGATTGAAGAAATCAATTTTCATTGAATCATAAGATGGGGATTATATGCTTTGCGGGCGAAGATGGAAAAGTCAGAACAAAAATCAGGTCGTGCTTTATTTTTCATAATTACTGTTATTATTAACTGTAAATATATTTAGTCAGCTTAAGTGCCTCAAGTGGCTTATATCCTTTTTTGTATTGAGTTCAGCTAATATAATTATTTCATACTGAAGCAGCTGATCGAATAGTTTATAAAAATACATGTCAAAAAATTTTATATGTCAAACGAAAATGAAATATTTACAAATGCGCTCAAAACTTCGGATAAAAAAATCTTACATAGTGTTACGATTTTACTAAATCCCCTCGATTATTTTCTAGATCCTCGGGTACGATCTCTGGATTGTTAAATAAAAACTCGCCAACTTAATTTGCAGTTTCTTTCGTTTACGGATATTATCTAATGTCCTTTATTTTCTCAGTAATTCACAATTCAATTATACTGCACTTTACTATTTATAATCACTAACATCAACTTTCACAATTTACTCTACTTAAATGTAATTCCCAACGCGTTCACTTTACGTCTTCACTGATGTTAACGCCAACCAGTTCGCTTTGTCACTAACTTGACTTGCAGCTGAGTGTCGCCTTTATATAGCAGTCGGCTGCTCGCAGACGAAAGCGTAGAAGCATCGAATTGTTCGCTATGGAAGGTTCTTGTGTTATCGGCTTCTCTCTTTCATCTGACATTCGCCTCGCATTTTCGCAACAATAGCATAGCCTTAAAATGAATACCCTTACTATTTTGACGTGAGATATGAGTTCGAAGATGCCACATCTAAATTAATCCATAAGACTGATGGGGTTTTAAATACTTGAGCTTAAGTCTACTGTTTACATAGATTTAACCTCTGCGTTTTAGTGCTACAATGTATTCTTAATATGAATATTGGTATACAAAATTCAAAATTATCATATTTACAATATTAACTTTGACATCGAGATAACGCCCTGGAAGTGCTTTGTTTTTAAAAGTGGCCACACTTGAGAAATGCATAAATGGCAGGTTGTTCAAGAAAGTGAAGTTTACCTAAGTGTTGTTGTGTTGGTATGCCGCGATACGCGATAGTTTGTCAGATGATAATTTGCACAACCAAAGTAATAAATGAGCAATGTTTAATTAATTTTGGGCGTAAATTCTGCAACGTGTTTATTAAAATTAATTACTTTAAACGATCCAATTGCATTGCTTCAGTTCTAGATATGTGCTACAATAAAAGTGTGTATGTTTGTCTTTAGCGAATATGAAGTGTCTATTGGCATTATCAATAAAATACACCAGTGACCAATTAACTATTGAAAAACGTTAATATATTACTATAAATTCATTACTATATGTAAAGTTCGGCTGTAATTTAATTACAAATGTCCGTAGTTTATTAGTTAGTTAATTTGTGGTAATCGGTTGTTTGCGAGTGTTTACAAAGAACTTAAATAATCTATAATTTATACCTACTGGTGTTTTCATTGCGTCGTCAAGAATACATTATTGCATTTCAACATGGCTGAGGCGACTGCAAATGAGCAAATTCATGGTTACCATGATGTAAGTTGGCTTAATTGTTAATTGTAATACCATTATTGCATTATTTATGATAAATTAAATATACTCTAGTACTTTTTTCAACGAAACATCAAGACTTCGATTCTTGTGGAAAATGAAGATTCATTCACAATAGTCTGTGAAGAATTATGCACTGATGAAATCCACTCCCTATTCCCCGTTAAATACACCAATAAGCAAAAATTGCAACAAGTGTATAATTAAGCACATTGTTAATGTTGTATTTAAGATTAATGTCTACATATGTATACGTATTTGTTGTCTTATCAAATTAATTCATGGAATTAATGTAAGGTCACGTAATTTTTTGATATTTTGTCATCAGTGATTATTGATTAATTACCTCCATAGACTTAATAGAAAATTTTAATTTGCATTATCCTTTGTCCTTGCATTTCAGAACGACTCGAGTGATACATGCCATTTACGTATTATAATTATTAATGGGAAATCATTAGCGAAGAAGGATATCTTTGGAGCAAGGTAAGATTCAAAATAAATTTGAAGAGTTGTGGGATTATCTAAGCTTTATATTAATGAACTAGTGTGTGTATAATAACATTTTTCTATAAAGCCATTATTATAATTTATGTTCACAAGTATGTTGTCGCAATCTGTTAATTGTCATATTTAAATAACTTATCATTTTTTCTTGCAGTGATCCGTATGTAAGGATTGATTTAAATACAATTAATGGTGATATAAATATAGATTCAGTTTTGACTAAGACCAAAAAGAAGGTATAATTTTTGAACTTTCATTATTATTTATTTCATTATCACTGAATTAATTAATTTTTAGACACTCAACCCCACTTGGAATGAAGAGTTCGTATTCAGAGTAAGTAAAATGGCTGTTTTCTCCGGGTATGATGCAGGTCTTATACCTCTCATAATTATAAGGTATTGAAATCCTGTGCCAAATAATAATTAAACGTAATAATATTAGTGCTTTTGTACAATTTTACCTAAACATTAGTGTAGAATATTAGGTATTGGAAGCAAAAATAGTATGAACGTAAATTAGTCAAATTAATTAAGAAATAATTTATATTTGATATATTTTTTAGGTCAAGCCTTCCGAGCACAAATTAGTGTTTCAAGTATTTGATGAAAATCGTTTAACCAGAGATGATTTTCTGGGAATGGTTGAGCTAACGCTCAATAATCTGCCCACAGAGCAAGAAGATACTACGATAAGCCCGCAAAGTTATTCACTAAGACCGAGAAGGTCAGTAGGGTATGTTACATTCATTTCCTTACACAATTTTGTTTTATTCTTTAAACTTTTTTGTTACTGATATTTAACCCACATTTAATTTTTTTAATGTTTAATTTAATTTTTTCTTTCTAACAAAAGCGTTTATTTTATTAACCACATGCAATGATTATATATGCATATTTTATGTTTTGACTCGACTTAGTTTCACTCAAAACCATCTACTTTTATTTTAAATATACATATGTTATAATATAAACGTTAATATTCAAGTAGCGCAAAGTCACGGATAAAAGGTACATTAGAGATATATCATGCTTTTGTACATGAGTCTGGCGAGACCAGTGAAGGAGACGCCGTGGACGGAGAATGGGAGCATATGGAAAATATCTCGAGAGTGAGTGGAACTCAAACGGTATATAAAAATATATTTAACGCAATTTAGTATTAAACATCATTTTTTTATTTAGGGTCAATTCCCATCCAATGCTAATCATGAACCATTACCGTCCGGATGGGAAGAACGGCAAGATGCAAACGGAAGAACTTATTACGTGAATCATACAGCACGTACTACACAATGGGAGCGCCCACTTTTGTAAGTAATATAAATAATGTAAAATTGTTTTAATTTCTTTACTATTAATATTAAAAATTTACTTATATTTATTAATTATTATTATTATTTTTTTCTTAATTTAGCTCTGCTACTAGCAACAGCAATGTGAATGTTGAAGCAGCTGCTTCTGATTTTCAGCGACGTTTTCATATTAGTGTGGATGAATCTGATTCCAGCCGACCCACTACTGTAAATCAATAAATAACGTAATTTTTGCCGTTTCTAAATGTTATTCAAACCTCTATTTAGGTGACTCCTAGGGCAGATGAAGACGCGTTACCGCCAAACTGGTCTATGCAAGTAGCACCCAACGGTAGAACATTCTTTATAGATCATGCGTCGCGACGTACTACATGGATAGATCCACGAAATGGTCGCGCCAGCCCCATGCCTAATCAGACACGTAGAGTTGAGGATGATTTGGGTCCTTTGCCGGAAGGCTGGGAAGAACGTGTACACACAGATGGACGAGTATTTTATATTGATCATAGTAAGTGCAAAATTTTCTAAATTTTTACATTATACATATATAAAAACGAAATACCAAAAATTCGCGAAAATATGAGAGTAAATTATTATAGTCAAATAATGACATTGAACTTGACACTAGATACCCGCACTACGCAGTGGGAAGATCCAAGATTATCAAATCCAAATATAGCCGGCCAAGCTGTACCATATTCGAGAGATTACAAACAAAAGTATGAGTTTTTCAAAAGTAATATTAGAAAGCCGGTAAGTTTGATTATTTGAGTATTTTTAACAAAATCGTAAAAACTATTTAATAAATTTTACAGACAAATGTGCCGAATAAATTTGAAATTCGCATTCGTCGCACCTCCATTTTAGAGGATTCCTATCGAATTATAAATTCCGTTACGAAAACGGATTTATTAAAAACAAAACTGTGGGTGGAATTTGATGGGGAAACGGGCTTAGGTAATTTGATGATTTTATTCTTTATATAGTACTCATAAACAGAAACTTCGCTTTTACAGATTATGGTGGTCTTGCCCGAGAATGGTTCTATTTGTTGTCAAAGGAAATGTTTAATCCATATTATGGACTTTTTGAATATTCAGCGATGGATAATTATACACTACAAATAAATAATGGCAGTGGATTATGTAATGAGGAGCACTTAAGTTATTTCAAGTTAGTATACAACTGCTCTCAATGGTTTTTTCGTATTGCTATTTTTTTGTGATCAAAAATTATTATTGTTATTACTAATGAATTTTTATTAATAATATCTGAAGAGCTTAACATAGAAATCGTTACTCGTCATTAAAATATAATCATAAAATAAAATTGCAGATTTATTGGCCGTATTGCTGGGATGGCCGTTTATCATGGAAAACTGCTTGATGCGTTTTTCATACGTCCATTTTATAAAATGATGCTGCAAAAACCAATTGATTTAAAAGATATGGAATCAGTTGATACCGAGTATTATAATTCCTTGATGTGGATAAAGGAGAATGATCCACGGCAGTTGGAATTGACCTTCTCATTAGATGAAGACACGTTTGGCCAGAAAAGTCAACACGAACTAAAACCAGGTGGCTCTAATATAGAGGTTACTGACGAGAATAAGGATGAGTATATCAAGTGTGTAACGTATAATTTTTTTTTTGTAAATTAAGAAAAAATATAATGCAAATATTTATTATATTATTATAGGCTTGTCATTGAATGGCGTTTTGTTGCACGTGTTAAAGAACAAATGTCATCCTTCTTAGATGGTTTTGGCTCAATTATTCCATTAAATTTAATTAAGATATTTGACGAACACGAGTTAGAGTTATTAATGTGTGGCATACAAAATATTGATGTGAAGGATTGGCGAGAGAATACCCTGTACAAAGGAGATTATCATCAAAATCACATAATAATACAATGGTTTTGGCGTGCCGTACTCTCATTTTCAAACGAAATGCGTTCACGGTTGCTACAATTTGTTACTGGAACTTCACGTGTTCCCATGAATGGCTTCAAAGAGTTGTACGGCTCAAATGGACCCCAAATGTTTACCATAGAAAAGTGGGGCACTCCTAATAACTATCCTAGAGCGCATACCTGGTATTAAAGGCCTCTAAAATAAGTATATATATATTCAAAAACTAAATACCACATTTTTCCTTTCAGTTTTAATCGTCTAGATTTGCCACCGTATGAAGGATATGTTCAGTTGAAGGATAAACTTGTTAAAGCCATTGAGGGTAGTCAAGGCTTTGCTGGAGTCGATTAATATCTATGGCAATTGTAAAACTCCAAATAGCAACGAAACTATCCGCCATGAAGGATAAAGCGCGGTGTCGAGGCCTTTTACGCTGACTTGTGTACTTATTATTCTGTTTATTACTATATAATAATAATAATTTTACGAACTTCCTGTTATATAAAATATAAATACCAAATTATATCATGCTATTTTTGTTTCAAATACAAAACCGCTAATCTGGTCAAATTTAACGAAGCACATTTAATTTGATAATCGGTAAGTTTAAGGCGTAATTTCTCACCAGGTGTGGCTATTTTAAAAAGAAAACAAAATAATTTAGAAATTTAAGAACATTGTTGAACATACAAAACGGGAAAAAATAATAAATTAGCATTCACTTTCCAAGGCTCTAAAAACAAAAATTATATTGGAATTTAGCGCATACATCGATATACACACCACAAATCGGAAAAATCAGTCGAAATACGCTTAAGCGGTTATCTAGCGCCCGCATCCGGTTCTTATGTGGATGGTTTCCGGCAACGAGAACTATAAAATACATATTTCATGATAATGCGGATTTTCCGATTTTCATGGAAGTATAAAGTTTTTATTTTCACAAACGCTGACATATTCATATACATAAATACCGGAGTGTATATTTTAATTTTTCGACACTTGAACTGCATGTTTCAATTGTCATGACAACATCTGTAAAATAAATAACTTATCAACTAATTGCTTTTAAAGCTTATTTTAATAATTATTTTTTAGTTACATATTTCACTGACTCTTTATTACTTTCTTAAATGTACCACGTGCTTTTTCTTTTTATGTAAAAATATTTGAATATATTCGATAACATGTGCTATTATCGATAAAAAGGACGAATTTAACAAAAATCATTATAACGTTTCGCAAAAGAAACTTTGTCTCAATTTATTTTAACAGTTTGTTAGGTATGAATTTAAAAAAAAAAATTTAATATTTACGCTAAAAATCATTCCTATAATTTTGTTCATAGTCTGTTACACTGTAAGATATTAGATATTGCATTAGTAGGAAAACGATATTAATGTCAGGTAAATCGATTCGCTGTATTTAACAGTTATATTTATTTTCCTAAATGTTCTATATATATTATTAATGTTCGACTTTCAAGGAGCCTCTGTTCAATAACATCAACGAAGCTATTCAATATATAGTAAGGAATCAATGTACAAAGGCATTTTGTTATTTTAAGTAAATTGACTATTCATGAAGTATCGAAGTTTTGACGCATCTCTAAACTGGCCGCATAGTGGTTGGCAAATTTGCAGGCGCGTACTTAAATAAACTTTTTAGTTTCGAGATTATAAACCGCTTGAGGATTAAAAGCTTTATATATTAACTGTTTCTTATTGCTAATAAAAATAAAAAAAAATAGATATATATACATATATATATTTATAATCCACGCACAAACATTCATAACACTACAATTACAAATCATCCACGTCGAAGAAATGGGAGATGATTGGGTGGGCAAAGCTGTTTCTATAGAATGCGACGCAAAACTCGGTGTTTTCCAAGGTGTGATAAAAGACATATCTGATTCGGTGATTACTATTGTTCGTGCATTTCGTAATGGTGTGCCATTAAAAAAACAATACGCTGAGGTGACATTACGGTATGTCTAATATCTTACAACTCCATCGCTGAATAACTATAACGTGACCCGTTTTATTGCAGGTCATCAGATATTGTCAATATTTGCCTAATACCAACTTTTAATGGACACAGTACATACATAACGACAGATTTAAAAAAGCCTACGTCCGTTAAACAGCCAAACTTTGCAAATGCTGGAAAATTTGCACTTTCCTTACCTCAAAACAATGTTAACTCCGAAAGGAATCAAGCTTCATCATTGCCCAATAATGCGTATCCCAAGCCGGGAAATTCCATGAGCGAACTAACCAAAAAAATATCAAAAGTGAAAATTGACACCGACACATCATGTAAAAAGTAAGTATGTCTTATTTTTTTTATATTTAAAACAATTTTTTTACCTATAGTTTTCAAAGTTTGGATAGTAAGGCAAGTAAAAGTGGGAACATGCCTTATAATACTAGTGTTAAAGAATTTTTCGGAAACTTGCTACCACCAAAAGTCGAAGCACGTTTGGGTTGCTCACAATTTCCCTCATCTCCTCATTCTGTTAATGTGTACGATGATAACTTTGAAGCTGTAAATACATATGGTGAAGAAGCAGGCACTAGTTCCAAACCGATTGATATAAAAACGAAGGGAAACATTTATGGAGCAAGTGGGTTTCCAAAGGCTCCAGATATTTCCGGTAGCGGAAGTGTAAATAAATTTCGAAATAGTGCTCCTAATAATAATGGTAGTAATCGTAAGCAACGAAAACAACGTAAAGATGCTAATATGAAACATAGCCAAACATTCGGTACCTCTGTGGATGATCCCCTAATACATGAAGATTTTGATTTTGAGGGCAACCTAGCACTTTTCAATAAGCAAGCTATTTGGGATATAATTGAAGCGGAACAAAAACCAGATTTAGTGCGACAAACTTCAGTGTCAATGAAAAAATATAGACATGACGAGAATATATTAGTAAGTGAACCCGTAAGACTGCGACAAATTGAAAATATATTTGATGGCTCAACGGATTTTGTTACCGGTAAAAAAGTCAATGAAGCAATCTTGTGCACGCATGGAAGATTGCTTTTTAATTTAATATTTTTCAGATGAAGGACTTATAATACCAACAATTCCATCGTTTGTTCGTGCGAAAATTGAAAGTCTTGCCGAAAAAGAGGGACTTTCAGTACCAAGGCAACTGGACATATTAGCAAGAGGAGTTACTGATCTCGCCATATCACTTTTAGGGGGTGCTAGAAGACTAACACCCACAAATTACCACCAGTGGCCAATTATTGTCATATTATGTGGAAAATCAAATAACTTAAGGTAGCATATATTTTTTATCAATCGTTAATTTTTTAATATAAATGTACATATATATTGTAGAAATAGGGATGTCGGTGCTGTGACTGGACGACAAATGGCGTCTCATGGGCTAAAAGTGTTACTTTATATGGAAGACAAAAATATAAATGACAAAAGCAATGAAATTTCCCTCTTCAAAGCAACGGATAATGTTATAGTTAACTCAGTTGATGGTAAATATACTGATAATAAATAAAAAAGGATTATTAGTTCTTGTCACCACTTATGCATTATATACAATTAATGCTTTTAGAATTGCCTACACCGGATCTGGTAATATTATCTACAGATTCAAATGTTTTAACCGGCAAAGTAAGGAAATGGTTAAGCGAAAATAGGTAAGTTTAATTATTTCAATTGTAAAAGCTCGAATTGATAGTTTCAAATCAGTATAAGTATATTTAAATTTAATTTTTTTTTTATAAAAAAAGCTTTTAAAAATATTAATAATTATAAAAAATTGTCTTTAAACAGAGCATCTGTACTTGCCGTGGACCCTCCACCTGATGGTATTAAAGATGTTAGCATTAAATATACGATCTTGCCGATATTACCCTTAAATGGCATTTCATCAAATAACTACGGGAAATTATATCTGTGTAATTTGGGCATACCGGATAAATTTTATCGAGACGCTGGGATTAAATACAAAAGTCCCTTCGGCCACAAATTTGTGATACCAATACATTCAAAGGATTGAAGAGATCAATTAAATTGGATGTTCAAATATTTACATATGAGAACAAATTTTATTATTAGAAAGAATATTCCCCTCAAGAACTGTTTAAGGAAAACTGAAAAAATACTCCAGTAAACTTGTTTTCCTATTAAAAGCTGAACTGTATTATGTTACTAAAATCATTAGCAAATTGGTATATTTCTTTCTAATTGATTAATAATTTTTCACCTTGTGGATCTAAAATAATTTTTTAATTTCTGAAAAACAATGTGCATTTCAAATGCTTTTAATATTAAATTTACATAACTTGACAATTATAAATCAGTTAAATAAGCAAAATTCAAAGAAATACTACACACAAAGATACGGAGTCTATATAATAGCCTTTATGTTTCTACCAAAATTATTAAATTTTCTTTCATTTGTCAAATAAAATTGTCCACATTGTCAAAAACAGCAGAAATTCTGGTTTTTTGCTCCAAAGTTATTTATTTATTTTATATCTTAAAATGTAACACGTTTTAAAATCAATTTTTAGAAATCAAAAACTATATAAATAGAGACATAAAGCAGCTTTTTAAATACAAAATAAAATTGGAAACCATTACATCTTATGTATTGTAAAAAGTTGCTGATTCAATTCGCCACTTATTTCTCGTGGCTCTGCATTTTGTGAAGTTTGGCGTAAATTCCATTGAGTGCAATCAGTTGTTGATGATTACCAATTTCTACTATTTTTCCATTTTTCAAAACACAGATTACATCAGCATTTTGCACTGTGGACAGGCGATGTGCTATGACTACACAAGTCCTACCAGTGCAAGCTACATCTAGAGCCTGTTGTACCAGCTGTTCACTTTGTAAATCTAAAGCCGAAGTTGCCTCATCCAGTAACAGGATTTTAGGATTCCGAATCAAAGCTCGTGCGATGGCAATACGCTGCTTTTGACCACCGGATAGTTGAGTTCCACGTGCACCCAAACGTGTATCATACCCATTTGGCAACGACATAATGAAAGAGTGTGCATTTGCACATTTTGCTGCTCCTATTATTTCATCCATTGTCACTTTGCGCGAGTTATCACCATAGGCTATGTTTTCAGCAATTGTGCGTTCAAAAAGAGATGGCTCCTGCGAAACAAGTCCTAGTTTTCTTCTTAAGCTTTCAATAGATACGTCTTTGTGGATATCATCTTCATTCAGTTTCTGAAATTATATAGGAGCCTTATGTAATTGCTGATGCATACGTGCACATAAATACATTCGCATGTATGTACATATGTATAAATAAAGTATTATTAAGATATATTTTTATATACCAAATTGATAGTGTCGTCACTATCAGTCTTCATGCTCGCCTCAAAAACATAATTAAGATATCTTGGCTTTAAACACGGTCCATTCACCTCTGCGGCGATCAAACTCTAATCATAAACGAAGTAAATTGATTGAGGGGAGCATGTATCATTTGTATTTGTTTCGGTAAATATGATTTTTAATAATATCAATAAATAAACCGATATTTTAATGTCCTTTGCCTCAACTTCACCACTAATCCCAGCGATTCTATTTACAAACTTAAAATCCTTCCATTAATAATAATACCCAACTAGACACTCGACTTAGAATATCCCTTTTATTCCTCACCTTAAAGTTTGAATTTGTGTGAATGACCCCTATTCTGAAGTTTCAGTCACTACTAAGATTTTGGTTCCGGTTCGACAAAAACCACAATTGATTTCCCCAAAGTGTATGTTATGGCATGGCCGCCACCGAACGGCTACTGGATTTTTTCATTTCATGCTAAAAAAATACGCTAAGAGCTATTAGCGTTCTCACCTCACTTTTTTACTTGAATTAATTTTCTACGATTTTGGTTGTTGGTTAAATTAGGATTCGAACTCAGGTGCTTTCGCATGGTAGTACACATTTCTAATCACTCGACCGTTGACAAGAAGGAGAAAAAAGGAAACAAACTCAAATCCCTGCCTATTAGGCTTTAAATGTCATCAACAATAGCTGTGTGCTTTGAGAAATCTTAGTAAGGATTAGCCAGTAACGAAATGTCAAAACTGCGTTTTCTCGACTTTTTGCCTCGCCGAACGCGGCGCTGTAAAATTTCGTAACAATAATAACACTATATACAATTTACTAAATTTGTTCTCACATTCTTAGATATTGAGATTTACTTACAATGGTACCGCTATCTGGATCATATAAGCGCATTAACAGTTGAATACAAGTGGACTTTCCACATCCTGAACGTCCAACCAAGGCCACAGTTTTTCCTTTGGGTACTTCCAAATTTAGTCCATTCAAAATTTTCACATCCAAACGTGTTGGATATTTAAATTCTATATTTGAAAACCGAACACCTTCAAACACAGCTGGTGCTCTGTCTATGCTTCTGTTTTCTCGGCCATGTGGAGACAAAATTTTTGGTGTCCGATCTAAGATTTGGAAAAGTCGATGTGCTGCCACTAATGCTGCAGTAAATGCTGGTGCAAAAGCTAACGATTGGGCCAACATCATGGAACCATATAAAAGTGTTTCCGATACTCTGGAAATTGAAATCGTCAATTTCGAATCAGTTTGGCGTGAGGTATCCCAGATCGGAGTTTGAGCCATCTATTTACATACATATGTATAATTGTACATATAGGGTTGGTGCACTTCATAATTTCCACTTTTTTTTAATAAATTGCCTCACTTTAGAAAGTCATTTAATGATCTAATAAATTTTTATAAAATGCATGCAATTTTAATTAAAAAAAATTAAGAATTTAAAAATTATTTTTTATTACACATAATTATCATGCAGGAAAAGTATTATACCTTTTTTTATTCATTACCTCAAAGCTGTGTTATTTCTTTTTTAATTCAATTACTTTTGTGTCAGCTTATTAATTATTATTATAAATAACTAATATAATAAGTTCATACATATGTATGTTACATGAAATGCAATCTGACATGGTGTGGGAATGTGCTATAAACCCCAACGGTTTGGCGAACATAGCAAGCTGTTATTAGTTCCGGAGCACAGCGATATATAAGGGAATGGAGAACAAACACACGGAACCCTTATATCCCATTGGGCATCATACATTTATAGAAGAGTTGAGATAGGTAGAGAAGTATATATGAGAGTAATATTGGCCGAAAACAGGCTGAAGAACTTATAGGCGACTACAAGACTAAAAGATTTAAACAATTAAGTAAACTTAGCAAAAATAATGTAAGAATAATTTCAGGAATTCTGACTGGATATTGCAGAGTCCGATACCTTTTACACAAACTAGGCATCCTATCTGTTTAGCTGTGGCAGTATTGCCACATAGAAATAGAAACTTTAGGGCTTGAAGCAAGAAGACGGCAAACACACATACGACCAATGGAGCTTGAAAATAATTGTATCAGATCTGTGAGCCCAATAAGTCTTAGGTTAGGTTTCCTAAAAGCACTAGGGCTATACTAAGAATTCTAATAAGGAAAGAGTGCGCAATAAACTTAAGGTCGTTGTGCTGATCCTCCACATCATCTATCTATTCTTGTTACATGCTATATATATGTACATATGTATATATTTTTTCAAATATATTTCCTATCATACCTACTTATGAACGAATATGTATATGCGTGTATATATATGAATGTTTGTATTAATTTTCAGTATTTGATTGTTATCTTTCCATGCTTGCATTTACTCGTATCCTGCCCATGCGTACATACTTGATAATATCCTGAAAAGGAACCTTTCCCTCAGACACAAGTACACCGCCGTAGCACAGTGCCACTGCATAGGCAAAAAATATAAAAGCTTGCCCGGATGCATTAATTAATCCACGATATTTCAATTTCTGTTGAATCATAGCCTTAACTTTGTCAATTTCCAAATTATATCGTTCGATTATCTGAGCTTCCCGACGTAAGCCTGCTATTGTGCGAATATTTGTGATGGCTTCTGTCGCGATGCGAGATGCTTCTTCCAATGCTGCCTTTTCATATACCAAGGAAGCGCTCATGAATCTGAAAAAAGAAGAAAAAAAGTAAAATTTTTTGTAGATTTTCATTTTCTCAAAACGCTTTGAAGGATACAGAAGCAGAAGACCTAGATAGAGATAAATTTATTAAGTTGAACTTTCGATTATTTTCATTGCCTAGCTTAGTAAATGTCTTCTACGACTGTGACGACTGTGAAAACAGGCGCTGGACAACACCGTAAGCCGAACCGTTCGATACCAAACGAGGTTTCAGACAGGGTGACTGCTTGTTGTGTTCTTTTTTCAATTTGAAGCTGGACAAAATAATATGAACTGTAGAGCTAAATAGGCAATGATATATGAAAAGATATGTACAGTGATGAACTAAAGTATTGGCACAGCAAGATAGGTCAACTTTAACACTTTTTTCTGACCACTTATGAGTAGAATTTTGGAAAAACTTTTCTTATCAGATGCTTGCGTCTTACACAGAACACACTCACCTAGTTTCTACGATTAGTGATTTGAGTTGAGCGTTGATCCGTCAGTCGTTTGACTGAGTTATCAGTAAACTACGATACTTTAATAAAGAAATTTAATAAATGTTAGATTTTGAGAATTTTTCAAAGCGTTAACAGCAAGGAATAGAGTAATAAAAAGAAGAAAAAAAAACTACTTTAAAATAAAAATCTACAGTCAAACAATAATTTTTTCTACTTACTTTGATTCAAAAATAATGGATCCAACGATAACAGGACAAGCACAAACACACACCAAAGCCAAATTCCAGCAATAGTAAAGCGACAATGTGAACGCAATAATAAAATTAGAAAATGCCTGCAATAATCCACTTAATGGATAACCAATAGCTCCCTGCACACCAGACGCATCTCCAGTCAATCTAGCTGATAACGAACCCACGGAGTTGCTCTCCTCGTCGAACCAAGCCGCTTCCTGGCGCATTATGGCCATGAAAGCCATTGAACGCATGCGTGTCGTTAACCACACGCCCGCATAATGGAATAAGTATGTTTGTAGAAAACACCCAACTCCAGTTAAAGCGCCCAAAATTAGGCAAAATATTGATAGAATCGAAGTACGATCTAATGCAACCTCTGCATCAGGTTGTGCCAGCGCAGCGTAAAACTCTCCAAAGATAACCGAAAATGCTGGGTAGGTAAAGCCAAAAGCTATAGCGCAAACAGCACCACATACTAGCATACACCATTCCGGGCGTGCTAGCTGGAGAATTCGTCTGAAAGTCAAAAAGAAATTCCCACCGGTGGCATCGTCTTCTGATATATTTTCCTTGTTTTTCACAGGCATGATTGGCTGCTGCTCATATGAGATGTGATTCTTTTCGAGATTTATTAAATCTGTTTCGAAGGATTTCTCGTATGAATTGAGATTAAGTTCTGAAAGAAAATGTGTTTCAAAAAACTTGATCTAGGATCTCTTGTTTCCTTACTCTTATCCTCAATGACATTTTCTTCAGTAGCGTCCGCAACATTGATATCGCCAGCACGTACCATATTGTAGTACATTCCCTTTAAAGTCATAAGGTCATCATGTGAACCCTCTTCGAACACTTTGCCTTCATGTAAAAATACTATTTTATCTGCACCACGAATAGCTGACAGGCGATGAGATACCACAATAGTTGTACGACCCTTGCTCACTAAATCTAAAGCCTGTTGGATATCCTTTTCAGAGTGGTAATCCAAAGCCGAAGTAGCTTCATCCAGAAGTAATATTTTTGGATCCTGTATTAGAGCTCGTGCTATAGCTATGCGTTGTTTTTGACCACCGGAAAGTTGAGAACCTTTTTCGCCTATCACAGTGAGGTAACTCTGTTTGTAAAATAATATACATACATATATGCATAAGTAAAAAATGTTAATACCTAAAATCCGCGATATTAAATTAACTTATTGTGAAGCACAGAACTAGTAAAATTATGATTCCTCACCTCAGGCAAACTACAAATAAAGTCATGTACCCCAGCGGCTTTGGCTGATGCCTCTATTTCCCGTTGCGTAGCACTCGCTTTTCCATAACTAATATTTTCCGCTAAAATATATGTATTTGTGTACGATTATGTAGATAAATGCTTATGTAAAACTATATTTCTTAATTTTCGAGGGAATCATATGTAATGAAAAATGAACTGCATAAGTTTGGGCATACATATACCGTTCTTACCAATAGTTCCCTGGAACAATACGGGTTCCTGTCCAACCACTGCCATGTTGGATCTTAACCAATGAATATTATATTTCCGTATATCCAAGCCATCTAAAGTTACTGAGCCGAAAATTGGATCGTAAAAACGTTGCAACAATTGAATACATGTGGATTTTCCACAACCAGACGAACCCACGAGTGCAACAGTTTGGCCGTTATTAACCTTAAAATTCACACCACGGTGAACGATAACATCCGCTCGTGTCGGGTATCGAAAGAAAACGTCCTTAAATTCAATCTCGCCCCGTAGACCGTAATTCAGTAGTTTGCCATCGCTGGATAAGGGATCAATTTTAGATTTCGTGTCGATAACTTTGAAAATATTAATAGCTGCACCGCGTGCTGTCGCAAACGATTCCAAAAATGGCGCGGTCCGTGCGATATTGTCTGCACCGACAATAAGTCCAAAAAATGCCTGGAAAATATAAATATGTATTTCATATAAGCATTTAAAACTTAATTGCTAAAATTTGTATCGAAATTAAAAAGTTTTTAAGTATAATATTCTTTGAAATAAAGTTCGAAAATGCCATTGAATCTAATTGTACTTACTATCATTAAAATTGCAGGAGTATATTCTTTATCCTCCAAATTTCTATTGTCGAGAATTAAGTTAACACCATACCAAAAAGCGCCAGCACAGGAAAGAAATAGCAAAGACTTCAAGACACCGTCACTGAGGCCAGAGAAAGCACCTTTGCTTTGACTTGCCTTTCGTGCAGGAACCAAATAATTATCATAACGTTCTGATTCCTTTTTCTCAGCGCCGAATGCAACTACAGTGCGGATGGAAGAAAGAACCTCCTCTACAATATTACCAGCGCCAGCATATGATTCCTGCTCTCTTTTGGTCAGTTTACCTTGATACTGTTTAGGTATATAAAAAACTGTTACTTACTTATAATTATATTTCTTATATTTGTGAAATGCCGTTAGGGTTAGAAAAAGAGTTATAATTTTTTTTAGGATTTAAAACTTTTTTTTTTAATCCCAGTTGCTGGTGGTTTGCAGCTGTCTCATAACATGAGCCCTACAATCTACAACTCTAAACTTGTGAAAACTAAAATAATTTTAATTTACGGCAAACTTAAAGCGAGCTGCAGGAAAACGCAATATAGAACATGACAAAGAGCGCAAGAGCTTGAGTATACCATCTGCTTTTGACAATCTTTCTTCTACAAGAATCCAAAAAAGGAACGAAGAATTTCGAGTCACAGATCCATAGGCCTCTGCACTGAAAGCTCAATGGTCGCCTTTAAAGTAGGATGTGGAACCCACTCACCAATGCTCCATCAAGCCACTGCAGCTTCCTCCAAGCAGTACTTATTGCAATCATAGTCACAATCCAGTTAATTACTACATACTCTGACAACTGGGCGTATACAGGGGTACTCTAAAAACTCTGCATACGACGCAAAATATTCTATATGCTAAGCAGCCAATTTAGGACTCGAAAATATCATTGAAACCTCTCTGAAATTATACGATAATATCATTTGTAGTGGTTCTTACCTTTCCTACGAAGTAGTTGAGAAGGATAACGATCGGTATATAAACACTAACCGCCAATGTGAGTTTCCAGCCATAAGCAAAAGATATACATATTGTTATGATAAAGCCGAATATGAGATACAAAAAGTGAGCAACTTTTTCGGATATGCCGTCCCTGACCTTCTCTACATCACTGCAAATAAATATGTTGTTATATATACATATGTATGTATGTCTGTATAAATTTCTAAAACAAAAAAAAATATTTATAATATAAGAGTATATAATAATATTGAAAGGGTCCAACTATGCAACTATCTTCAAAGTCTAAGAGGTTATGTGCAGTCGATCATATAAAAATATTGGTCTACATTGACTTTAGAAAAGATATGCCCAGAAAATCTCGCTTAAAGTCTCAGAAGTAGTGTACAAGTGTTAATTTTTCTTTCAAATTCGGCTACATACATTTCTGAAAATATTTATCGAGTTTGCTTCAAGTTTTCGGAGAATATTTATTAAGTAAATGCACGTTCCGCAAATTCAAAAAAAAAAAATGTTTTCAATTCTACTCGCGTACAACCTCTTAAGAGACAACATAATTTTGACCATGATACAAAAAAATTATAGTTTCACTCAAAAATTTTTCAAAAATATCATCTATCTGACATAAAAAGATTTTTTGACTTTTGCTTTATTTTTGCGCTACCAATATTATTAATAAAAAATAATTTGTTCACAACTCGCTTTACACATTTTTTAAATTTTTAAAGACAATTTTTTCGCAAGATAGGGATCAATCATTTCCCAAAGACTTTTCCTCTGATATATGTATATACGCGTAAATTGGTTTCCATATGAAATTTTTATACATAATTCTCCTTCGCTTGGAATTTTGATCATTTTTATTCATTCTTATTTTTGACATTAATTATTTACATTTACATCGACATTACGTTTATATCGACACATATCTAGTCAGAACGTAATTAATTGAAATTTTTATTGATTTAGAGAGAGTACAATACAGAGGCCTTTAGAATTTATAGTCAAAATATTACAGACATATTTAAAATGTTTTGTCAACCCACAAAATTGAACTAACATAGTCGTTAAACACACGATACAAAAAAGAAGACAGTTTCACTCAAAATTTTTTTCAAAAATATTAACTTTCCGACATAATAAGATTTTCCGACTTTTGCTTTATTTTTTTGTCATTTCATTTCTTAACATTCCAAAAATTTAAAAATTATATTACCAAAATTGTAATATGCTTTGAGTTTTAGTTTCTAAAATCTAATGGAAATAAAAATTATTTCAGGCGCCTTAAGTTTTTTGATCAAAATATGCGTTATATATTTTTTAAAATGGCAATGTTTTGAAGTTAAAATAAAATGTGATAAGATGTGATGTCAAAAAATCCTTTTTTGTCAATTTCATGTTGAGCGTTTCTTTTTTGTATCATGGTTTAAAATATAATCTGCTGTTTTCGTAACCTTTTATTCATAAAACTTGAAATTAAACTATTTTCAGGCATTGTTTTGAAGTTAAAATAAAAATAAGATATTATATAATTTAAAAAAATCGATTATATCAATTTTATATTGAATGAAACTACCTTCCCTTTTTAATCATGATGTTGATTTTAATTAATTCAATAAATTTTTAAATTTTATACAAAATTTGTTTAGGCCCTCTCTATGTAAATTCCTATTTAAATATTCAAATTTACTTACTCAATAATTTGTTGAGTGAAATTTTGCTTAGTCGCCATATCATGCCACGCAATGTCTTGTCGAATGACGGTTTCGAATAAGACTTTTCGCATGCGCGTTACTTGTCTCAATGCTACAAGATTAAACATATCTACAGACAGAACACCCGATATAAACATAATTATCGATGTGATTGTCAAGAGAATCCCATATGATATAGAATCATTATACAGCTCTGACATATTTTCCTCGTTCGTGGCATTCGTACTAAAAATCAGATAAAAACCTCTATTTAAATGATTCCCACTCGAATTGAATCCACAAATACTTACAGCATTCTACCGCCACCGAAAATTGGTAAAGCAAATGTCCTGGAACTGGTGCCAATGGCCAATGTGCGATCGACTAACATTGAAGTAAATTCACTATACACAATCACAACGGCTGGCAGCGTAAGGGCTTTTATAATGGACATTACAAAACCAATAAAAAGTAAAAAATTTTCAAATCCTGTTGAGAAACGATATAGTTTGAAAAATTTAATGCTTTTCTTGCTGTCATGATCTAATTCATCTGAAAAGTCGTCCACAGCATTGGATGTTTGAGCATCATTTTCATCCTTTCCCGCCATTTTTCTACGTAGTCACTCTGGAATGAAAAATTATTTAAGAATACTTTCTCCAAATATTTGAGGCTTACGAATATATTACATAAATTGTATATCTTTTAAAATTTGAAGTTTAAAACCGGTTCAACTTTAAACTGTAGGTCCCTCCAATTGTTGGAAAAATATTATGACGGAAATCCACAAATTGGCGGAGGAGCTCAGCGGAAAATCGTTTCAGCGGTTACAAAGCGCCAATTATATAAATCATGAAAACATATTATTTCGAAGCCATACAAAATTTGAAAAAATTAACTGAGCTAAACGTATCGAGCTAAATACGGGCTTTGAAAAATAACACGATTAATAAAAAGAAAAAATTTTTGTTTTAAAAAGTCATAGAACCATACTCGTTGTAACAAATTAAAAGTGGTTTTGCTTTGATCTTTAGTTCTTTAACTACAATATTTATGTATGGCTAAAAAGTTGCCAATCAGCAAGCCAAGATTTAAATATGCAGCCTTAGTACTACCTCCTATCTACCTTGTCTATTGTACACTCGGCCTACACAAATATAATAAATACGAGTAAATATATATAGATTGACACATTCATTTGAAATCAATTAGTTTTTCCTTCCACGAGTATGTCTCTAACGCCATATATTTGTATAGGTATTTGTATTTTTTTTTCTGATGCGCTCCGAAACTATTGAACTTTGCCACTAATTTAAGTTAATTGAAGTCAATATACAATGCATGACATTCAAAAAAAAAATCCATCTTGGTTTAATGTGGTGTCTTTCGAACGCAAATATTTATAATTAATAAAAAAAAGAATATATTATATGGTGGCCGCAATCATCTAGTGCTTAGCATGGCGCAATAACATTCGGATGGCTAGGGTTCCAGTCCTAGTTCGACCAACATTTAAAAATTATAGATAGAAAATTTACTTTTCTAATTACGGTCGTCCCACGCAGGGAATGTTAAGAACTTCGAGTGTATTTCTTACAAGAAAAAAAGGATTTCATCGGCCGTTCGGAGAATAAACTGTAGGCCCCTAACACGAGGGCCATCACGAGGCACGTCGCAAATCGCAGGAGGAGTTCGCCCGAAAATCACTTCAGCGGTTTCAATACACATAGAACATATGTATGTAGGTGTATGCAGGTTTGAGCCGCTGATTTTCCCCTTTCCCTTTTCTACGAGTATATTTAATCAATCATAAATTCAAAATAAATTAAATTGAACTATGACATATATGTATATATATGTACGTATGCATGTGGGTATGTATGTGCATAAAGCAAAAGGTTGCAATTGTTTTTGCATGAAAAAAATGAAAATGATTCCATTAATATAAAAAATTTCATTTTAACTAGTTAAAAATAAACAAAAAAGTTCCAATTTCGAAGCAAACAGTTTCTTTTTTATACTTTCAATGGGAAATTCATTCCTTTACTTTTGCCGTTACGATTTATTCCTCAAAACCGAAATTTCATTTAGAAGCGAATAGTGTGGTATTTTATTTAAAATAAGTATTTTGTTGAATATTTCACTTTATATCATTATTTAAAATTATTTCAGATGTCCTTAGACTTACGCAAAGCCTATATATATGTACATATGGGATATACGAGTATGTACAAAATATTTCACTTTAATGATATCTTGCCAAGAGACTCTCCCAATTTTAATTGTTTTTATCCTTTTGCAATATTATGTTTTTTCTGATAACACTTTCTTCTTTCGTATTTTCATTTTTACAAATATCCTTCATTCGTCGAATAAATTACACTGAAATAATTATTTCCACAGGTAGATAAGCGCAATACACTTTTCTCATCTTACCCAACGACTTTCAGTTCAAAATAATAGATCTGGCGTGAGCGGCTACTTCCCACAAACTGATCGCTCAGTGTGAGTAGAGAATCGACCAAGCATATTTTCATTCCTTAATGGTGTTCGATTGGCTCAATCAATTCATAGTTTGATTTAGTCATGCTCATGCTGAAGTTTTAAACGCAAATCTAAATTAATTTGCTTGCGAAAGACAATTAACTAAATTTAAAAGATTTAATTTACTTAGGGGTGCTTCCTTAGAATTGTCTACCGAGATTAAAAATAAATATTACCCTCTTCCAAATTAGTTACTAATATTAAATAAAACACACTTAAAATATGTATTAGATGTTAATGTAATAAAGAGCTGAAATTTATTTCATTTGAAAGACAAATTAGTCTGCTTTCGTTTAAATTAACCGCTCAAAATATTTATGTTCCGTTTCCCGGAATTTTGTGGCTTCAGTAAGGCAAAGCTTTTAAACAGCTGCCACCTGATTTATACTAAGTTTGGTTAGCCATTTCAAAATAAACAGACTCAATCCGAGTTAATCGTCCAGCAGAATCGATGATTTGAGAAACCATGACGCCTTTGCTGCTGTTGTGTGTGGAGCATCGTAGAAGCCCCAAACGAGTTCATATGTCATCGCGCGCAATAATTAGAGTTGCGCCGATCCACATATTCAACTTTTACACCTTAAAGACGTAGGAATATCTCGATTATTGACCGTGGAAATGCCCATAAGAATGTACATATCATACATATATTATACAACTGTGTGCGTAATAATAGCAGTGACTAATAGAAATTTAAGTAATGGTTTTCTTACATTTAAATAATACCCGTAATTTTAAATTTGCCAATGCTAGAATGTAGGCCCGAATGCTACTTCCCTGTATTTAAATAAATTTCTTATGTAGTTACCACATTCACTTTTTGTGCTACGCGGTACTATTTTACTGTGATTTAAAATAGCAGTGCCAGTAAAATAGCCGTGTTGTGTAAACGAATTCAGGTCAAACTTGAAAATTGAAACTAATTTTGAAAGCTGAAAGAATTTTTTTTTGTAAATAAATGGTTGTTTTAAATTTTAAATGTTTTCCTTTTCAAAAATGGACCTACATTCTTTTGGAGGAATAACCTTCCATGCATTCCTCACTACCGTCTACATTTTTTCCATATTTGATAGATTCTCTTTGCCTACCTCTTCTTTTACATCTGCTGAAAGATTTTCAATAGGATTAAGGTCAGTAGACTGAGCCCGCCGGTCTATAACCTCATCCCCATTTGAAGAAAAACAACATTTTGTCAAGTTGCTGGTCTGCTTAGGGCGTTGTCTTGTTGATAGCCCAGTTTCAGCGGTATCTTACACTCAGCACGCGGTAGCATAGTTGACTGGGATATTTGGACATAAAGTTTGGCATCCATGTTCTCCTTTATAAAATATATCGGATCTGTGCCATAGTAAGAGAAGCATCCCCATACATCGATTTTGCACTGCCATGTTTTACCGTCCGGGAAACATATGTGGGGTAAAATGAAGCATTTTCTGACCTTCGCACATATTTTCGACGTCTTTTAGAACCATAATAAAACAATTTTTGTTTCGTCGGACCATAAAATATAACGGCATTTCTGGACCGGCAAATTTAGTTCTGGTCTGAACATGTCGGTGTTGATGTAATGGCAATCGTATTGTACACCTGACAAAAAGTTTGGCTGCTATCGTTTTTTGTCGAATTGTGGACGAGTTCACGGCAAGATTGAACTCGTATTAAATTTTTTTGAGGTATAAAGTGGATTTTCTCGAGGCAAAGCCACTATTTTTCCTAATTATGTCAGAGAAGAAGCTTCTTTGCGTCCTATTCTTTCACGAATTGGTGTCAACTTGTTGGCATTAGTAATCAGTATGGCTGAATACCCAAGCAACCCTGCAGTAAACTTTCAGATTTTCCCTTCCAATAATAATTTTTTGATAAGTTTTCGTTTTTCAACAGTGCAGCGCATGGCGCAGACAAATTTTGAATAGAAATATATTCTAAAATCCAAAAAACGTTGTATTTACAAAAAAAATCTTGCAGTATTCAAAATTAGTTTATATTTTCAAGTTTGACCTGAATTCGTTTACACAACACGGCTATTTTACTGGTACTGCTATTTTAAATCACAGTAAAATAGTACCGCGTAGCACATAAAGTGAATGTGGTAACTACATCAGAAATTTATTTAAATACAGGGAAGTGTATTCGGGCCTACATTCTGGCATTGACAAATTAAAATTACGGGTATTATTTAAATGTAAGAAAACCATTACCGAAATTTCCATTAGCCATTGCTACTATTACGCACACAGTTGTATATGTACATTATTTCAACTTTTACTCTTTTTCATCTTATTTAGCTTTAGGTGGTAGGTTGTCCTTGTCTTTTGATTTTGTTTGCAATTATTTGTTTAACCTTCGCTTGGCCGATGCGCACTGCCCGTTCCCACTGCAATATATTTTGTTGAGTTTGAATTAAAAAATTCAAGGCCTCTAACGGTTTCTGTACAACTTTTTTCTCAATAAGGAGAACACTGCAAAATTAGTTCTGTGCGTTGAACAGATGGGCAGTAACAACACAATTTTTTTACCAAACTTCACTGGAACGTGTTCGTTGAGCCAAAAGCCCAGTAAAAATTGGTAACGAGAGAGCGCAATTTTGACTTTAGTTGGAGAGAAAGTTGCAAGATAATGCCGGGAACTGATCCAGTAAAAACTAGCAGCTGATTTTTGATCATATGATTGAGTTTTTGTCAACAAAGTAAAATTTATTTAAAGTTAAAATAATTTTAGTTCTTTAATATGAATTATATAACAAAATAAGTGGTTAAATGTAATGTTGTTGAATTTAACAGAACAACATCAATGTTTTCAACAACGGTAAAGATACTCGTTAAACAAAAATTTGGTGTCAGTTGAGTGAAATCATCGCTCGCACACCACCCAGCCTCCGTTGAGAAATTAGAAGTTAGGAAGACATAGAATTAGAATATGTATATTATTATTTATACTGCAACGTTAGCTTTTCATTTCTATATAATTTACCAGAAAACAGTGTCCAAAGTACGACCAAAGTAGCTGCACACCAAATTCGAATCAAAGTTACTGCTACGACCACAATGAAGATAATGCATTCTTAATCTTCCGGAAGCGACGACGGTACACAAAATTAAATATTAGTAGTATTTAGAAGAAAAAATAAAGCTCTTGCTTGAATTTTATTTAAATGAAACTGACACGTGAACAGCTGCAGTAAAACTTGCTGGTTAATTTTTACTGAATCCTCTTCGTTGAAAACTCAGTAAATTTCTTTCCTTGTGAGAGTAAAACATCTTACTCTCTCAATTTCCTTACTGGCTAATCTTTACTGACATTTCTCAATGAACACAGTTTTGATTAGCACAGAACTGGAACAGTTTTATTTGGGACTGTCTTTCGGAAAACCCTGCCTTTATATCTGGAGACGATCTCTAGGTGCAAATTTTATTTGATTTTTGCCTCGCCGGGCGCGGAGTCAGCAAAAATTGTTACTGTTATCGGCTAGTTGATGTCTCTGTCGACGATAGTACGAGTAAACGAGATTTCAATTGCTTTTAGCGAATTCCTCCCAAAAATATATTTTCATTCGCTAAATTTGAAACAAACAGAGTCATTCACCTATCATCCATCAGGCTTCTCCTCCAATTTGTGGTATGTGTACTAATTTTTTCTAACAAATGAACGGACCTACAGTTCATTCTAAGCCGCATCCGAACGGCCGATGCATTCTTGTATGGAGCATTTATTTTATGGCAGAAATACGTTCGGAGGTGTTGACATTTCCTACCGGGAACGAACGCAATTTTTTTTTTTTAATTATTGTTGCTCGAACCAAGACTCGAACCCTGGACCTTCCACATGATACTATGAACTGTTTGTTCAAAAATCTTTTAAAGGATGATAGTAATCTGCTTACCGTTATTGAATATGAGTTGACGAAAGCTCATTTATTCATTTGTCGATTGCGTAAAACCATTCATTGCATATACATACATAATTACAAAGTTTCTTTTTTACGGCATAATAACGATGGAGGCTGTCAACTCTATTCAATCTTTGGCCGGTCGATTATTAAAAATCGATTTATCGTGTTTGCGTTAAATTTTCAATACGTGTATTGTCTTTGGCTTGCGCACAGGCTTAATTGTGTAAAATAATAAAATTATACTGAATATAAAAAGATATTCGTTTGACACTCGCATAGCTAGTTTTAGAACATTATTGAGGATAACATCTGTGCATGGCTTCATAACAAATTCAAGACCTAAGTCGGCTCATAAGCAGTGTTATGAGAATAAGAAAATTCTGACTTTGTAAAAGTAATCTTATTTGTTTAATCTTATAACAAATAAATTGATATGTGGCAAATACGAGCCTTTACGTTTTGTTTAATATTAATATTGAGCGATTGGTGTGTATTTGCCGATGAGCACAATCACAAAGTAAGTAGAAAAAATTGCAAATATTCGATAATTTGTTGTAATGATTGTTTTTTGAAGTATAATGACCGTGAAGAAGTAGTACTATGGATGAATACGGTGGGACCATATCATAACCGGCAAGAAACATATGCCTATTTTTCCCTGCCATTTTGTAGTGGTGCTAAACAAAGTATATCCCATTATCATGAGACCCTTAGTGAGGCACTACAAGGCGTAGAATTAGAATTCAGTGGATACGAAATTGATTTTAAAGGTAAACATTAAATTAGCATCCGATTAAACATGTATTAATTGAGAATTACACAGTTGACGTCTCACCGACGGTAATATGTATGATCGATCTAACAATTGATAAAGTTAAGGCTTTTACATATGCGGTTAAAAACCAATACTGGTATCAAATGTATATCGATGGCTTGCCTATTTGGGGTGAAGTTGGTAAGAAGGATGAACATGAAGAAAAGTATTATATTTTCACACACAAACGATTTGAAATTGGCTACAATGGCAAACAAATTGTTGATGTAGTACTACACAACGAAAAAAGAGAGTTGTTAACACCGGGAGCGAAAATTAAATTTTCATATGAAGTCAACTGGAAACCTAACAGTGTTGAATTTAAAAATCGTTTTGACAAGTATTTAGATCCGAAATTCTTTCAACATAGGGTAAGTTGAACTAATTCAAAATTAATGAGTTGCCAAATGATAAACTACATGCAAATTATATATTTTTCTCCACAGATCCATTGGTTTAGTATCTTCAACAGTTTCATGATGGTTATATTTTTGGTTGGTTTGGTTTCTATGATACTGATGCGTACGCTACGTAAGGACTACGCGCGTTATAGTAAAGATGAAGAAATTGATGATATGGTTAGTTTTGAAAAAATTATAGATACAAATATAAGCACTGAATTGGTTTTGTTGTTGTTTTTGTTACAGGAGCGAGATTTGGGTGATGAATACGGATGGAAACAGGTTCATGGAGATGTTTTCAGGACTCCCCCACATGCCTTAGTATTTTCCGCTATGATAGGAGCAGGTTCTCAGTTAATTTCTGTGGTGCTTGGTGTTATTCTCTTTGCAATTGTTGGAGAATTATATACTGAGTAAGTTTTTTGTTGTAGAAATTGCTACAATAATTTTAGAGCACAGAATGGTCGCATTATATAATTAATCGTAATTTGTTATTATTATAATTATTTTTTTACAAGGCGTGGATCCATGCTATCTACTGCCATATTTGTTTATGCTGCAACGTCACCTGTCAATGGTTACTTTGGCGGATCCCTATATGCGCGACTAGGTGGCCGAATGTGGATACGTCAAATGATAGTGTCAGCATTTATGGTACCAGTATTTGTTTGTGGTACTGTATTCTTTATTAATTTTCTTGCTATTGGATATCATGCATCGCGAGCTATACCTTTCGGCACAATGATAGCTGTAACATGTATTTGTATATTCGTTGTTCTACCGCTAACACTTGCTGGAACTGTGGTAGGACGTAATTTAGATGGGCAGCCAGATCATCCTTGTCGGGTTAATGCAGTACCTCGTCCCATTCCGGAAAAGAAGTGGTTTATGGAACCAACGATTATTATTCTTCTTGGCGGAGTATTACCCTTTGGGTCAATTTTTATTGAAATGTAATTGAAATTTGTTACTATGAAAATTATAACGCATTATTTAAAACAGAAAAATCAGTGTTGAACTGTTAATGTGCGTTATAAATTTCTTATATAATTTCACAACTTCCAGTGTATATTACCAGGGCCAGAAATATACTAACATACAATTTATTTTCCAGGTACTTTATTTTTACTTCATTTTGGGCATATAAAATCTATTATGTATATGGTTTCATGCTGTTAGTATTCACCATATTGATGGTTGTAACGGTGTGTGTGACGATTGTGTGCACTTACTTCCTTTTAAACGCAGAGGATTACCGGTGGCAGTGGACAAGTTTTATGTCAGCTGCATCAACCTCAATCTACGTATACGCGTACTCGTTTTATTATTTCTTCTTTAAAACAAAGTAAGTTACTTTATTATTTTTTAATACAAAATAAAATCTGAAAAGTTGTATAATTTTCTTATTTGCCAATTCACTTTCAGGATGTACGGTCTTTTTCAAACCGCTTTCTACTTTGGATATATGGCATTGTTTAGTGGCGCTCTAGGCATCATATGCGGCACGGTGGGCTACTTAGGCACAAGCGTATTTGTACGAAAAATTTATTCTAACGTCAAGATAGACTAGATTATATTTATAAAATTAATCTTCTTTGGCCTTTTGGTCTACTGTAATAAATTAAACCCTACTTATAATAGTAATTTGGTTCGATTGAATGTTTTTTTTTTTTTTTTTCATTTATAATAATTGGCGGTCGCGGTAGCCGAGTGGTTAGCATTACGTACTGCCATTCTGAAAGCTCGGGTTCAAATCTGTGTGCGACCAATTTCCAAATGTTATAGGACATTAATTTAAATAAAAAATTAAGATAAATTTTCTAGTTATGGTCGCCTCTCGGGACGAGTTGTATTTTCTGTTCCCTAAACCTCATCTTAATTTTCACTAAAAACATAAATATTAGTCTTCGTATAATGCCACTTTATTTTGTGAAAGATAACTATATAAACCCTAAAATTTGAAATACGGATATGTCTTTAATATGGTATCATCGGCACAATTTCAGTCTTCCGATAATATTGGTAAATTAAAAATTTCCAATTTACTAAGATTTATTTTGGCTGCAATCGGGGAAACTTGGCGGACTTGCATAAATGAGGAGCTTTAAGGCGCTGGCAAATTGTTTCATATAAGTTGTAATACGGGGAAAAAATGTTCGTGTGACCCATGAGTTAGATTTTGTAAATTTACTTGTAAAATCGATTACTCGATACCTTTCTTCCATATCTACACACTTCGATTTTATCTCTGCTTATGCACAAATCTTTAGATTGGAGTTCGTTCTTGTTTGAGTAATGCAAATGTGAAAAATACAATTTTCAATTATATTTATCCCATGGGATTTAATGGAGACTGTATTTAGGTTTTACAAGTTTTGCTATTTGCACACCTATCGTTGGAAAGTTAATTGTTGAAGTGATAAGCGTGATATATTGGTCAATATCTTCATATTTATATAGTATATAAGTTGTGTGTAGAAAAAGGCATGTCTTTAATCAATTCTAAAGAAGATAGTGCAAAGACAAATATGTTAATGGAAGAGGGTGACAGTAGTTTGGAACCAGGTGAAGTTAAAACACCGCCACATGGCACTGAGTCCGTTAAATCAAGAATAGCTGAGGACTCAAATACTAAATGTAATGCCCCCACCTATGTATCCCATTCTAAGTCCGCATCTAAACAAGAAACTGACCGATGCGCAGAGAAAGTACGCGCTATACTGGAATTGGATGCAATTAAAAGAAAAGAAGAACTAGAACGTAAAAAAGGAGAAAAATCTGATTCCATATCACTTCCAAATAAAATTAAAAAGGAGCAAAAAAAGCATAAGATTCCAAATGAAGGTAATTTACAATTATCTATATGAATTTTGTAACTAAAAAAACTGCATATTAATATGTTCAAATAATTCCAATACGCACATATAGAGTCCACAAATGAAGACTTCGAGGAAAATACTCGTGAAAAGAGTGACGAGTCTTTATTAAAAAAACACAGGCACAAAAAAAGCAAATATGAAGATCGTAAAACTTGTTCTACACATCCTATTGCAGAATCGTTTGAAAGTATGCGTTCAATTAGCAGTGCGTCATTGCCATTGCCACCTCCAATGGGTTTTGTAACTCGTTTAACTAATATGACGACAAATTTTTCTCGTGGATTTTCAGGCATTGATAACTCTGCAAATTACCGAGCTTATAATCCATTTGTGAGAAATTATCGTACCGATTTTCGTCATAGAGGTCACCCTTTTAACACACACCATCGTCCACGATTTCCAAGATACCGTACGCAGTATAATCATGGCCCATATAATGCACCAACAGAAGAAGCAAATAATTCAACCCCTATAAATAGTGGCATCATACCTCATTCACAATTAATGTAAGTATAAAAATCATTGAAGGTACAATAAAACTCACATTTACTTATTGCAATTTAGGTGGACTAAAACCAAACCATCTATATCTTATTCATTCAATTTCTATGAACGGCTTAAGGATTCTAGTAATAAGGAGTGTTCAGATATGAATGTTCAGAAGAAGAAGAAAAATAAAAAAGAACGAGAAGGAAGCAATAAATCGCAATCAAGCTCAAAAAGTAGTCGTAAGTCAAGTAAAAGAAAGAAAATAAGGAAAATACGTGAAACATTTCAATCAAATCCGTTAAAGAGTCAATTGATCTCACCTAGTCACGATGTAGATACTACAAGGATTGTTAAGGTTGAAGGTCACGTGAACATCAACATTGTAGAAAGTCCAAAAATTTCAATAAAAAGGGAAGACATTTCGGAACCAGCTGCAGAGAACGGATGTGCAAATCCTGAATATTCAAAATCGATGAAAGAACATGCAAAGGTGGCAAGTAAAGCTGCTAACTCATCAAAACCACTAGTATTGGACATGTTCGCAAGTTTGACTCCACCAAAGCAGCAATCACCACCCCTTGCTCTAAATAATTCCTCCAATCCTTCAGCTAAAGTTCAAATGACAAAACTGCAAGAAATTCAGGACCGAATAGGAAAACTACTGGAAGATGATGATCTTAAACTTGAAACCATACAAGCAACTAAGGAGAAATTATTACAAAAATCACGCGAGCATACAGAGGGTACTAATTTAAAAAAATCGTTGAAGAAAAATAAAATGTCAGTTTCTCCGGAAAAGAATATATCCTTTACTGATTTTAAAGCTGAAGAAAAAGAACTTGAAAAAAATTCAAAGCAGAACACTAAAGATATAGGTATTATGCCAAAACCATATAGCTATGCAATATTCAAAGAAAAGCCTTTTGATATATTCGATGGGACAAAAAATGACTATATAAAGCATACAAAAGCTGATCGGGAATACACACCTGATTCTTTGCATTCCGAAGGCTCTCACATTAAATCTACTAATTTAGTTTTTAACAAAAATCCAAAGCAAAAACAAAAGTACAATGAGAATTCAAAAATTATACGTAAAGTATCTGAAAAACTAAAAAAACCACTTGAAGATTCACCTCGTGTTCATACGAAATCTGTGACCTGTCCCAACAGTGGAAGTCCCGACACTGATGATTATTCCGACAATTGGGAAAATGACGATGACGAAATGGAGTTAGGTGCTACCTTTCAAAATATAAATAAGCTAGAAGCACCCAAATACATTAAAACGGAACGATTGAGCAGTTCAAGTCCTTCATCGAGTATTGTTGATAGTGAAGAATCAGACTCGAACTCAAAACTTGAAAGCACAACACCGAAAAATTCACCTCCGCAAAGATGTATGACACCTAAATTTAGTTATGAGCGCAAAGAATCGCCAAATGTAGTTTGTAGAGAAACAAATGATATGCAACTATTATATAACCAATTTATTAAGAGTGTGGAGAACGCTAATATCGAAAATGAGCATGAGCCCATTGCAAAAGCATCGATCAATGATGATTTAAAATATTTTGAAAATGAACTTTTATCTACTTCCTCCGCTTCCTATTCGTCTACGTCTTCTTCATCATCCGATACTTCTGCCACATCTTCGGGGTCGTCTAGTACTACGAGCTCGAGCGACTCGGCTTCGGACGAAAGCAATGATACAGATACGAACCAAAACAAAGATTCAAATGCTACATCTAACGATCAAAAGGACAGAAGCTCATCAGTAATGGAAGTAGAAAAAGCTGGACCATTAACAACCCCAACTGACGACTCGAAACCTAATGTTGCCAAAGACTTGAAGAGGTTAGAGAACTTAGAAGCTAACTTATTGCGTATACAAATGATGCGCGCTAATTATGATTCAGCTGATGAAATCAGTGATGAGTTGCTCAAAATGGAGAAACTTTTTTTACACGAAAAAAATATTATTTTAAATAAATTGATGGACTCTTCAGCAAAAAAATCTATTAAGGTTGAAAAAGATAATGAAAGTGATTTGGTAACACCTGCCGAAAAAGATGCAATGGAATCCTTACAATCGGCCACACGTGGACAGTTTGTGCAGTCATTGCAAAAGCTGCAAAACAAAGAAGAAGAAAAAATTGAAGTCTCGAATATATTTGATACAAACCGTGAAGTAATTAAATTGACAATATCACCGATAAAATTACCTAAAATATCGGCCATATTTGAGGCTGATAATGATACCGAAACATCCAAAAAATTAATGGATACTTCTGAAAAAGCAAACTCCACAGTAAAACTGCCAAAGCCCACAAAAGAGGTTGCAATTGTTAAACCAATTATGGAATCTAAGGGCTCTCCATCTTCTCATCATCAGAAACAACGTCGCAGGTCTCCAATATCATCGCATCATACCTTGCAATCCAAATCTAGGTCCCGCCGGGGACGTGTGCGTTCACTATCTGTGAGTCCCTCGAGAAACAGTAGTGGACGTATGGTGTCTCCTCAGCGGCGAGGTGGTTTTTCCAAACAATCACGTAATCGTAATTTTGATCGACGCAGTCGTAGTCGTAGTCCGAGTTTCAATCGACAGCTTAATAGGCGATCTGGTGACTTAAGTCCCATATCACGGAAACGAAGATCCCTTCTGAGTGCTGAAGATAGATTCCGAAAGCACTCGCCCCGACGTGATTCTCACTCGCGATCACGTTCTCCTTCTTCACCTCCCTCCCGGCATCGTGATCGATATTCACGGTCCCCGTTGCCGTTTAAGCCACCATCTCCCCCGACCGATCCCAATTTATCACCAAATGGCTCACGTCAAAACAGTTTATCTCCAGAGAGACGTTCGCGTTCTACTTCTCGTTCACCGAGTAAGAGAACTATATCGCCTTCTAGGAAATCTTATGACAGTCACAGACATCGTTCCTTATCGCCAAAACATCAACATTATAAACCACATTCACCACGTCAAAGTAATACTTCATATTATTTTAATAGTTCACCAAATCGAATATCTTTGGATGCTCGCATAAATATTGTACTGAATGGACCTTCATCTAACCACAATGAAACTAATAATAGTATCACCACTTACGAAGATTATAGCCACTATGGCCAGTACGGACCAGCAGCTTACATGTCTTTACCAAGCGATTCGAATAGCTTCTATCCAACAAATCAATACGTACCAATGTCGAATTCCGTTACTTCAGTTCCACTCGGTCCTGCCATTCATCATAACACATACTCGAACCTTCGACCTATTAATACCGATGAGCCTGAGATGTATTCATCCGGTCATCATCAAGCCAATTTAAATGCAGCCAACTTTTATTACAATCGTTTTGGTACCCAGCCGTTTGGGTTTAATCAACCATCACCAGTGCTAAAGGAGCTGCCAAAGGCAACAGTAGCAGTACAAAAAGGAAACGTTCTAGAGATTGTGCCATGTAGCGATTTGCTTACGGGTAACATCAGCGAACATACACAAGGCGGAAATGAAAATCAAATTAAAAATGAGGGTTCCAAAGAGAAACTTGTAGATGAAACAACTAATTCCAATGCCGACAAAAACAATCGGAGCATTTTGAAACCACTTGACGGTGAAAGCAATGTTTTGAATAGCGTTACCGTGAGGTGAGCGGAAGTTTTTTATTTAGTTTTTAAATTTATTTCAAAAATAAATTTTCTTCAAAAAAGGCACAACTCAGAAATTAACCATAAAAGACTAGAAAATATATAATAAGCAAAAGTCGTAGATATTACTGGAAATAACAATGCTAAAAAAATTAATCTGAGTTGAGCATTTTTTGTAGTCAATGTACCATATGTTCTTTACATACATATGTACATTTAACAAAAATATTTTCCTTTATCCTTGACAGTGCATTAAAAAAGAAGAAGGTTAATTTCGAAGATGGGGTCTTTCCCAACCACAATAGCGATGATGAAGACCGAAAAGTAATAGAAGCTAAAATACGTGTGAAAATGCGAAGGTTGAAGAAAAGGCTTGGTATTACGCCTCAATGTCATAATTTGTTCGAAGATAAAGCCCGTAAGGAGAGACAAAAAGTCAACTCAAATAAGAAACCACCACCACCGCCGCCAATTGGCTTTGCACCTCCAAACTTGGAACAACCCATATATTTGCGAACTCATACACCCACTCCCCTTTTGTATTTTCATTTCGATGGAGTTGTGCACTCGATGTATGTTTCACAAATGGAAAGACCAATACCACCACGTCTTCTCAATCCGAAATGTTTGTCGTCAAGCAATGTCGGTGGTGTTGCCTCGCAACACACTGACTCACAATCCCCCCTTTACATGCAATCGCCAATAACAGCAGGAGCAGCACATTTACACACAAGTAAAAAAGATCCTATCGCGACATTTACCCGCCCGAATCGGAGCGAAAATCTTTCACCAAAAGTAATACCCACTACGGCCACGGCTCTACAACAGACTGGAAGTCCGAAGATAAATTTCAAAATTTATTCACCAATCGAAAATATACACCATACAGAAGTTGGGAGTACAACATTACCGGGTACATCACCCAGCAACATAAAAGGCAATGCCATTCATACGATATCTTCAGTGCCGATACAAAGCCATTTAGTACAGAAGCGCCAAGATTCTCCAAAAGATGCTGTTAATACACGACCAAATATATCGATGGGATTATTACCAACACCATTAACTCTTCCCCCTATGCCTCAAAGTACCTCAATTACCGCGCAGACACGGATTCCTGTAATTGGCGTCCCACCAACAGTAATTCCTAAGATGATACCCAATGTCGTTTCAGAGCCATATATGAGTGGATTTACGCCCACAATGTTGCAGACCACTCAGCATCAAGTGAATACCATTAATCAAAACTACATGGTAGCCCCAACTATACCCCATACAAATCCGCATATGCCGGTTGGTATGCAACCATATTTTAATCCGCCTGTACAGCGAATGCATCGACCGTTGCCGAATTATATGGGTCAACCAAATCAACCTACACTTTCCCCGTCGAACATGCCTATGTGTCACATAGCAGATTCTTTAGAAACGACAAATGGTGATCTTGATAAATTTGCTAACCCGCAAACCATGCCTATTCCGTACAATTTTAAGGGGCCGTAGATGAGTGGGCATTTTAAAACGTTTTATAATTATAAGAGTAGAATATATACATACATACATACATATATGTAATAATACTTGTAAATTAGTGGAGTTAGCCGTAAATTGATTTTTTTTTATTAAAATCAAACATGTAACTTTAATTTAATCGCCTTAAATTGAACAAATATATAGAAATATGTATTTAAACTTTCTTTATGCAAACAAGACTATATATGCACCTAAATGGTTAAACAAATATGTAACTACAAAGTTCGGATTGACACCTTTGGCTTTTTATCCAATTATTATATTACGTCTAGTAAAAAGTTATTCAGTATTTTTGCATTATTTGTCTTAGTTGGTATTATCCGATTTATATCAAATATGTAATATTTTGCTCCATAACTTGCAGAATAATACCTCCCCTATAGAAAGCCTTTAACCTATTGGCAAAAAATTGGTACGATCGAATTCCATAGGTTTCTCTTGAGGCCCATTTTTCACCATCCAAATCATTCGCCATTTCCAGGAACAGGTTGTTATCACTTGGTATAAGGCCTGGACTGTAATGTGGATAAATAAGAATCTTCCAACCAAGCTCTCTGAGCTTCTGGCGAGTCATATAGATGTGTTCGTTTTGGGGTGTCCTCATGAAACATAATTCCCCTCACTTCAGACGTTCCAATCGCTGACAGTACAGATCCAAATTAGAGTTTATCCATAGGGGAGCAGCTCTCAGTGTATGATTCCATGTCTATTCCATCAAACACACACCCGTTTTATCCTTTATCCAATAAAAAAAATCTTTGACATGAGCTCAAACCATTGTACAACCTCCAAAGTAGGAAAACTTACATCTATATCCAGATTGAGCACACAACTGAAATCACCTCATCCAGAGAACGTAAAATAACTCACCTCTTTCTGTTTCAACTACAAAGCGGTGCGTCATTATCCTGGCAGATCGACTTCAAAAATTGTAGAAATACAAAATATTTCTCACCGTATTGCTTGTTATTGCTAAGCGAAGAGACTGTGCAAGATCCAACTTGCGCAGTGTAGTATTTATATTCTTCATTTTTCATTCATCCGGTAAGGCCAATTAATTCCGCCAAGTCCATAAAAGTTTTTTTAATTTGAAAAATTTATCAGAAAAACAAATAAACTAAAGTAAAGTTTAATTTTTTCAAATGTGTGATAAGAAAAAAGAAATTATTGAGCAATATGTTGCTAATGATAACATTTGGAATTCAGAAACATCAAGTGCTTTTGAGAAAGCAGCAGCCTGGCGGCGTCAGATTATTTTGTTGATAGATCCAATTCAGTGAGCTCAAATGAATTTTTAAATTTGAGCATAAGTATGAATCTTTTTTTTTTGTTTTTAGTGAATTGCCGAAATCTGAAAGTTTTGAGCTGTTGCAACGTCATTACAATCGATTGAATTCTAAATGTATGGATGAATATGAAAAGCAACGTATAGAATTAGTAAAATCTTTGCTGAAGAAAAATAGCTTACCTCCAACCACTGTACATAAAAGAGAAAATTGCAAATTCGAGGACTTAGATTTTGAAGATCCTTGTCATGGAAAGTACGAAAGTTGCAGAAGTATCGAAATAAATAGCAGTGATCTGCAGTATTTAAGAAAATGTAATACTCGAGAAGACGAGGATATAATTGACGTTGATGTGGAAGAAGCGCAACCAAGAAGCAGTATAATGAATTTCTTGCAACCTCGTAAAAACCCTAACCATTGTAAGGGGGTTATTGCAAAGAATAACAGTAATAGAAACGAAGGCGGTGAGGCATTAAATTGTGATAGTATGAATTCTGTCACTCCTAACATTGATAATACATTCAAAACAGCAAGGGAAATGCTAATATCTAAAAGCGTTCAAGTAAGTTGGAAATGTGGCATTGTGTGACCTCGTTTTAAAACAATTTTACAGAAACAAAATCCTGGTATCGAAACTGAGAATGCGACTATAAAGGGTAGTGTCAACAATAACAACAGAAAAGATGTTCCAGTGTATTTTAACTATGGAATAACGAAAAAAATGTTGGGTTCTCGTAGAACAATAAGGTCGGGCTTTGTATTGCCTGTTGCGAAAGATAGGTAAATATTTACTGCGTTTGTAATTTAAGCAATATTATATATATATGTATATATATATTTTGTTTTTAATTTTCACCCCAGCATGTCGATGAACCCATCACCACCCCTCAATAGTTCACCACCATTAAGCTCATCACCTGAAGAGGTAGATGACCGTCTTATTAATATAGATCCAAAAATGGTGGATCTAATAAAAAATGAAATTATGCACAAATATAAACCCATGAGTATGAATTGAATCTATACATAGTGTTATTTGATATTTTAATGTACTTATATTTTAGATTGGGACGATATCGCTGGTCTGGAGTATGTAAAATCGATTATTAAAGAAGCGGTGGTTTACCCTATTTTACGACCCGATATATTTACTGGCCTTCGACGCCCTCCGCGTGGAATTCTGCTATTTGGACCGCCTGGGACAGGAAAGACACTGATTGGAAAATGTATCGCTTCCCAATCGAATTCAACGTTTTTTAGTATAAGTTCGTCTTCTTTAACATCAAAGTGGGTTGGTGAGAGTGAAAAAATGGTGCGAGCATTGTTTGCTGTAGCAGCAGTACATCAACCCTCGGTATAACATTTATTTTTGTATATCTAAATTTATTCTATAAATATCAATTTTATATTATAGGTAGTTTTTATCGATGAAGTTGATTCTCTTTTATCTAAACGGTCCGAAAGTGAACATGACAGCTCCCGTAAATTAAAAGTAAGAAAATACTTTTTGATTTATTTTATTTTCGTTTAAATTTTTCTTTACATAGCAAATTCTTCTAAGAGTTTCATAATAAAATTGGTTTAACCTTGAATAAGCACAAATATTTAAACATTTACTTGCTAGAATGAATTTTTGGTACAATTAGATGGCGCTGCCACTAGCGAGGAAGATCGTGTTCTCATTGTTGGTGCTACTAATAGGCCACAAGAATTAGATGACGCTGCACGCAGACGATTTGCAAGGCGACTATACATTCCACTTCCTGAAAAGAAAGCGCGCATACAAATCCTCAATAACTTGTTGGGTACTGTTAGCAATGATCTGAATGAAATTAACATAGAGGAAATTGGGCATAAGACTACCGGTTACTCGGGTGCCGACATGGATATTCTTTGTCGCGAAGCATCTATGGAACCATTGCGCTCAATACCGCCTGATGAGATTCCACATATAATAAAAGATAAGGTGTAGCTTTTTAAAATTGTTGAGGAATATTTTGAATTTATTTTAATCGCTCATGCATATGCTTTCAGGTGCGCCCTGTAAATATCGATGATTTTAAATCAGCTTTACAAACTGTCCGACCTAGTGTATCAAAAGATGATTTGAGTCAGTATATAGAATGGAATAAGGAATATGGTGCAATGCAACAAATAAAATAAATATGCCAAACATATTATATTATATATTTAAATTATTTAAAAAGTCTTGAATAATTTAAATGCTCGTCGTTGATCTTAACAATGTCAACAAAATTGAAAATACAAACATGTATGGAAAGGTTCAATAAAATATATATTTTGTTAAATATAAAATCTGCATGGCAAGAAAATTTCAAAGCGATAAAGTTTATAGTATCAGCATAGTTTCATCGATATTTTTATAGCTGAAAGCAGAGAACGTATATTAGACAATGCACTTTATCTTGAGATTACCGAAATATGCTTTTTTATAGCATTTGCCAGCGATGCCACTACGTCGAAACTATATTTGGGTATAATTGAATAAATTGTATATATAAGTATATATAAATATCTCCCTTTCGCCTTTTTGCTCTTCATTCAATGCTTTATAAAAAGTGTTACAGTGATCGGATTTAATTAAAATATGCACCGTTTTGTTCGATGATCTGTTTCCACCTAGACAGAAACTTCATAATACCTTCCTCGTAGAAGTCCCCCTCCTTATTTGCGAAGAATTCGGACAGTCACTTTTCACAAGCCTCTTTTGAGTTCAACTTCACACCACCAAGGGCATTCACCGTGGACAGGAACAGGTGGTAATCACTTGGCGCTACGTCCCCTCCGAGCTCCCGTAGCTTCTGACGAGTCATCAACGAAGTGTGTGGTCTGGCGTTGTCCTGGTAGAACACTACACCCTTCCTGTTGGCCAATTCTGGACGATTCTGGTCGATCGCCTGCTTCAAGCGGTCCAGTTGTTCGCAGTAGATGGTAGAATTAAGCTTCTGGCCATATGGGAGCAGCTCATAGTGGATGATTCCCTTCCAATCCCACCAAACACACAGCAAAACCTTCCTGGCCGTCAATCCCGGCTTGGCCACTGTTTGGGACGATTCACCGACCTTCGACCACGACCGTATGTATAGTGTTGCCAGATACGAGACAAAAAAGCGGGAGATATTTGACAACCTTATATGATTAAATTTATTTTGCCCACTCTTAAAATTCGATTCTATCGAAAGTAATTGAAATTGTATCCGATTAGCTAACACAAAATTCAAAGATATTTTTAAATCCACATTTTAGTAAAAAGTTAAGTCTCCCTAGAAATATTTATATATATTTTCTAAGTAGTATTTCGGTGCGTTAATAACCGAACGTAATATATTTTGAAAGAATTTAAACCATTTGTTGGCTTGGCTTCTTGTTCTTTCGTCAGCAAAGCTAATTTGCATAAATTTCTTTCAACTAGATATAATCAAAGTAAACTTCTGTTGAAAATAAATAAATACGCCACTAGCTTTAAAATTAATTTTTGGCGGATTGTTTATGACAGCTCATCTTGATCTTGTAGCTTGAGCTGGCAACAAAACACAATCGAGGCCCAAAGATAATAGATAAGTATGTTTCATATCAAATTATCTTTGATTGCGCTGCCGCGTTTATAAATAGACAAATGTGCTAAAATGAGGAAAAAGGAAATTGTATTTGATTCGGAAAAAAGAAAGTGTGTAAATATCAAAAATTGTTAGTTTGAAATTAGTAATATTTATTATAGTATTTTGTAGAAATTTTCTGACTGGCTTTCGAAAGCGAAAAAATGAACGTCGTGCTCGTGCTAAGGAAGAACTGGAGCGCAATATCAAAGAGGAGCGCAAAAGGATCAGGAATGACGTTAAAAGCAGCATGGCTAAACTGAAGAAAACATTTCAGCCACTCGTCCTAGATCCTGAGATAGAGCAAAATTGCCTTGAAAAGGAATACGAAGATGAGGAAGTGCAAATAAATGTCATAGAACTATCGCGGGATAATCCGAAAAAAGAAGAGGATTCGGACAAGGATTCTACCGTAAACGAACCACCTGCTGCAGATTCCTACATTAATTCCATACCAGGAATGGATTTCAGTCCTGAAAAAGAAAGTAAGGAGAAACAGAACAAGCCTAAAGATGTAGAAAGAACAACACCAGATCTTGCTAAAATCGGAAGTAAAAAGATGCTAGATAAATTAAAGAAGAAGAAGGCCTTGAAAGAAATTAAGAAAAGTAAAGTCTTCAAACAAAAAGAACGTTTTGATAAGAAAAAACAGCATAAAAATAAGCGAGACCAAAAACATTCCAGATCCAGCGCGAGTGGGGCTCATGGAAATAAAAGTAAACACAACCGATTCAATAGAGGCCATGGACCAGGTCGGGGAAGAAGAAAGTAATAATATTCGTTTTAATTCATATTGTAAATTCAAATAAACAAATTTACACTTAAGACATAAAGTTGGTATTTTAATGTAGTAACTTTTCAAGGGCTTTTTTATACCTGACAATTTTTATTTAAAATGCGTAAGAGTTTAGTTTTCATATACATATATTTTGTTTAATTTTAATTGAAACCTTAAAAAATTATTTTTTCTTTTTATCTATTGTACATGTATAAACATATGTTTGTTTATTAAAGTCTTTTGTTCACAATTTATTTGGAACTTTCAAACTTCGGTTTATGTATATATAAGAATTACTATAGGTTAAGATAAAATAATATTAATGATGGAAATCTAAAATGGTGGTGTAGTACTATTATACGTAGTAATTTGAAGGAATCGCAAATAATAACGATTTAAGTAGATATATAATGCAAGTTTCTTTTAAATTATTACATACATTCTTATTTCTATTATTATTTCAAACTCATTTGCACTGTGTGCCTTTAGGTTCCTTATTTTTTTACTTAATACAATAAATATTTTTTTTTTGCATCTATGTCAAAATGTAATTTCAGTATAGATAATGTATTCAACTATTTTAATCGAGCAGTCACTTAACTTATGTTGAAAAACAATGAATATTTATAGTTATAAAAATCATTTTAGTACTATGTTATGAATTCCTACGCGAATAGCTATTATTCATTCTATGGTTGTTTCGCTTATATGATATAGCCGTCATTCGCTGGAATTTTGGATTGAAGCGCTGAAATTTGAATTTATTGCGCTGGAATTGTTGACGAATATGACCACTATAATGTCGGTGTGCGGCGCTACCAACTCTCCACCGTCTTTGATCCTCCTCTTCTTGAAACGGATTAAATCCGGGTATTCGGTTATCTGACTGCGAAGAATCCTTATTTTTCACCTTTTTCTGCCGCCCACGATCTATTTCGGCATCTTCTTCGTCCTGCCAGTCGTGCTGACGTTGCTGTTGGGCATCACTTTCAACCTAATGATTTAAAAATAATATATAAATGATTTAATTCTGATTATTTAGTAGTAAAAAGTCTATTTCTTCATATTTCCCATCAAAATGTGTTTGATTATGGCTTTGTTACAATACTTGCCTCTTTAGATATTTTTGCTTGTTCGCCCTTCCATGACAGTACGGGGACACCGTAACCACGATGAGACTGTTTCATTAAACCTGATACAGAACTTTCATTTCCATTACTGCATCTATAACCATTGCCAACAAAAACCTTTTCAGGTTTTGATTCACCGTTTGTTTTTTGTCGTTTATTGAATGAATCTGTCGACTTTTTGGCAAAGGGATTCTTGGAATTTTTTACTACCTTTTCCGGAGGACTAATGCATGCTGTTACTGGCTGCAAAGTGGTTACTTGCCATAAACCAGTTTTGGTTTTAATAACAGGTGGTGATGGTGGGGTTGAATGCGAACGTACGAAAGGTGGACGCAAAACATTTGATGATTTTAAATGATCATCACTTTCTACATCATCATGTGAGTTATTTATAAGCCCATCTATGGAGACTGCATCATCTCTGTTAATAGCTCGTTTGGTTTGATTAAAAATTTCATCAAACAAGTCAACTTTCTCTTTTCTCTTTGAACGATTAGTATATGTCTCGTCGGATTTGTTGGAATTAAGTTTACTTTGATTGTTTCCGTACTTTTGTAATTTGACTTTGCTTTGATCATTGGAGCTTGAGGTCAATATTTCGTTTGTAAAATCAGTTGTGTGTGTCATCGAGGAATTTTGATCATGGGCTGAACTACTACATTCATTCTCATTCATGATAGCCATTTTTTTCGGTTTAACCACATTTTCAGTTGCAGTGGAACTTCGAAGAGGGCTATCTAAAGGGCGTTTAATAGCACTTCTAATATCTTTTTTTTTCTTGTTTGACTCTTCTGAATAGGTTATCATATCATTCACTTCTGTTGCCATCAATTCTTCATCTGTTTCAGATTCATACGGTACAAGGCTCTTTAAAGGAGTGGCTAACAGTGTAGAATTTTTGGTATGCTGAGTTATATTTTGATTTTGAGCATCGGATAAATTTGGCATGCTGGGTAGAGTTGCGCTTGCTTTGTGTAGCGATACCAATTCCGAACTTTTATTTCGTTTGATTTCCACAGAAGAACACACTTGATTTTCACCATTCAATGTAAGTAACTTCTTCTCGCCACTATTTTCCTCTATAGTGTTTGGCGTTGATTCTAAGGACCTTTGAGTTATGTTTCGATTTTCTGAATTGGTTGGTAGTTTAGCTGGTATAGTACTGCATTTTAGCGGCGTGGTATTAATCTGAGTTTTAAAATGTATCTGACGACTAACAGATAGTTTATTTGCTATAGAACCATTACTAGTGGACGGTTTGTTGATGTAATACGAAGGTGTAGTGGACTTAATGGGACCCGTTGGTAAATTATGTTGCGAATTAGTTGAGCTATTCATTTCCGAAGAAAAAGAGCTTTCTGCCTTTGTATAACCGTTTTGTTTTTGTGAATTTTCTTTAACAGCGTCATTAATACCGCTTAATTCAGTACTATTTGCAGAGCGTTGATATTTATCAAGTTCATAAAATATAATATAAGCATTTGTATTGCAAACATTTTGTACAGATATGGGACGTACATAGCTATCATCGTAGTTATAATAAGAACCGGACTCGGTCAGGCCAATGGCAGTGTAATGTCCACAATGTTGTGAAGCTCCTAAATGAGTTACCATAGCAACTAATTTATAAGATAACTGTTCGCTAACTTCTTTTCGCGATAGAAATCTAGACAAATCGATGCGGGGCTTGATTGTTATTTGTTTATTAAGTTTGGTGCCCATTACGGAAAACCGCTTTAACTGTATACATAAAACAAATGGTGCTCGCTCCAAGGAGAACTGCTTAGTAGCGGAAACCTGGGAGTCGGGAAAAATAAGTAAATTAAAACTTTTGATTTTTAATAATAAAATCATAATAAAATAAGCCTAGTAGCAGAGACCATCGTCCAGACAATATTGTATTCAAAAATATATTTTTCAAACGACTTGTATGGTTTTCTAAACAAGCCATGTGACTAAGTTTCGTTTACATTTTACTTTACATCATGCTTTACATACTAATTTGAGCACACTAATAAGAGCTAAACAAGTTATACGTGGACGTACTTGTCTGTTAAAAAAAATGCATACCTTCTTTTTGCAAGATTCGCATTTGTATCCCATATCTTCCAAACGTTCTCTGGAAAAGTAGCCTTCTAAAGCCTCTTCAACGGTATCAGCTTTTCTAATGTCTAATAGTAAATCTTGGAAATGCTGAAAAGTTACCGAAACGTGTCCACATGCTAAACAACGTACTGCCGATTTCAAATAACCACCGAGAATTTGATTAAGCGGTGTTGTCTCTTTGCTATACTGATCCAATTCTTTATAGTTCCGGAATCGTGTAAGATATGATTTCTCCATAGCTTCAACCAGGTATCTAAGAAACTCATGAGCATCTTCTTGTCGACCCATAAGTAGATGTTTACAAATAAATTTTAGTTTTGAGTAAACCAAATAGGGGCGTATTGCCGATTGATTGGATTGTGAGGCCTCCAAAGTCTTAATCATTGCACATATTATACAATTCTCCGACGCTTCACAATTTTGTATATGCTTAGCATCAGACATCAACCAGTTAGCCATTGCCGGGACATGAAATAATGCTTGCAACGTGGAATTTAAATAACATGTATTTCCAACATTCATCATACCGACTCCAATTTGCCATTTTCGAACTGAATTTTTCCAGCCAATTATTACGTTTTCACGAGGATATAGGACTCGTTTTGGTTGTGGCAACTCGTTAGGATTTTGGCGCTTAGCTGTGGTGGTATTCGATCCGTTATTGGATGTTCCGGAATTAGCTGCAACATCTATTTGTGGAAAATAAAAAAGTAATTATGAACATTTCTATGTATGTATGATTAAATTCATGTTGTATGTTTCAGATAAATATACTGGATGGACAAAATAAGTGTTTTGTTTTAATGCCTTTTAAACGAATGTCCAAAAAACTTTAATGTATAAATTTGTGTATCGAAGCTATGAAAGAAATAAATTTTTTCAATCATACGAGTATTCTACAAAAAGGCTATTAATGAATGGTTAATGAGAGAAAAACAATAAATAATATAAGTATACATAAACTCTCTTTACAAGCATATTATCGAAAAACCAACCTGATAAAACAACAAAGAGTAGAATTCAGTTAGCTTCAATGCTTGATTTTTTCTTCTTTTTGAAAAAATTTAGATTACTCACCATTTTTTTCCGAATTATTTTTTCCAAGGGTTAAGTAGTCAAAGCTTTTAGAAGCAGTACTGGCTTTCAAAATATCATATTTTGATTTTAGTGCGCCTAAAACCGATTGACCGTAGTTTGTGACCTCCTCATATTCAATATTCGAGAGTAATACACGTTTTGCTGTAACAGCAAGTTTTGTTTGCAGACAACCATCATCTTCGTTCATGTAGTTGTCGCCCACACCGCCTGTTTTACAAATACTTCGACCATTGCTTGAATACCCATTTCCCAACGATTCCCGCAAAACTGCGCTAACGTTACCTACGGGTTCACACACTGAAACGGGCATGGGTGCTATGTAATTTATGGCGGAATTTCAAGAAATCACGTCTAATCCAGCAACTTTTGTTTTTTTACAATTGTTGAAACATATATCTTTTGATCAAATTTTAATCTATATTACAAACACAAGCCGTAAATGGGACCTTTGAATATACTTGTTTTTTTTTTTCACAGAATGTATACGCAATTTTTTTTCTGGGTTTATCAAATTTTCTCTCGATAACACATTTGAGAACTTCATAAATTATCAGTTTTGCAGAAATTTCCTTAACATAAGAATATTGAAAATAAAATTATTTTTTTATTGAACTATTTATATGCAAATTTTGCCGTGATTTTACAAAATATTAATAACTTTGCCGCCGTGTGTTTTGTTCCCAATATATTTTCCTCTATTGTTTCCGACAAAAACGCGACAAAAGCCACATGCGTGTTATTCAACGATACACGATGGTATTTTTGGAGCATTGCCAGAGTAATTAATTTAAAAACAAAAAGTTAAATAAAATATTTTATGAAGGACTTTTAAAATATCTGACGTTATCAGATAAGATAGATTAAGCCGATTTGTTGTTGTAACAAATTTGATAATGTTTTCCTGTATTGAAAGCAGATGCATTTTGCTGACTTGCTTAGATTTGTGCATTATCTATTTCCCTGACATAATGTACAACGGATTTTCAATAACGTTAAAAGTTCTCTGTTAAAAGGCCCTAAACAAAATTTCAACAGTTCAATTTTGAACTTTTTAATTTTATCAAGTTTATAATATTTCACAGTTCAAGGAAATAATTGGTCAAACTTCATTTGAGAACTTAAAAGAAATGTGAACTCTTAGTTAGTATTGATTATAAGCCGGTTCCCCGCTTACAGCGTTGCCACATCGAGTATTCTAGCCATTTTATAAATTCGGGTCTTGACCACCGTGAATTCATTCGTGTTCTATATTCCCATACGTCTCTCATTAATATATATAATGTGAAATACTCTCTTAGCAATCCCGTAAAAGGAACAAATGGCAATCGGAACACCCGATCTTTTTTTTTCTACATTCTGTAATACCCGTTACATTGGAGTTGAAAACAAAACAAAATTGGTGAGTCTTTTATAAAAATAATTATTGCAGTTATTTTCTTAATTGCAAAGTCTATTACATTAACATTTACAACAATTTGTCTATCAAATATTCCCCCTTCTTCTCTTCGGTTCGGGGTTTTTTAATTACTTTCATATCAATGGCATTTGAATCATCAGCCTTTCTCTTTAGAATCTACAAAAAAAATTAAGGGAAACATTTAACAAAATTTCGAAATTTCTGACATTTGTACTCACCTCATGTTCTTCAAAAGTTAAAGTTGTGAAAACAAATTTATTGGAATTTGTTGATTTAACACCTACTTTATCAGGAGATGTATTTCCATCAATACCACCAGTTTTGACAGAACAAATTGTTTTCGTTAATACCTTTTTATTTCGTAATAGAAATGAGCTTCTGGCTTTGGCACTTTCGGATTTAATGCACTCTTTCGATATCAAAAATGGTGATTTTTCTTTTACTTCTGACCCTCCAAGCATGGTTTTAGACACACTTACAACTGTGACATTTTTTATTTCACTTGATTTGGAAGTATTAATAGAGGTACCTGCCTCAAGCGAACTCTGAAAAAATATCCTTTTAGTATAATATTCATATTAGAATGTTTTAACAAACATACATCATTCAAAGATTGATTCTTTATGGCCTGTTCGCGTTCAAATCGTATTTTCCTCCATAAGTGCTCATTTTCGTCATCACTACCTTCTTCAGGCTTTGTTTCGGTTAAGTTGTTTTGACAACTTTCAATATTGAAGGAGGTGTCAAAGTTTTTCCATCGAAATTTACGTTGGCGTTGAGCAGCTTCTTCTTCATCCTCAAAAAGAATCTCTTGTAATTTATTTACTTGTCGAATATCCTCGTCTAACATTTTACGCCTAATTATATATGAGAGAAACATATTAATACTTATATAAAATTTACGAACAAATTTGCTACTTACGCGTGAATTTTCTCCAGTTGCGCTCTGACTTCTTCCTTGTCAAACTCGTCTTCATCCCCTAGTTCAATATCATATTGATCCAAATTCTTTTCATCTTCATCTGCGCTACCCCATTCCGAGTCCGATAGTTCGGCTTCTTTTTCAAAGAAATTTTCTGCTTGTTTTAAGCAATCTTCTTTGGTTAACTCCACTGTTATTTCATTTTCTTCCGAATCATAATCAATGTAAGTAGCAGGTAAATCATTATGGGATATATGTTCATTAACGGCATCAACACTTCCTTCAGACTTATCATCTTCATCTTCCTCATCATCGGAAAACCCCAACTTCATTTTGGATTTCTTAATCTTTTTAGTAAACTTTTTAGATCGCTTAATTTCATTGCTTGAAAGTGAGGAACTTTCGTCATCAGATGAAATGATTTTATTGGGATTAGGTTCTATGTTCGGTACAATAGTATGCTGAGTTTCAAAAGTGCCAGAACATAAAGTCATTAGTTGGTCTGCTTCCTCTTCCGCATTACATATTTGTGTGGCAGGTACTTGGCTAATGGCTGCTGGACTTAGCAGATGAGTGTCATTATTAGAGTCATCAGAATGAAGTTCCAATCGCATTTTTTCTTCCGTAGCTTGATCATCTTCATAATCCACTAATGGCTTTTGAAATAAATCTTTATCCAAATGAATGTCGCCTTCACTTTCTTCTCCATTTATAGATTCACAGTCGGGCTCACAATCAAAGTTGTCGGAGCTATTGTGCTAATTTTGTTGAAAGAATTTATTCAATATATAAATAGTATATATATTTCAAAAAAAAATTACCGATAATTCATCTTCTTGTTCTAACGAATCATCTATATTTTTCGGTTCATCCAAATCTATTTCATCATCCAAATTTTTCATTTTATTTTCTTCCAACTGCTTTTTCTTTATTTCTTCCCTACGTTTATCCAAAATAATGGATTTCAAGCTGTCCTTCAATTTTAAAAAAGATTGTCCTGGTTTTTTATTCAAAGAAGGTTCTGCATCATCAATTAACGTTTTTGATATGCATTTGGGGCTGCTGATATTATAATTAATTTAATTATTTGCGTATAAGTAATGGTATACATAAATTAAAAAAAAAAATCTTTTGTAATTATGTACTTACTCTATAGTTTTCTTTGATTTGTGGCAGGGATTTGTCTTCATAAGTCTTTCTAGTAAACTATTTGCCCTGCTAATTGTTCTAGGAGCATCATTTTCCCTCGTTATAAAATCGAATGTGATATTTATATTGTCTTTTAATGTAGGTCCACAGTTTAAAATATTGGAAACGCCTGGATTATGGCTTAATGAAAATGTATGTTGTTTAGGCAAGGCGGTTTGTTTTACAATTTCGCTTAAGTTGAAATCCTTCGCCAAATCTTTTATGTCCAATTTGGGAAGTTCTACAATTTCAGTTATTACAACATTCGATGAAGGTTTGTCCCCACAATCTTTACTTAAATTTTGGACTTGAATTTGTGTGGGTGTAGAACCGCCAATTTTTCTTTTGTCTGATGTATTTTTAATAGTATCACCATTTTCGTTATCTTCAGTAGTTCTTTCATTTATTTTATCAGCATTCTCCCCTTGAAAAAATTCAGACGCTTCTTTAGCTCTTTCCTCCATTAATTTGCTGAAATAAAGGGCAAATGTCTTACAATTTCACTTTACGTATTATTGTTTCTTACGAATAAATCTCCAATTCCTCTTTCGACATTTTTAAGCTCCTCGACTTTCCCAAACTTTCAGACAATGTATTTCTTTTTACGGTCTCTGAGGGTTTGATTATGGTGCGACGACTAAGAAATTCTTGTAAAGTATACCTCTTTGGCTTGTGATATGGAACACTATAAAATTCGTGATTAGTGCTGTCAAAACAAAATTTTCTCACTCTTACCTAAATTGAGCTTCCCTTTGTAAGCGTTGCTGTCGACTTTGTAACGCTTGCATATCAGGTTGTTCAGAATGCTATGAATCGGAATTCTCGTTCCTTACTAATATAGATAACAAAAAAAGGATATATACTTACGTTGCCATGTTCGTCCTCTGAACCATCATCCAAATGAGTTTCATCTTCAACGTTGGTCAATTCGTTTGTGTCTTCGCGAGAAACATATTTGTTTGCATCCGAAAGGCTGTTTTCATTCATTTCAGATTCATTGTCTGATTCATCATCTATCAAGCTCTATAAATCAATAACAAAATAAAATTTTATCTAAACAAAGCTTCAAAATAAGGTACCTTAAATGATACAGAATTTTGTACACCATTGCTAACACTTATATCAACCACGCTTTCTCCCATTCTAAAAAAAACTCGATTTTTTGTTAAAATGTGTAAATAAAAACTATTTTTTCTCTATGTTTATAATTAAAATTTCTTGCAAGATTAGCAAATTTCCCGCTTTAACGTAACAAATGTAGGAATATTATTATCGATAGCTACACATAGTCGATGACTGTTGAAAAAGAATTTTATCAAATCTTGACAAATACTCTTAATTACGAGGTGAAAACTTACATTACTTTGTTCGTCCTAACAGCGCGAAGTAATCCGCTCCCACGTATCGAAATTTGACAGTTCTCAGTTTCGTTGATTCACATTTTTTCATTTGAAAGCGAATGGAAAATTAAAGTTTTTTTTAAGTTTATTAAATAAACGAACATTCAATCAAAATTATACCAACTTCCCCTGCTTATAATTTCAACGCTTCTCAATCGTAATTCGTACCTAAAACACTGTCGATTTATTTAATTTATATAATTTGCGCTTTGTAACCGCTAATGGGATTTTGGGCAAACTCTTCCTCCCATTGGTAATTTTGCGTCTTGATTTAGTTTCCAACAAATGGAGTTTATACTAAGCCGACGTAGAATGGCGGTTATTGAACTTAACGAAATTATATACGGAAAATTATAATATTTTATTTGCAATTTTTAGTCAACTTTCTCATCGAAATAATAGTACACTTTCGTCTAGAGCTTTACCGGTGTGTATCGGAAGCCAAAATTTTTCAATATTTGATATACTTTTACTATTTTCAAATTAAACAAAAAAGTAAACCATCGTAACAGAGAATTGTGAGATTGCTTGCTATGTGAACAGGATATTCGTCATGAATAATGTAATTCACGACTCCATGCCAATGCCGCATAAAAATCTCGGTCGATGTCGATTATCGATTTTTATTTAAATCCAACAGTACTTAATGAGCTTTAACGGATATTATTTAAGCAACCTGTTTCAACTGCAAATTTAAATTTTCCGTACACAAATATGGATAAAGAATCATTCGACGATTTTAACAAAAATTCATATTTAAAATTGCCAAAAGATGCCGGTTTCTATTGGATACATTGTAATCGGTGTCTTGAAATATATGTACACAAGCGCAGGAGCCTTTTTTTGCTATCCTGTTTTCACGTCATATGTGATAGATGTGCAACAGAGCCCGCCAGTAACTCCATAAATGCCATGAACATAGTTAATGAAGTGAATTGCCCGTTTTGTAAGAAACTAACAGGTTATAGAGTTATTTGCAATGTTATGCCAGCTCATGTTAAAGAACTTCTAAATCCGGAACCATGGCATTATCCAAATATACGCATATTGAATTTTCAGGAAATGCAAAGAGAAAGTTTCAAGAAAGGAATGCTTCGTAAGGTAGGCAATAAAGTAAAGATTTTTACCAAAATATTGGTTTTAACGTGGGAGAAAGGATAATTGTAGCAAAGTACAAGCATTTTCTATAGTTTAGTTGCTCCATTAGTTATTAATAGCAATTTTTTGATAACCGCGGTGAGTTTTATACTCATAGGCATATATATATATATAAAACATACGTATATATATATATGTAAACACATATACCTTTGTACGAAAACTCAAATACACTGTACCATGCTATATGGAAAATTTAAGCGTAAAAAAATTTGCACATGTAAAAAACACTGCTATTAGTTTCTTAGGTTTAAACAATTTTTATACTTTTCAATTACATGAAATAGTACATTAGTCACCCAGTTTCTGAGATATTTCAATCCCACTTAGTGCATAGATTACCGAGTACATTTAAATGAACATATGCCGGAACTTGCCAAATCAGACCACTATATCGATTTTTCAGCGTCTGAAAAAGTGAAATTGTGTATTCTGCGCTTATATGATGAATTAGTAATTGATGCCGAAAATATTTAAGTAGGACGGCTATAAAAATAGCTACACTGATTTTTTCATATAACAGATTTTGGTCAAAACACCATAGAAAAAACATGAGAGATTATGAAAATCCGTTTTCCACATACGTACCATATATACAAATAACATTGTCATCGAATATCGTCGAATTCGGAAAACTTCATCATATAGCCCTCTCCAATCCTTTTTTCAAATATTACGTTGTTGAATTGTTTAACGGCCTTTTGAAAAATGCATTAATTTTTAATGCCGTAATTATTTTATTTGAGTTCTTTTTCAGCACTATGAATTGGAAAAAATAAGAAGAAAGTGTAAAGCTTTGGAGATTATTGCCAAACAGAAGTATGAAAAATATGAACAGCTACGGCATGAGCGTATGCGATTAGAAAGAGAAGTGATGAAATTAAAGAAACTGGATTTAAAACCAAGAAGGTTAGTATAAAGAGTTAAAGAGGAAAATTAGGTGTAGCAGTGGTCCTTATACTGACGAAGTTTGTTGCTCAAGTCTTTTGTTTCGTTCGATAGCTACAAACTTGAATTGCAATTCCTCTTGTTAAATCATTCATATGAAATTAATTAAATAAAAATCATTTCTCTTAATGTTTCAGCAAACATCTACAAACTTCAAACACAAATATTTATAACAATAGACTACTTAATATGCACACATTCCCGGTACATAGGCGTGAGAGCGCTGATAGGCGCACACATAACGTTGGACATAATTTATCGCATACTGCTTTAAATAATTCATTTTCATTGAATCTATAATAAAATATGGATTAATGTAGACTTATTCAAATAGAATAGTTTTTTTATTAAACAAAAATAATAAAATATTTGTTTCAATTAAAAAAAAAAACTGGAAAAATGTATAAAATATATTCTTACCTACTTTATCATCCGGTTACTTGAAATTAGATTAAGTTTCGCCTAAGCTTAATTTTCGTTCATGCGTACATACTCAAGCTTGGCGTTTAAAACTGGTTTAGAAATGCATTTTATGTTCAAAAGCAAAAGCACAGGTTTAGTTTGTAGTATGTGGGAACCAGAGTTGACGCCAACCGTGTGGGTTCTTATAACATGGCAATAATAAAAAGCTCTTCGCAGTGGAAATAAGAAAATGGAGAATACTTAGTTTGTTTATATACGTATATACTTCGAATAAAGTTGGCATACGATTTGTGAGAGAAACTTCAGTTGCATTTTGTATTTAGTAAATAGTATAATACGGATTATTATAATTAAATAAAGTGTTAAATAGACTGAAGTTCTAAGAATAAGTCTCTCATGAAGAATTTAAGTTTAACCTTGATGGCGAGTTGAAATTTTCTAGTGTTTATTTAAGCCTACACCTTTTTGTTGGTGCTATTTAAAGGTTATTACGTAAGTTCGCCATATAAAAGTGAACTATTCATATACATATATAGATATATACATATGTATATAGACGTGTATACACTAATTTTTTTGCTTAAATATATCATATTATATGTTCCACCGAAACACTAAGATGTACTAGTGTACATATATATACAATACAATATAAATACGTAACTTGTTGCAAATGTGCGAATCTTTGTTCCCCCATGTTTATCAATATATAATCTTTATTTGGCGTTACCATTCGCATAGATTTGTGGGAAAATAAGGTAGGTATACATATGAACATGTGTAGGTGGGCATATTTTTCTTGTAATGAGCATCAAATTAATGGAAAAAATTAGCTATATCTACGGAAAATAGATTACTATTGTGTAATAATGAACACAATCCAAGTTATTTTAACTTTTGTATAAGATTTAAAGTATGCCATATGTATTTATATATCCTTAAATATATGTAGATATGCATCCGGAATTAAATACGCCTACATATACATTCATATGCTACATACACATGTATATAAGCATTGCTCTATTATGTTTGATTGGGTAACCCATTAACTATTTCCACCAATTTTATTTATTACACAGTAAAATAATGTTAACATACATAAATAATAGATATGTACTTTTAAAATATATTTTATTTTATTTATTTAATAATAAAAAAGCATTAGTACAACACTACTTTACAGTTAAATTACCAAAAACAATAATAATTTATAACGAACAGAATATGACAGAAATTGGGTTATAGACAAATTATAATACGCATATATATATGGTTCTTGAAATTTCTTTTGTTAAATTTCGTCCTTAAACTAGCAAGAAGAGAGTTCGATAATCGGCTAGCATTGACAAAGAACAGCCTTGTAGATTGCTGTGATTTATAAAAAGGTATTACAATATTACCCACTCTGGCGGATCGAGCACAAGATAAGTTGGAGTAAAGAAAGCTAGGTGATTGAGTCATAATGAGTTTGCAAAGAAAAATACAATTTCTGGCTTTATGATAGTATGCAATCGTACATCCCAATAGCTGATTCTTCCAAGACGAGATATGCACATATTTGGAAAGACCAAATATAAAACAGAAAAAATTTGCTTCTTATTTTTCTGAAAAAGAAGTGTAATTTTTCTTTAAAGACAACATTAAAATACAGGGTTATCGATTTTGTGGTTTCGATAATAGACGAAAATAAAACGATTATAAAATATTTTTTTATGAAATTCCTTTTTTATTATTTATTCACTTCATCATTGAAATGACGACTAGCGAGTTTTTGAAATCTTCGAACCGCTAGAGGTAATTTTCGACCGGTTTTTGGTACATATTGGGCATTAGATGGTATCTTAGCTAAAACATGATAATGTTTGTTTCCAAATGCCCAAGAGTTAAAGGTGTAAATATATAGACATGGTCTTTCGCGTAAATTGACCAAACAAAAGCCAACGGTGTCAAATCACACCCCTTTGGTGGCCAACTGCCATCGTCAAGACGAGAGTTTACTCGGCCTTGAAATTTCTGTATCAGTAAAGTCAATTTCCATCGTATGGCACTATCTTGTTGAGACACCATATTGTCCAAGTCGTGCTCTTCAATTGTAAGCCACACAAAGTCGGTTATCCTAGGATTGTAACAGTCCGAACAGGCAGCGATAGTGTCGCCGTTGTCGTTTTCCAAGAAAGCACCGGTTAATTTTTTTTTTTTTTTTTTTGGTGTAATGATCTTTCTTCAATTATTTGAGGATTCTCGAAGCACCAAGTGGTACAATTTTGCTTATTTATGTATCCCCTGAGTGAGGAATGTGCCTTGTCGCACAATAAAATTTTTTTCGACGTACGTACAGCTTACTTTAGTTGTTGTGTGAGCGTGATGTAGGTGTAAGTTCAAGAGAAAAATTCCCCAGAAAGTCCGAGCTCCTGATAACGGGGCGAGAAATAGAGAAATCGGGTCTTCGGCTATACTTTCACTTATAGTAGCGATATTTGAGGTGGAAGGAGTTAGACGATGAAGCAATGATCTTACAATATCTGTAACCGATCCAGTCTCTTATTTTTTTATATTAATTTTTACCAATTGCTTAGTAGTAAGGCAATAAATGTGGGCACGTTTGCATAGCAATTTGTGTAGTTTGTCTTAACAAGTTTAATGCGCTGTGCTGTAGTTAAGTAACATTTTCTTAAATACCTGACTTTTTACTATAACAAAATATATTTGGTTTCACAAGTTATTAGTTACAAAAAATTACAAAAATATAATATATTTAATATTTAACTATAAAACTAATTTAACAACTTAATTGCAGGTGTGCACCTTATACTCTAAATATTAAATAAATTTAAAAGCAAATACAACCACATGATGCACGAAAGACGCGTAGAAAAGTGAGTATGAGTTAAATTTTTCTTCACTTTTTTAATCCCAATCGCATTTCTATTACAAATAAAAAATGGAAAAAAAATTAATTTATGGGTAACATTTTAATTTTTTCTCAATGACTTAGAGTTAAAGGTGGACATTATGTTGCCACACATAATCAGCCTATGGGATACCCGCCTTATACGCACTCCAACCGTGCTTACTCCACTGATGGTGAAGAATCACATAATGCCGCTTCTGCGGTAGGATATACAGCTACACCAGAGTATCCATACAGTTCTGCACGTAAGATGAACTTATATCAAAACCATCATGCTCCAGCTGATGAGGGTAGTGTAATTTACAATCAAAAATGGTCAAATGGTTCACCCCAAACACGCCCATTTTCTACACTTAGCTATGATCAAGGTGGTGATGTGAGCAGTGAAATTTATGTGACCAGTGCCGCTTATAAGGAGCCTTCAGAGATAAGGTAGTTGCGTTTACAGTATAAATCTAACAAAATAAAAGCGAAAACACTTTTTTCAAAAGCCTAATCATCCATTTTAAACTCCGCTTTGACCTTCTTTGTTTACTTAAGTTTTTTTTTTTTATTATTTAATAGTCGTTACAGCCATCGGCCACAATCACGTGGAGCATCACATAGTGTTTATTCCGTCGCAAGCACAGCGAAAACAGGACAAAGTGCTCGCTCTACAACGAAACGAGGTGTTAAAATCGATGCGATGTCAGCACCAAATCCATTCTGCCCCAATATAAAAGGGGTTTGCTGTTTAATGCTGCTTCTTAATCTTGGGTTAATTCTCGTAACATTAGGGTTTGTAATAGTTGTGCAATTTTACGAGCCTTTATATGTGTGGTATGTGCAAATATATTATTTTTTATACATTTTATACACAATGCTACATTTTTATTCTGCTTTTACAGGATACTTGGGATCATATTTTTAATTTTTGGATTCCTTACTCTCATTGGGTGCATGATATACTGTGTGCATGTCTGTAGAGACGCAAAAACACCTTCCCAAGTGCGAAATGAAAATCTTTATTGGACAAGACATTGGCAAAATAACATCGGTTACATACCTACCAAAGAAATATCATATAAAGGAAATAAATATGATGGTTATTCGGATCATTATTCAATAAGTAAAGTTAGCGGAAAATACTCGGACCGTGGTAGTAATCATTATTAGATCAACATGTTTTTTCGGAAATGAAGGAAATCTTGAGGAGAAAATTAATATTTATGTCTAATCGTGTTAATCTATTGTAAATTAATAAGACCTATAGCCAACATTTATTATCGATGTGATGTACTAGTACACTGTAACTGTTGTGAAAGTGCATTTAATTGTTAATCGATTGTAAAAACGGAAAATGTTTTATCTAAATTATATCCAAATGTATTAAACTTGAACTAACTCAAGTCATTAGTTGGGCTTTAACGTTGTTGTACTTATCAGTTAATAAGCTTTTATACTTAAATATATGTATTTTTGTCTTAACTATATTTATAACTACGTATATATATGTATAAATAATATAATATAAACACTTATTAACACAGCACAACATACCATTATTGCAAACCTGCTTTAAGATTTTCCCCTCGAGTTGTGCGACAGAGTCATGTGATACATGTAAGGTTCCGATACGTCCGTTGCAAAGCAACCATACATTGATACGCTTTTCAAAATGCAACTGTGCAAACTTTTACGATGTATCATCTTCTAAAATGCATCGTTATTGATGCGCAAACAAAAGCAAACTGCGCATCGCTAATTCCTTTAATAAACATTATATTACTTACTTCTTTGATCTGTTATATAATTGAAGAGACAAAAAGTGGACGCATGTAAAGCGTTCCGAAATACCAGAGTTTGCACAGTATTGTTGCTTTGTAAATTTTTACAACGGAGGGTTGCACTGCAATGACACGGCTGCGGAGCGGTATTACTACAAAGTATTTTGACGTATAAAGCAAATCCTTTTTGGCAGATTATGTTTTTTTAACTAATATGACATTTATATGGCACCCCTATTAAACTCTCATTAGAGGTTTTCACTCAACACACACATTTCATCCTATTTGTACGCATTTGTTCGAATGTTTCTTCGAAGTTGACGTTGAGAGGCGGCGATGGTAGTTGAGGTGATGGTAGTGGAAGGAAAACCACTGGAGAAATCGCGGAAGAATCCGTTTCAATAGACTATGGAGCTGATACTGGTGTAGAATCTCGATCTAAGAGAAGAAAATAAAACAAATAATCAGAAAAATTTATGTAACAGTATTAATTTAAAGTTTTTGCTAATTACTGTTCATTCTGTCCATTACTATGACTAGAGTGTGTTAACTTTTGAAGTAAGCAAGTAATGCATAGGTTGAAATACGTTTAACTCTGATTGTAAAACACCAATTATTCCTTGCAATTCTTTTTCTTTCTTTTAAAATATTTTAGATAGAATGTGTATTCATATACAACGAAACATTAAAAGTTATTTAACTCTCATCTTTCAACGCGAGTTGTCTTGCAGTCGATTTTAGTTTCCAAAGAGTTGAAATTGAAAACTTAAGGATAAGTTCAATTATTACATAATAAAACCGACTTTTTAACTTGTGGATAGAGAAAAAAAGGTATTGAATTTTGGAGATGTCATCAGTTGCACATGAGCAACTTTTTTTAAAATTGGAGGAAGTTAGTACAGAGCGACATTTGTTGCCAAAACAATTAGTTTGTAGAGAAGAGCTTCACGATATTCGGTGCGATGTCCGGCTGAGCTTTTTATTATGGTACCGAAGCTAGTTTCACCCAAAATAATTGACCAATCGCAATAAAATTTGCAGACACTTTTTGTCTTAGACATATTTACACCTTCATCATTAAATTTTTATTTAGAACGTGCTATGCGTCATATATATGTTGTAATGCCGAAATTTTATGGTGATCACATGCGATCGCGTACTTTTTGATTTCAGAAAACGTTAGCACCTCTATTATCCGTTTTCTTTCAAGTATTCAAACTTTGCATTTTGGTATTCCAAATATAATATTATTAGCAAAAAATTACAAATATGTGATGTGACCAAGACTTAAGGAAAGTCGATGAATTTATTAGCCGATAACACTTTCACATCCTTTGTCAGCATTGTCGAAATAAAAGTTTGTTGTTTTGGTCGCTGATTTTAGTTTTGTTAATAATAATGTCGGCACCAATAGAAATTCCCTTGCGGGATACAGACGAGGTTAGTATTTGTATATTTTTCACAGTTTACTTATGTAACATGTGTTTTGAATTATATTTAAAGGTTATTGAGGTTCATCCCGATCAATTGCCAGAATGTCAAGAAGTACTAGCAATTTTACGCCAGGAACGTTCCCAATTAAATACTTGGGTCAATGTAGCCGTAAGTTCTTATTATATACTTCTCTTTACAACAATCTTGCTCAAATGTATTATTGGTGCTGACTGAAGCAATTTTAATTTGCTTACATATAATATACTTTCAGTTGGCATACTACAAAGAGAAAAAAACCGCAGACTTCATAAGACTTTTAGAAACTGCGAGGACCGAAGGTAATACCGACTATCGAGACATGGAAAAGGATCAAATGCGGGCGTATGATATGCTGGCTGCTCATTACGTGCAGGAAGCAAACCGTGAAAAATCAAAAGAAAAGAAGCGAGAGTTGTTTATGAAAGCCACAAATCTGTACACAACAGCAGACAAAATTATAATGTACGACCAAAACCATTTATTAGGTAGAGCATATTTCTGCTTGTTAGAAGGCGATAAAATGGAGCAAGCTGATGCTCAGTTCAATTTCGTACTTAACCAATCGCCGGCAAATATTCCATCTCTTTTGGGAAAAGCATGTATAGCCTTTAATAAGAAGGATTACAGAGGAGCTTTGGCTTTTTATAAGAAAGCTCTACGAACAAATCCCAATTGTCCAGCGAACGTGCGAATGGGTATGGGTCATTGTTTTCTAAAAATGAATAATCAAGAGAAAGCAAAGCAGGCCTTTGAAAGAGCACTCGAACTTGATTCTAATTGTGTCGGTGCACTTATTGGTTTAGCTATATTAAAGTTAAATTTGCATGAACCTGACTCAAATAAATTAGGTGTACAAATGCTTTCACGAGCCTATACCATCGATTCTACAAGCCCGATGGTTTTGAATCATTTAGCGAACCATTTCTTTTTTAAAAAAGATTACCAAAAAGTACAACATTTGGCTTTACATGCTTTCCACAACACCGAAAATGAAGCCATGAGGGCAGAAAGCTGCTACCAATTGGCACGCAGTTTCCATGCTCAGTGTGATTATGATCAAGCTTTTCAGTACTACTACCAATCAACTCAAATTGCGCCAGCGAACTTTGTCTTGCCTCATTATGGACTTGGTCAAATGTACATATACCGGGGTGATACTGAAAATGTTAGGACTACGAACTTTTATATATATATTTGCAAATATTAAAACAATTATTTTATATTCCTAGGCTGCACAATGTTTCGAGAAAGTTTTAAAAATTCAACCAGGAAATTATGAAACAATGAAAATATTGGGTTCTCTTTATGCGAACTCAAACTCACAAGCCAAGCGAGATATGGCGAAATCACATTTAAAAAAAGTTACTGAACAGTTTCCTGATGACGTGGAGGCATGGATAGAATTAGCTCAGATATTGGAACAAAATGACCTTCAAGCATCCTTAAACGCTTACGCTACTGCATCAAATATTCTAACTGAGAAAGTTAAAGTTGACTTACCGGCAGAAATATTAAATAATGTTGCGGCACTACATTATCGTGTCGGTAACTTAGCTTTAGCCAAAGACAAGTTAAATGAAGCAATACAGCGAGCTAAAGTGGAAGCAGAAAACTCGAGTGCAGACAAACAATATTATGATTCCATTTCTGTTTCAATGACATACAACTTGGCTCGTCTTAACGAAGCTATGTGCAGTTTTGACGTGGCAGATAAATTATTCAAAGACATTTTAAAAGAACATCCGAATTATATTGACTGCTACTTACGATTAGGCTGCATGGCTCGTGATAAGGGTCTCATTTTCGTAGCATCCGATTTCTTCAAAGACGCATTAAATATCAATAATGATAATCCAGATGCACGGTAATTTTACTGGTAATTTTGATTAAACTAAAAATGTAATTATGAGTGTCTGCTTAGATCTCTATTAGGAAACTTACATTTGGCAAAAATGCAGTTTGCTCTGGGACAAAAAAATTTTGAAACTATTTTAAAAAACCCAGCAACTGCTACAGACGCTTATTCACTGATTGCACTTGGAAATTTTTCACTGCAAACGCTTCATCAGCCCATTCGGGATAAGGATAAGGAAAGAAAGCACCAGGAAAAAGCTTTATCAATATATAAACAGGTATATTCGTTAAGTTTTTATTTATTGTAAAGAAATTATAAATTTAACAATTAACAGGTTTTGCGCAATGATCCAAGAAATATTTGGGCTTCTAACGGTATTGGTGCTGTACTGGCACATAAAGGATGTATTATAGAAGCCAGGGATATATTTGCACAAGTACGAGAAGCCACGGCTGATTTTTCTGACGTTTGGTTAAACATTGCTCATATATACGTTGAGCAGAAACAATACATAAGCGCAATACAAATGTACGAAAATTGTATGAAAAAGTTCTACAAACATCATAATGTTGAAGTTATGCAGTATTTGGCTCGTGCCTATTTGCGTGCAGGCAAACTCAAAGAAGCAAAGAGTGTGTTATTAAAAGCAAGACGTGTTGCGCCTCAGGATACGGTGAGAACAAATTCATTTATTATCCATATCTGAAGATTACATTCCCGACAAACATTTTTGTAACAGGTTTTACTTTTTAACATTGCGGTGGTGTTGCAACGCTTGGCTATGGCCATATTAAAAGATGAAAAGTCAACTTTAGATGTGGTTTTGCAAGCGGTACATGAGTTGGAGCTAGCGCAGAGGTAAGTATTCACCTTTACCATTTGCTGTGGGGACAAATTTAACGATTTCTTAACTTAGGTATTTTCAATATCTTTCGATTTGTGGTGATAAGACTCGCTTTAACATTGAGATAGCTGGTCTAGAAGCTAATCAATGCCAGGATCTCTTATCTCAGGCACAATATCATGTCTCGCGTGCTCGTCGCATAGATGAAGAAGAAAAGGCATTGCGTCGTAAGCAGGAAGATGAACGTATGGCCTTTAAGATGAAACAAGAAGAAGAACGCAAACGTCGTGAAGAAGAACAAAAGACGTCTCGAGAGCAGATGCTTGTCAAGCGTCAAGAATATGTGGAGAAAACAAAGGGTTTGCTCATTATCTCCGAAAGTTCTCAACCAAAAGAGCGGAAGAAAGGTATATTTTTATTGCTAGATTTAAAAATATAATTCATATACTGGTTTATGATCAATATAATATATGCATATCTAATACGTTTAATACTTATATAGGGAGCGGTCGGCCACGGAAAGATGGCTATGTTTCAGACTCTGGTAGCGATGTTGGTGAAATTGATGGCGCTGAACGTTCTAAAAAGAAGCCAAAAGAACGTAAAAAAGGCGGTGGTAGAAAACGGAAGTCGGCTGCAGACAAATACGACAGTGACAGTGATGGTGATATGCAGCCTAAAGAAAAGAAACAGAAAAAGAAAAAAGTTAAGGAAGGCAAGGATACCACAGAAAAACTGTCAGCTAAGCAACGTCTTAAAATTGTTTCAAAAGCTACTATATCTACTAGTGAATCAGACAGCGACGTCGGTGGACGTAAGCGTAAACAAAGCATCAATAGCGGTAGTGAAAGTGACGGCAGTGTTGGATCGAAGCGTGGGCGACGCATATCCAGATCACCTTCGGAACAACGATCCCTTAGTGGAAGTAGATCACGTTCTGCTTCTCGGTCTAGATCTCGTTCACGATCCCGTTCTCGTTCTGGAAGCGGTTCTGAAAGGCGTTCGAATTCGCGTTCGCAATCACGATCGCGTTCACGTTCACGATCAAAATCAGGTTCGAAATCCAAATCACGATCACCCCCGCCATCGAGATCTTCGCGCTCTGCATCTTCTTCACCGTCACCTTCGAAAAATAAAAAATCTGCTTCTCGTAGCCCTTCAGTTTCGCAATCAGATTAAAACGGCATGTTATTATTATATTTAATGTATTTGTTTCAATACAATACCTTTAATAAAGAATGAAAATTGAGTACATATTCCCAAATGAATAATGATACATAATTTAAATTTCATGTCTATAATTCTATTAATTATTACTTCGATAAGATTTATAGCATTTTATGTTCATGTGGCAAAGATCAATGGCGGCACATACATCCATATGTAAATATGGATTGAAGTAAATTTGGTACTCATTCACTATTTCATTTAAGAGAATTGGAATATTTAGAAATCATTCTGCTTACGATTCGAGCCATATTTCCTGAATTTCTCAAAACAAATGCATGATCTATTTGCTCTTTGTCCAGCTCGGCGTCAATATGTGGGAATTTCGAGCACAAATCATTATAATATTCAACCGGCACCCAACCGTCTGTAGTTCCATAATATAGCTTCAACAAGGGCAAATGCTTTTCAATTAAATTGCAATCTAAATTACGTACGCGAGCCATTTCATCCTTAGCTAAAAATACTACTTTTTCCATCACAGGAGCTTTTGAATATTCTAAAGCTGTATCAATAAACGTTTTTGGAATGTTTAAGAGCCAGAAATATACTTTTACGCCAAGACTCTGAAGAAATTTTGGTAAACGGTTGAATAGCGGAATAGCAAAACCCAAAATATTGTAGATAGGTACACCAATTTTTGTAAAATTCCATCCATTTGAAGAATCAACCATACGTTCTATTGTTGGAAAAAGCAGGTAACATTTGGTTACCCTTTCTCGGACAAGTTGATGTTCCAGTAATTGTATAACCATCCACGCCCCAATTGAGTGACCTATTAAATGAATTTTGGTGTTAGCCGGAACGAATCGTTGAATAAATTCACTTTTATGCTGTAACTGGCCATCTAAATCAAATACTTTTTCATTTCCTTTCAGGCAGGGCACTTCCGTTTCACTATTTTCCGATGATTCTTCATGACCCAAGTGACCTTCGTTTAACACGAAAAATAAAAAGAGTAAAATGGAAAAATACTTAAATATCTACTGTGTTTACCAATAATCCAAACCGGAATTTTCTGTTGCAATTGCTGGTATAACAAGTGAAGGAATTCGGTATAAAAGCCGACTAAACCGGGGTTGCCTGGAATACATAATACTATCTCCGGTACATCAACCAAATCCTCTTCGATCCATCGTCCCCAAGTAGTTATATGAGTTGGTACGCCACAAATTGTAATGAAACCTTCCTTCATCTTTCCAAAAAACGAAAAACTGTTAAATTGTTTAATAAACGATATATAACTATTAGGTGAGGAATATTAAAGGTATTCGTATATCGATACACAGCTCTGCTTGTTTCGACGTGGCGGTATCGGAAATAATCGAATTTTTCGCTTATTCTAATAAAACAACGCTTTTCAAAAATACTTGATTTGAGTTGAATAATCATAAAAAGTTTTTTAAAACACTCGATCGCTTGCGATTTTTCAGTAACTGTCATTTAATGTTAGGAAATCCAATTCAGATCCGGTTTGGGCAACTAACGGACGAGAATTTCCATCGATTTTGGCTGCCTACTAAATTGGAAATAGTTATCTATGTTGTTGTTGTTGTTGTTGTTGTTGTTGTAGCGGTTCGCTAACGCTTAGGCACAGGTTTGATTAATCTAGGTCGCCGAGGTCATCTAATGGACGGTCGAGGAAAAGAGCTGTTTCGACGGGGTTGGACCAAAAGGAGAGGGGGGTTAGATGAGTTGGTTTGAGAGGGCATGTGAAGAGGTGGTTAGTGTCGTGCGGAGACTCTCCACATGCAGGGCATACGTTAGGTATGCTGGGGTCTAGTCTGGATAACTAGGAGTTTAACCTGCTACAATATCCAGACCTGAACCGACAGCCGGTTCTACGCACCGGAGTTGACCCGGATTTTCTCTGGCCAAGGGCTGTCATCCTTTCGGCGACCTAGCCCCGTTTAGGTCAGCAGGTCAAATAGTTATCTATACTAACAATTAGTTAAGGGTATGGTTTTTGTTTGGTTCAAGGTTAAAGATTTACATTCTACCAATTAATTTGTAAAAGCGAAGATGAACTTGAAAGTGATACAATATGCATACGTACATAGCTCCATTTTCTTTCAATACTATAGTTATATGTAAGCTCGAAGTTTAACGAACAACTTTCCTGAACTTTATAGTTGATATTATTTCAGATTTCTTTACTTTAACCCATTAGGATTATAATGCATTTTCATATCTATTAATACAATACTTATTGCATTTAAATTAATTACAGAGTATAACGTGTGTTCCAGTTTTCGATAGCTTTGCTTTGAGGTAATGGAACGCTTATATGGATTTGGCGCGAAAATATTTGTACTTAAAAATGACAAGGCAATTTTCCCACCCTTCTGCAAGATGTACACCAATGATAAGCTAGGACATACGTAAAGTTACTGTGCTAAGCTTTACCTGTGTATTGTCATTATAAGGGCATTTTCTTTATTAACGGCACTTTCAGTTCTTCTTTCTGCAGCAGCTATTTCCAAATTTTCTGTTATTTCAACATAGTAGCATAAATACCAACATCACACGAACCACTTTTAGTTAGTAAATATAACTCTGAAAATGGTAAGTTAAAAAACATAATCAATTAATCATTTCACTGTTAATACAAGTGATCATTCATTATAATTGAAGCGTGAAGTAATATCAATACAAATTGGTCAAGGCGGAATACAAATCGGCAATGCTTGCTGGGAATTGTATCTCTTGGAACATGGTATTGATGTTGATGGTACCATGAAAACCAAACCTGAAAGTTCGAGTGGTTCAGATGAATTGGGAACAAATGTGAAAAGTGAGATGGCAAATGATTCAAATACATTTTTTGCCGAAACAGGAATGGGTAAACGTGTGCCTCGAACAGTTTTTGTTGATCTGGAACCAACAGTTATCGACGATGTGCGCACAGGTAACCTGAGAAGCTTGTATCACCCAGAACAACTTATATCGGGTAAAGAAGATGCGGCTAACAATTATGCACGTGGCCATTATTCTATTGGAAAAGAAGCAATCGATAAAGTTATGAATCGTGTACAAAAATTAGCAGAACAGTGCGAGAGCTTACAAGGTTTCTTAATATTTCATAGCCTCGGAGGCGGAACGGGTTCGGGCTTCACATCTTTACTTATGCAACGCCTAACCGCAGATTTTAGTAAGAAATGTAAATTAGATTTTGCGGTATATCCATCGCCAAGAGTGTCAACAGCCGTCGTAGAGCCTTACAACGCATTGCTAACTACACATGCAACTTTAGAAACCTCGGACTGCGTATTTATTGTAGATAATGAGGCAATTTATGAAATTTGTCAGAATAGATTAAATGTGGATCGACCCGGTTATCGAAACTTAAATCGGCTCATAGCTCAAATTGTTAGTTCAACAACTGCTTCATTACGTTTCAGTGGTTCTATGAATGTTGATCTTAATGAATTTCAAACAAATTTGGTGCCTTACCCCCGAATACACTTTCCATTGGTGGCATATGCGCCTTTGGTTTCTTCAACGAATGCATCTCACGAGCACAATGCCATAATGGCCTTAACAAACTCTTGCTTCGAACCTTCGAACATGATGGTGAAATGTGATCCACGCGCTGGAAAATATATGGCATGTTGCATGCTTTACAGAGGTGATGTAGTACCAAAGGATGTAAACGCGGCGGTATCGGCTATTAAATCTAAAAGACATATTCAATTTGTGGACTGGTGTCCCACTGGATTTAAAATAGGTATCAATTACGAGAAACCTGCTTGTGTACCAGGCGGAGATTTAGCTCAAACATCACGGGCAGTGTGTATGCTCTCAAATACAACAGCTATTGCTGTCGCATTCAGTAACTTAGATTATAAATTTGATCTGATGTTTAAGAAGCGGGCTTTTGTTCACTGGTATGTTGGAGAGGGAATGGAAGAAGGAGAATTCACAGAAGCAAGAGAGGACTTAGCTACATTAGAGCGGGATTACGAAGAAGTCGGGGCAGATGATCAAGAACAAAGTGACAACGTTGATGATGAATTTTAAATTATTTTCAATAAATAAAACATAAAACTTGTAAGAAAATCGCATTATTACTTATTTCAATAAAAATTAATAATTATTAACTTTCCGTTTTTGTTTTATAAACTACATAAGTACATATGCTTATGTATGCGAACGTGTGAATGTTTTAGAAGAACAGTGAAAAATTATTCAATGAAGACAGATAAAAGGCAGAATTATACTTCATTTATCTCATTGCGTAAATTGCTTTGCAATTGAGAATATTTATGAAATATTTGCTAAACTTAAAAGGTTACATATGTACATATATTCAATAAGCCTTCAAAATGCATTGCTAAGGTTTGTGATATTATATTTCAAATGAAGCCATTGTATAATATCATTTCGATAAGACACCATCCGATTACTACGATGTTATCTCTAAAGTAAACAAAAAGGAAGGAAATTGTACATGTAACTTTAGTTTTTATTTAGATATGTTGCTAAATTTAAGTATATTGACGTTAAATGTATGGTGAGTAAATGCAGACTTTAGTAAAATAATAAATATTTCGAAGTAATAAAAAATAAATATATTAAATTATCCCAGGGGAATCCCTTTTCCTTTTGTATCAAAAGATCGGGAGGAACGAATAGCTGCTATTGGATTAGAACTTAGCTCTGGAAAATATGATATAGTGTCTTTACAAGAGGTTTGGTCTAGAAAAGATTGCGAGAGCTTGAAAAATGCTACCGAAGCTACGTTGCCGTATGCCCACTATTTTTACAGGTAAACAACGTTTAGCAATAGGTTATACTTTTTTGTCCAATGCGAAGTGAATTCAACTGTTTTCAGTGGCGTCATTGGTTCAGGCTTGCTTGTATTGTCAAAGTACCCTATTATAAGTTCTTTCTTTCATCCTTGGAGTGTTAATGGTTACTTTCATCGCATTCAGCACGCTGATTGGTTTGGCGGTAAGGGTGTCGGGCTATGTAGGATCCTTGTCGATAAACATGTTGTTCATTTGTACAATACACATGTAAGTAAATGTATATTTATATACAATGTTTTGTGCGATTTCCATATTAATTTTGTTACTAGCTTTTACAAATGTACATATGTATGTGATAATAAAGGAAATTTATTTTTTACTAAAATTAGCTACATGCAGAATATAATAACAACAATGATGACTACAAGACTCACCGCGTAATTCAAGCTTTCGATACAGCACAGTTCATTCGTGCAACCAGAGGTGACTCTGTTTTGCAAATACTTGCTGGGGATTTAAATGCTCAACCACATGATTTAACTTACAAGTAATTATTGACTAGTTACTGTTACCTTGATTATGATTTTTATTAACATAAAAACTACTGCTTTGTTTAGGGTGCTTTTGTACACATCCAAAATGCAAGATTGCTGCGCATCGGAAAATATTGTAACGAACGAGTATTATAAAAACTCCTATACATCTACAAATAGGTCTGGCAAGAAACCTTTAGGAGTTCATATTGATCATATATTCGTGAGAAATTCGGAGCTTTTTGACCTTTCGGTCATTGATTATGAATTACCATTAACCGATCCAGTACCGGGTCAAAGTTTCAGTTATTCCGACCACGAAGCCGTTTTAACAAAGTTGCATTTAAGAGATGTCCGACCATCTGCAGCGGAAGGAGAATCTTCTATACTTAATAATCTTATGAAAAACGAAAGGCACGAAAATAATGAAGTTTGCCAAACATCGTCAAAGACTGATGAGTGTCACATCTCGAGACGTGTTGCTGTGTTACACGAATCAATTTCATTATGTGAATCATCATTGGATCAACTGAATGTGGATCGTATATTTTATTACAGTGTCGGAGTTATTCTGGCGTTTATTTTGGTTGTTTTCTTGGAATACCCAGCACCCTTAGGATTTAAAACTTTTTATATCATTTTAAAGTTTTTGATATCTGGAATTTTAATGTTTTGCATTTTCATGGGATCTGTATGGAATTATATGGAATTGAATGGCATACTATCCGGAAAAGTAGCAATGGAATTAATGCTGAGATCCATTGAAATTTTTGAAAACGTTCCGAAGCATTGAAAAACTACATAGTTTATGTATTACTGCTGAAGATTTAAATACTTCATAATTTATTCCAACTCCATAAATAGGCTCAACATGCATATTTACATAATTAAGATCGATAAATATAGTGTATACAATATTTACAAATTTGTATTATTTTGGTCTTAAATAAATTATCAATAATGTGGTAATCTGATATACTGGTTTTAATAACCCTCTTTCGCTTCTTCCAGCGCAGTATTAATAATATATAGGCATTCAATGGTGGTTTGGAATATCGTTATGTAAGGCATACAAGGGAGTAATTTATTATTAGTTTCACATTAGTGATCGGTTTTTTTATGATATGAACGTTCCTATTTTTTATAAAAATAATTTATCTTGTACGTGTCCAGCTCGCTATGCAGCGTGAGGCATACTGTCGTAAATATTTTAATTCAATTAGCTTTGGCAATATAAACCATTTCCGTAAATAATTATATTTTCGCGTCTCTATGTAAATACAATGTACATATATGCATATTTGCTCTTTATGCATGGATGCTTTCGAACAAGTTTTTTTGTATTGTTAAGTGAGTTATATGATCGTATTTGTTTCCTCTTTAAGAGAAGTGTGTTTGTTTATTGAAAAGTTTCTAAATTAGTTATACAATTGAAATTTACATATGTATATTTGCATTTGTAGTTTAGATAACATTTGACATCTGCTATAACAAATATATAAGTTCAAATTACATGCATGTATGTATACAAATGTTTGTAATCATGTCATGAAATTATAATAAATATAAATACATTTACAATGTATTTACGAGGCTTTATATTTAAATACGCTCAATAGCCATAGCGATACCCATGCCACCTCCAATGCACAATGAGGCAATACCTTTTCGTAAATTTAAACGCTTTAACGCGTATAATAATGTGACTAGAACTCTACACCCAGATGCACCAATCGGATGACCCAACGCTATAGCACCACCATTAACATTAACTTTTGAGGGGTTCACTCCTAGTCCCTTTAGTACTGCTATAGATTGACCGGCGAATGCTTCATTTAATTCAAACAAATCAACGTCATCCTTGGACCAACCAGCTTTACGTAGCTTTAGAAATAAAAGTAGTTAAAATGCAAAATAGGTTTAAAATTTCTTATACTTACAACAGCTTCAACTGCGGTAACAGGGCCTATTCCCATAATAGTTGGTTCTACGCCAGTTTGTACCCATGCAACTATCCTAGCAAGCGGCTTTATCGATCGTTTTTGAACTTCCTCTCCTGACATTAACAACACCGCTGCAGCAGCGTCATTAATGCCTGAAGCATTTCCAGCTGTTACTGTTCCATTCTAAAGAAATTTGAATACAATACAGAGAGATTTTTAAATATCAAGCTTTGGATGATTTGACTTACATCAATGAAACAAGGTTTCAGTTTTTTTAACGACTCAATTGTAGTGCCTGCTTTTATGTATTCATCCTTATTAAATATTTGCACGCCAGCACGAGTCTTTATCTCCACTGGCACAATTTCTTCTTCGAAGTAGCCAGCCTTTTGAGCGTTCTCTGCAAGATTCTGTGAACGTAATGCAAATTCATCTTGCTCATGGCGTGAAATTTCGTATTGCTTAACTAAGTTCTCCGCTGTAACGCCCATATGAATGTTGTGCATAGCATCCGTGAGTCCATCGTGGAGCATAGTATCTAACATTGCGCCTGAACCCATTTTGATGCCATTACGCAAATAAATGGCATGGGGTGCTAATGACATGCTTTCTTGGCCACCACTAATAACAATTTTAGAATCGCCACAGCGTATAGATTGATAACCTAAGGCAACAGTCCTAAATAAAATAATATATGTACATACATATGTATGTTTAATGTCAACATAATATTCAAAAACATAACAGTATACTTGTACGCACTTTAAGCCAGAACCGCAAAGCATATTAATATTATAAGCGGGTACACTTATAGGAAGACCAGCTTGTAGTGCAGCCTGACGTGAAGGATTCTGGCCTTGTCCGGATGTAAGGGTCTAAAGTTTATGATAATATAAGAACAAAAAAAGTGTTATCAGTATGATTATAAATTATTGGCTGCGAGCTTTTATATTCTCATTTTGCATACTTGGCCAATTATGACTTCGTCAATATCTTCATTACCAACATTAGCCCTATTCAGCACTTCTTTAATAACTACGCCGCCCAATTCCGAAGCTTTCAATTTAGAAAGTGTTCCATTGAAACTGCCTGTAATCCAATTAGAAATATTTAAATTGGTAATGGCTTTGAAGTATTTATTTGGAACTGTAAATTACCAATAGCTGTACGCGCGGCGGATACTATAAAAACATCTCCCGTATTGACCATTTTATGAACTTCTCATTCAAAACTAATATAAACGATTGATTCAGAAAGCACCACTCAACTGGTAATGAGCTTTAGACGATTGGCTACTACAAAATGCATAAATTAGAGATAGGAAATATTCGATGGGTTGCGAAATATCGATCGTTGATATCGGAAAAATAAATATCGATTTTTTCACCTAATAAGGCTGGCAATGCAACATGACACAAAGTGTTGGCGTTACCAACTAGTGGATGCAATTAGGAGGATCATTTCCGGTTTGGCAGACTGCAAATCTTTAAGATCCGCTTTTTATTGCTTTGATTTTTATAAATATAAATAAAAATACTTCTATACATTTTTAATATTTTATCTATGAAAGTTATACGCACCACAATTGAGCCCGTCACTACTAGACCAAAAGCTGCTACATGCTCTTTGTATTACAAAAGTAACTACATCGGCCAAAAGTGTGTTCATGTGTGTGTATGTGTTTGCATTGTTTCAATTGTTTATTTAACTGCCCGTTACCTATTTGCCTGATAAAGACAGCTGAAACATGGTCTTATCAGCGAAGAGCTCCATTCACTGAGTTGCTCCCTAATCAGAATTTAATGTTGCACTCAGTTTCGTAGCAAAAGGTAGTTCAAGTGGCTCGCTGTGATTCCTAACCAAATATACTCAAAAACTTTTCTTTAAAAAAACAGTTTGTGGATAAAATAAAATGTAAGTGCGTAAGGATATGTAAATAAAAATATCTATCGAATGTAAATTATTTTATACATAAGTGAAATTTTTGATAAAAAAAAACCAAAAAAAAAAAAAAAAAGCGGTCGTATTTCTTATAAGATGTGTACACATGTACATATGTGCATATACATACAACTCTTCATTAAGTTTTCTCTGCTTACAATAACGAAGTTGTTTTTTTTTTTGATTCAGTAAAATATTGAAAAAAGTATAGTTTTTGTTCATATAATTATACTAAATACAACGTATTCAATTAACTCTGGAAAATAGGTACTTAAATTCATATGTACATATGTACAAATATACATTCATCTTAATAAATCAGCCCAGAATAACAAGATAATCAAATTAATCTGATATGATAAAGAATTTGCACATACAAACATGCATAGCTATTCATATGCACATATGTAGATATATATGTATATATGCAAGTACATACGGTATATGTATACATCACATTCTGAGATCTAAGAAAATTGGTGCTACTTTGTGATAAGAAGCAATGATTTGAAAAAGAAATACAAATAAACAGATTATTAATAAAATATAAACTCATACGAATATATGTACATATATACAAAAGGAACACATAAAATATGTATAATACCGGCAAGGCACCCAGTAGAGAAATTAAATATTGTCAAACTATATTTTCTCTAGTTTAGAATTGAATTGAAATTAGGCCAAAATGCTAAAAATTATTAAGTATTTCAATTCAGATATATATTTTTATTTATTTTTCAGCATGTCTGTTTTTAGACATATTGGCAAGTCCATACTTCTGAAGCATAATCAATCAGCACTAACATTACAAGCCAGCTTCTTTCATAAAAGCCACTCAGTGAAATCCAAAAACGATTACCTGATAGACACACCTGAGTATGATTTCCTCAAGGATATTGGCATAGAACGCGAAAACTTTGGTGTGTATAATGGTTCGTGGCAAGGTTCCGGTGAGGTAATAACGTCAATAGATCCTGGCACGGGACGCAAAATCGCCAATATCCGCATGGGTAGTGTTCAAGAAATGGACGAGGCGATACAAATTGGAGTTAAAGCCTATGAACAATGGTCTCAGGTGCCGGCTCCGGTGCGCGGCGATGTTATACGTCAAATTGGCGAGGAAATGCGTAAATATAAAGAGCCGCTGGGAAAACTTGTAAGTTTAGAAGTCGGTAAAATACACAGCGAAGGGCAGGGTGAAGTTCAAGAGTTTATTGATATTTGCGATTATGCTGCGGGACTTTCACGCATTTATTCAGGCCAAGTGATTAATTCTGAACGACCTGAACACATAATATTGGAAGCATGGCGTCCTTTAGGCTTGGTGGGTGTTATATCAGCTTACAATTTTCCTAATGCCGTTTTTGGCTGGAACGCCGCCATCGCCCTGGTAATTTAAAATACTAAAAAAACTTTAATAATTGAATTCCTGTTTATTTATATTTATAAATATATATAAATTTCTATTTGGCAAAATCAGACTACCGGCAATAGCGTACTTTGGAAGGGAGCACCAACGACATCGCTCGTCTCGGTGGCAACTATGAAAATACTCGCTGAAGTCTTAAATCGTAACAACTTACCGCCAATTGCGACACTATGTCAAGGTGGAGCGAATGTAGGTCAGCAACTTGTATCCGATGCCCGCGTGAAGCTGGTGTCCTTTACTGGTAGCTGTGCAACCGGACGCAATGTTGGTGTTGAAGTACAAAAACGTTTTGGCAAAGTCATCTTGGAATTGGGTGGCAATAATGCGCTGATAGTTGATCAGGATGCTAATTTCCAAATGGTATTGGAAGCAGCTCTGTTCGGCTGCATCGGCACATCCGGTCAGCGTTGCACGACTACTCGGCGCATAATCGTACACGAAAAGTTATACGATCGTTTGGTTAAGGAATTAGTCGCTAAATACAAACAAGTATATAACAGTCTATTTTTAATTTTTTTTTGGTAATGAATTAATTAAACTCTGTATATTTTATATTGCAGGTTCTGCCTAAAGTCGGCCATCAATTAGACCCCAACACGTTAGTGGGGCCAGTTCATTCGCAGCAAAATATCGAACACTATAAAGCTGCCATAGCCGAGGCTGTTAAGCTCGGTGGTAAAATTGCATTTGGCGGTAAGGTTATACAGAGTGATGGTTTCTATACCGAACCGACGATTATTACTGATTTACCACACGACTCACCAGTTGTACATCGGGAAACCTTCGCACCGATTGTATATGTGTTGAAAGCGAAATCCATTGAGCAAGCCATCGCGTGGAATAACGAGGTGGATCAAGGTTTATCTTCGGCGATATTTACCGAAAATATATCGAATGCATTTAAATGGATTGGTCCACAAGGCTCCGACTGTGGAATTGTAAATATAAATACAACAACTAATGGTGCGGAAATTGGTGGTGCTTTCGGTGGAGAAAAGCACACTGGCGGTGGTAGAGAATCGGGATCTGATGCCTGGAAGCAATATTGTAAACGATCCACAATCACACTGAATCACTCTGGTAAATTGGCGTGCGCTCAAGGTGTGGTTTTCAATGTAGAATAAATATGTATGGATTTTTAAATAAAATAATCTGTTGTATTTTTTAAACATTGTATTTATTTTATAAATATTTATTTGTATCATCAATACTCTTAGAAGATTTATGAAGCGCCTGTCCCTGATGTGATTTTTATTTATAAACTACTCTGAGGCCTCCAACTCCTTATTATTGGTGTATTGGAAAATTGTCAATTCGAGTACCCATTTTCAGGAAATTTTTAATTTATTTAGTAAAAATACCACTGATCATATCGAGACTGTTGCTTATGCGAACAGGCCTTGCATGGATATTGGAGAACACAGAAAATTCGATAAAATTGTTTTCAGTATATACTTACATGCATATATTAAATCCGTTTACGGAATTTACAAACCTGACATAACTAGATGAAGTTTCCTTTTAACCGAGGCAGCTGGACCTCACTCGTGATTAATTAAATTTTTTTGGTTATTTCTTTCCTGCATTAAGCTTAGAGTTTGTTAATTCGAGGACATGTCCGTAGAGTGCACATGGAATTTCAGTGAAATCATACTTAACCAGGCTCGACAGCGAGCGATTTAGACCCCAAAATCATCTGGTGCCTTATAGTGGTAATTTGACTTTTTGAAAGATCAGAATCGATTAAACCGTTTAAAATAGCATGACTTAATTCGTGTTGCATAGACTTAACTGGCGATTTTACGTCACACCTCGATCGTACGTATCATTTCCAGCGATTTGGTTCAAGAGATTTGCGAATGCAATGAAAAATTTCAGACAAATTCTAAATGAACTTTAAATGGAGTGACAACATCGACTGCTATATACAAAACCGGCGAAAGAAAGCGCCCGAACTCAACGTGAGTTTAAAAAATTTCCCTTCCACGAATTTGTTTGTATAAATGACCCCGTCTAAAGCCGTTTTTCTTTCCCTCTTCGCACAGAAAATAGAAAGATAGGTTTAAAACAGTATTCACTGAAAGGCTCATACATACGTCTGGTAACAAGTAATCCATCTTTTTTTACTATAGATAGCTTTAGGGATCTGTATCCCTCGTTCTATAAATGCGACATTATAAAGGTGACGTTTTGTACTAAAAAATATAACGCGGAAAGTGTTGATCCCTTAACTCGACCAATTTTTGAAGCGGATGGTGGCTGGTAATGAAAGTGCATCACATACAGCAGTGTCAGATGAAAACGGTCGTGGTCGAAGGGCAGTGAGTCGGGATTGACGCAGTTTGTGTTATGTATTTGGTAGGATTGTCGCTCTCTTAATTGGAACCTGTACTATCAGAAGTACAGTAGGGAAACTGTGTTTCATCAGGAAAACACCAGTGACTCGTCAGAAGCTCTGAAAGCTTGGTTGTCAGGTTCCTATGCATCCACCTTATAGTCTGGACCTTGTAACAAGTCATTTCATCTCTTCTCAAGACAAGCCAGTGAAAGTTCGTTTGTCCGAATTTTTGTCGATAGGGTGAAATGGGTGTCTATGAGAGAGGCGTAATGACATTATGCAGAACGGTGCACACTGTATGTGAATCGTATAATTGTAACTATGGTAAACAAAGACTTTAATGTAATGCAAAAAAGGCATTTCTTTTACTAGACACTTTACATACATGTGTATGTATATACGATGAGGTTTTATACTAGCACCACACATTCCGTCGGTTTCCATGGACACTTCCAGCTCATTATATCGATAATTAATTAAACGAATGCACTTTGACTTAGAGTTATTATAAATTTAATTTGCATATAAATTTATTGAAAATATTTTAAATTAAAAACAATCATGGAGGTTATGGAAGAAGGTAATTTAATGGACAGGGTTCCAGTGTTATTGCAGCGAGATTTACAATTTTATCAGGTAAGAGAGGAAAACACAATTTATTCCGTTTATATCCTTCTGGAATGTCCATTATATAATTATTAAAACTATTCAAAAACAATCTCAAAAAGACGCACCAACGAGTACTTCAGGAGCGAATTTGTCTTGGCGTAGTCGGTGGTAAGTTGGACTTTCCACGTTATGCTTCCTTTGCAGCTATTAAAATTGTGCTTTGGTAAGAAAGTTCTTTGAAAAGTTTGATAAAATTATGAGTATTAAAACAAAACATTATTTTTCAACTGAAACAGGTGGGAGGACGAATACTTTGCTTCTTATCAAAAGCATTCGGGTCTATTGCATGCGGAGTGGGATCTTTTAACGCAGGAACCGGTAAATATTCTCAGCAAATTATATTTAAATAAACACAATACAACTTTCGGTTAACTTTGATTAACAGCCAGCAGTTATAGTGAAAACCTCAGATCCCGAAAAGTTTGTAAATCTCGTAACACGTTCGGCTGATATGCTTTTGGAACATTTACATGTACTTTCACAGGAATCGCTAGATCATGCCGATCTCTCCGTGCTGACAGCAACCATTGGTGCGGCTGCGCTCATTAAGAATTGCCTACACATTTATATGCAAGCAGCAAATGTGAAAATATATCGGCCAAAGGGTAATGAAAAGGGTGGCGCCTTAAGATTGTCCTATAAGCAATATTTTCAAATGGCCGAGGCGCTCGCGGAGAGATTATTGGATTTGCATTGTAGATTGCTGTTGCTCTACATCGTACAAGATACCGATTGTCTAAATTGGGAAAATAGTCAACCATTTTTCGAATCCGAACGCGGTTCCTACACCATACAAATGTGGTGGCACTACATACAGGGTATTAAGGATGATTTGTGGAATTCGGTGCCGCCTAAGATGGCACAACGCATTTTTGCGGGTATTTTGAATGAAACTTTGGGTGTACTTTCTGCACGATATTCACTAATTCTGACGAGTGTGGAACGGGCCCAGTTACATTTGGCTGACATCTCGAATATGTTGTTTTGTGTAGCCGAGCTCTTGCCTTACATCTGTGAGAGTGGTGAAGCTTATATAGGTGAGTAGAAAAAATCAGAAAATGATTAGAATATAATGTACGTTCATCTCTTTCTTCCTTTCGCCTCGCTAGGACTTCAGCTCTCTGCACAAAATGCAATTATCCGCGATGTACATGCTAAGTGCAGAGAACTTTTCTATTGTCTACTCTTACGTGGCGCTCCATTGGGTGTACTCTCAAAGGTACGATTAAGTAGATCCAAGCTTTCTAAGGGCTATGCAATAGGCTCATTGGTTTCTCAGTTTCCAATGCTTCGGGTTTGAGGCTAAAACTGCCCTACAGGGCTATTCTAAGGATGTTAACCTCAGTTACAGGCTCAGTAGAACCGACTCCTCATGGCGGGAATTCCCGCTACTTTTCTTCAAAGCTTCCATAAGGTTATGATAGCTAAGGAAAGCAAGCCGGAAACTCAAAAGCTCGGGAAAAATCCGTGAAAATTAATGATATTACGAATGAAGACTGCGTCAAAGCAACCATTTGATACTCACAATATATTTTGTATAAAAAATAGTCTTCACTATTAATTTATACAGCTAGTAAAATGTTTTAGAGGAGAGATCCTATTCCTTATACCAACGCGCCGTCGAAGTCTAAAGAAATCGCTTATTCTTCGGAGAGAACTTCTTGTTTTAAATTTTTACGCGTACAGCTCTGCGGACATCATTGTTTTTCGCACTAAAGAAATATATTTAGATTCCAATATTCATTTATTTTCAGCTCTGCCGTAAGAACATTGAGAATATGGAAATGTTTTCGTCTAGACAAGGTTTACCATGCGCCTGGATCTTATTTGCTTCGCCAAGACTTTTTTCGACAGACAAGACGTTCCAGTGGGTGACCGAATTCGGTGATCTGAGTGCACGCATTGCGATCTCACTGGAACTGAAAGTTCTTCTGGCATTTCCCGAAGCGGATTGGGCGTATTTGTTAAAGGTAAAGATCTAGAGGTATAAATTTCATTTTACTGATAAGTTTTTTTTCTCTACACTTAAGGTGCTCTTAATGCGTAACGCTCAGGTCACTGGTATTATTCTACGACATATTTTTTCGCATTTACCCTCACCTGAGAATTTCAAAAACGAAAACAGTGCACTTCTCAGCGATTGTAGTGAACGAAAAAAGTGTGAGGCTTTTCTATGTCGTGGGGAATGTTTAGATCTAGCCGAACAAATTAAAAATCAAGCAGGTAAAATGAACCATTTACACATAATTATGATATTTATTTAGTAATTCGAGCACACAGATCCCATTGGTCAGTCCAATTATCAAATTGCACTATCCTTAACCTATCTGTTGGTCGCTGTTGGAAAAGCTGCCGATATCAAATCGTGTCTTATCAAAATTTTGGAAGAGAGTTCAGCTGGTTGGAGTGATTGTCTTGATAAACGACAGGTTGAATGAACTGAAAGCCACTAATCTTACAAATAAATAATCACAGTTGAAATTCTTAGGTTTGGAATCAAAAACGACCACCTTGGCTTGAAGCAATTATGCATTTCGTCTATCCCGTGCTTAACTGCATTGTCGATATGTTGGTAAATGCCGTCGAAGCGGGCGCTAGTATGTATCAAGCCATGTCATTGGCTCTAACGTGTGTCTCTGAGATGTGGGATTGCATGCCGGAGAGTCTTTATAAAGTAACAATTTTACTACAGGATATTATACCAGTTTCCACGCGTCCGCTGGGTATGTGACAAATTGTTTTTAATAGTTTTAACAATTCTGATTGAAAGAAAATTTAATTCTCAAATTAATTTAATTAATTTAAGAGAATAAAAAAAAGTACATTTAAAATTTTTTCCTTTTTCTTTAAAGGCGATTCAGTGTTAATGCAAGTGGTTTTCGCAGCTTTGTATACAGATCTCATAAGAAAGGCAAAAACTTATGAAAATGGTATAACAATCAATCACACACCGATTAAATTTTTATAAAAAATATCTGAACATAATCGATACCCGCGAACTAAAATCTTTTCAATTAAATTTGATAGTTATTTTGTGCTTCCTTTTTGGACTATGTGTGAACGATATTATGTTCCTCTTTATTTTTACGATTAAAAATAATTATTTGATATCTTTTTCCGATCACATTTAATCGAACGATTTGATATATTGCAATTCTTATTTTACGAACAATTAGAACTAATATTTGGTCATATTATTTTTAGTCGCTCAAAAAATGAAATTAATTCGTACAATCCAATATAATTGAATTAAAAGGAATTATATATATATATATATATATTAATTTCAGAAAATAAAATGGAGAAAGCTTCTACCTGTTATTCCATATCGGAAGCTATATGCTGCATCGATGAAGACGATAAACATACCGATCAAATTGATTTGTTTTTGAAACAAACTAGAGATTCGATAACGATCGAAGCGAATTCTCATTTTGAATATAACGGTGGGGCACGCAGTTGGGTGAGCACACTGAGTACCGTTAAAATTGATGATTTAAATAATACACATACGGAACGTTTAACACAAAGTCCACCAACAAATTATGCTTCAGAACTGGATGTGGGCGTAGCCGATTATATAGCGGATATTTTAGTCAGTGATGTGTTGACCAGCAATTTTGGCAAACAAGCTTTGAAGGTAAGCGAAATACTTTGAAGAAGTATATATATATATTATTCGACTAATAATCGATCATTTTATGTTCGTAAAGACCAGTTACAGATATTTGAAAAATAATTCGGATTGGTTAATGGAACAGCTGGGCGCTGGTGTGGCAGTTAGTGGCCCGAATTTGGGACAGAGAATCAACGAGCCCAAAGATTCGATATTGTCTACAATGTTTTTCGTTGGAAGTCATACGTTTGATCAGGTATGCATGTCGGTAGCGAAAATGTACACTTTGCCCTTAGTTATCATGAGCTGCATTCGATTTTCATTTTACGCTGGCTGCGGAAAGCTCGAATTTCAAATTCATGTTGTATGGCATTCTGTTAAAATTTACAGTCCCAAGGAAATTTACTTTCGTTGGCGTAGTGAAGTTTGAGGAAAACACTGTAAACCCATGTATGTATTCTTCGTTCTTTCGTATTGTATTGAACTGCTTTAGTTTGCAAAAGAAAGCAGTTAAACAATTCAGAGATAAATATAGGAGGAGGCATACACGCAGTCCAGAGTTCGATGTGCGCCTCAAACGTTTTATGCTTCTTGACTCTCCCATTTCGTCTGCGTTCTACCGATTTTCAAAAATTTTGTTCTATCTATTTCCTTTCTTCAGTTCTTTCTCTTTATCATTCGTTTCTTCTTGTCGTCACTGGAGCCAGTTGGAGATACCAAGTGAAGTCACGTCCCTCTCTATTTGATCTTTCCATTGAAGTGGAACTTCTTCTTTCCCTTTTCCCTTTCACCGGCGACAACAAGTCATAGCCAGCGTAAAAGCTGTCTCTTGATTCGTTGAATTCTGCAATGTCGCCTTATAACTAGTACAGCTGATATGCCGTCGTCTGAGATATTCGCCTGCGCTTATGCAAAAAGAACCATTAATTGTTGTTAGCGTTCAGGTCTCCTCACCAAATAGCAGGACGGAAACTATCAAGGACTTGTAGGGCTCGACAATTGTTCTTCGGAAGAGAAGTTTAAATTTCTCTTTTCCATTATATATATATTTTAAATTTAAACGAACAACAAAGCCAGCATTGAAATCCAACGCAGAATTACTCTGGTTAATTGGTGCTACTTCCGATTGAGTAATAAATTCGCGATATTTTTTGAACACACCTCGTGCTCATGAATGAATATCTATTTTGTCCCATAGAAAGTAATTCCCATGAGATATTATACACTTGTGCCAACGGGTTTTCCAATCTTCGAAGCACTTCAAAAAATTATTTTTTTTTTTTATTTTGTTCAGCTCCTCCTTCGATGCCATCTTTCTCGTCAATCATAGCGTAACGTCGTCCTTTCATGCGCCTCTTCAGTTTAGGGAACAAGAAAAAGTCACAGGGGACCAGGTCTGCGGAATAATTAGAGTGTTGTTTTTGGCCAAAAAGTCGCGCGCAAGCAACGATGCGTGAGCAGGGGCGCTATCGTGGTGCAAAAGCCAATTTTTGTTCATTCACAAATCCGGGCGTTTCTGGCGGATTGCTTAGCGCAAATTGCGCATAACTTGCAGGTAATATTCCATATTGACCGTTCTACCCTGTGGCAAGAACTCATGATGCCCCACGCTGCCTGCCACGCTGAAGTGCTCGGGCGTCCCGCACGCTCTTCGTCGTTCACATCTTCTCGGCCTTCTGAGAACATTTTGTACTGCCTATAAACGTTGCTTCGGTCCAAGGTAGCTTCTTCGTATGACGCAGTCAACATTCGGATTGCATCCGCACACTTAATTTCGTTTTTCACACAAAATTTGATACAGGATCTTTGATCCATCGAAGACCATCCAAAACACGTGCAAGCAAAGCAGCTGTCAACAATTAAGTGAACATTCAAAATGGCCAAGCGTGTCGGCATAGGTGGCAGACATGAGTACCAACATAACGCCACAAAAAAATCGAAATTCGATTATACGTAACCCGCAAAAATTTAAAATTCGCGATACTTTTTGAACACACCTCGTATATTTGAGGTCAATTTTCAGTTGAAATAATTTTTTTTTCTTTCATATCAATTTACTAAATTTTTAAACAACATGAATTAGCATTAAATTCTACTATTGTGAATAGCTTAAATGAACACAATTCACAATAGTGTAGAATCCAGAACAGCTTGAGTCGTTTATTTCAATAATTTAATTTGTACTTGTATTTGTAATAGGTCTTAAGAATATAATTTTACACACTTTCTTCCAGCTGCTGAGCGGCGTCCTCAGCATCGACTATATTACATGGCTGCAAACACCTCTATCGCTGAATACCGAACGCGCTTGGCTACATTTGTCACGACGTTGCGATTTCCAGGAAGACTCCAAATTGCGTATGCCTGAAGTCACAATGGTCGCTGGTATTACGCAAGTGATGAAAAAACTTAAATACGCTAAGAAATTTTAAGCGTTGTTGTTTTAATTGACACGCATACAATTTTACAAAATATGTGCACAAATATTAGATGTACGAGTATGTATGTAAGTATTAAGACAAGTGTTAAGTGCAGTCGCACAGATGTTGGTAAACAAAAATGCTGTAACGCGTAATAATTGGTTTGGAATTTAAAAAATTTCACCGCAAATGCAAGCGGCACATGGACATGTGAATTGGATTGTTACTCTTTTATTATTTAGAATAAATAATTATATATATTAATATAATACAAAAAAATATATATTGTATCAAAAACTTACATGCTTAAATGCACATACATATGTATAAAAGTATATAATTAGAAGTATAAAATTAATTTTTTAAAAGTTAATCCCACTACATTTTTTTGTAGGAAATATTCAAAAAATAAAAGAAATAAAAAAATTATAACTCAGTTTTTAGTAAACACAAGTAATTACAAGTAATTCTACAACTGGAAACAACTTTTTAATACAAAAAAATGATAAAAAAAATATGCTAACGAAAGCACTTCTAGGCACTTGCCCATACATAGTGAATTTGTTCATATGACATTTGTATGCATGTATAATTATGCTTACGTTTAATTGTTAAATTTCTGCAATGCAAATATAACCCATATTTCTGTGAATAAAGTAAATTATTTATTTTCTTTTGCTGAATCAATAAAAAAAACTAAAAATTCATACAAAACAAATTGCGTCAAAAATAAGTGTAGTTGAATTTTTACTCTCTTAAAAATATGAGAATAGTTAGTATGTTGAAAATTTAGTAAAAATATCAAAAATTCAAGAATTAAATACATATGTACATATGTATTAAAATAAAAACAATGTACGAGGTATGGCAATTAAGTAATGAGACTGATTCCATAAAAACCGTATATTTCAAAATTATTCTAAATACAGCTCTGCCATCCCCTTCATGCTTCTGGAAAAGTTCCTTTAACCACCGATTTTGTTCTAGAGAACAAAAAAAGTCACAGGGTGACATATCGGGCGAATAATGCGGTTGTTGCAATGCTGAGGGCGGTGTGGCACGGCGCGTTGTCGTGATGAAGGATCCAGTTACGATCATCGGTTAAAGATTGTCTGACTGTTTCACGGTTCATACAATTTCGGATGCCAGCATGCGAACTGTTAAACGTCGATGTTCATGGACTACCGCTCCGAGCCTCGTCTTCCACGTTTTCACGCCCCTCCTTAAACTCTTTATGCCAACGAAACACCTGGGCACGACTAAGAGCACTACCACCTTGCACTTTTATAATTTTAGCGTATGTTACCGAAGCTGAAAAATCTTATCGCGACGCGTTTTTCCATTTTTTCCATTTTCGTGACGGACGCGACGAACACACGTTTACTCAACACGAACAAAACAATTTAAAGCGTTGGTAAATGTATCAATGGATAGGCGAAGGATGCCGGGAGAAGAGAAAGGGAATTTCAAAACGCAGGGTTATCACAATTGCGGCAATATAATCAGTATCATTACTCAATTGTCACACCTCGTATGTGCACGTGTACAGGGCGACCGCAAAATAATTAAATTTGACACGTTTTCCCCTGACATCTGTCCGAAGCGATTTACAAAATTTTCAACGATCATACAAATTGCAATACATGCATGCATATTGCAGTAAGCGTTCAACTGTTAAATTTAAATAATTTATGATGGCGTTTCGCATTTCCTCTAAATACGTAAAGAGATTTTTTTTAATTTATTTCCCTACTCGTTTACTTATATATGACGGTTTTACATATATATAAATTTTACATATATACAAACTTAATTCTTACATGAAATTTAACTCTGCCAACACTTTTAATGAGGAAAATACGTTTCTTCTTTATAATTTTGAAAATCATTTGTTGTTTCCTAAAAATAGTTCTCTAAATACACGCTCATAGTGATTAATGGGAAGTAAAGTAACACACTGAATGCATATATGTAGGCATGTTTGTTGATAAATTTTATTAGGGCATTTATTTTGTTAGTAAATTAAAAAAGAAAAAAAAATAGTTAAATGTTCCCAATTTATTGCAGCTGTTTCAATACAAAGCAAACTATGTACGCACAAATAAATGTAGGCAACGCTATATAAGCAAATACAGTAAACAAAAAATTATTTACAAAGTAATACTTTATTTAAAAAGTTGTATGGCTTGTAAAAGCTTCCAAGCTTGCTTACTACCATTTCATGCATTTCATAGATTATTGCTTTTTGATCAAAACTATTTGGCTTACTTCGGACATGAAATATAAAGCTCCTTATAAAAATTTAACAGCCGTTCAGAGGCTCGGTCCATTTCTTCAAGTCGCAAAATCACAAATTAAAGCAGCAGCTTGGGCGAAATCCTTTCAGCGGTTATAAAGAATTGACATATCTAAATATTAAGTTCTATGTGGACTTCTGGCATCACTGTGTGACTGATTCTCATTTATGCTTTTCAGAGCAGTTTTAGCCATTATTTTATTGTTAAACGATTATAGTCGAATAAAAATGAACAGCGGATACTATCTCAAATACTTTCAAGGATGGATTAGTTCTTGTCTTTTAACTCGTTAAAGTACAATAATTTCACCGTGTATCTCGGACAGTCCTCACATCGCCTGTATATCAAACTGGAGTAGGGATTCTACGATCAACTATTATACAATATGTTAATTGAACACATACATACTTATGCATGTAGATATACCCAAACAAGTGTGTAATAACAAGAGCCCACGCATCAAATGAAATAAGCAAATTTAGATTGGCATTACTGCGTTTTGAAGTGAATTGCTGCTGGCGTAACATTAATAAGCCTTGAGGTGATTAACAATTTTTTGCACATCTTTGCTGAAACCATTCCACCACATACATACATACATATGTATGCATGTATGATCGTACTAGTTAATGCTGTGTTAGATGCATCAAGAGAAGGAAATAATGACTTGCTTTTTGTATGCACATATATTATAGGGCTCGAGGAAGGTGCATTATGTATATACACATCTACATATGTGTATGTATGTACATACATACGTGTATGCATCTGGATCAGTATGTGATGCTCTTTGGCAGGCAAACGCAATTACACGTACAATATGTGTTGTTGTTATGGATTTTTCTACAAACATATGTATAAACAGATATATGTTGATATGTATGCTGTTCAAACATTTACACCTGTGCAAGCAACGCTGCAATAAATAGTAGTAGTGTAGTACAAAGTTACATGCTATAAGCATAGGTATGTATGCTCTATAAAACGGTAACTCCACTCTTATAGCGTTATTTCTACGTTAACAACTGTATAAGCACATAAGATACACAAAAAAAATACATATGTATGGATGTTTGTACATTGGTAGCATGTTTGTTGATGAGCGCTAGCAAATTACACTACGTTACATTACCGTCTTTAGCTAACTGTTAGCCAAATTATGGCACATTCTCCTCACTAACCACATACATACATATGCACATACATATATGTATGCATGTGTGGTGGTGTACCTTGGTCCAATAGTGAAGGTGAGCAAAAATGAAGGAGATCCAGACAACCAACTAACTTGCTCCATGAACACATGGCAGACGCATATCTATGTATTTATATAGTTTACCCCTATGCATGTGTACATATGTATGTAAGTTTATTTGCGCAACGCATCCACTCGAATAATCCAAAAGTCAGCACGTTCCATGCCGATCTTGGTCATGTGCAAATATCAACAATATCCCAACTTTTTCCTTACACGACACATGAGAGATGAGAGATGGAGGGAGAGAGAGAGAGAGTGTACGTGTGTTAAACGTCGCTTTGGCTCTGGAGTTATCTTCTAAGCTTCAATTTCTGTTTTAACTGTTACTGCCTTGTTTAGACTCTGCCGCATACTCGCACTATAAGACAACATAGGTCTGTTTGTCATATTTGTCTACGCTTTTACGCACTTGTATACATACTGATATATGTAATACGAAATTATAAGTCAGTGTAACCCAATAAACAGAAAAAAAAGAATAAAATAAAAAAAATTTCTTTCGATAATACTCAGTTCTTAGTTTAATTTGAAGGATTTCATAGTTTGGGTAAGAAGATTTTTAAATATTTTTCCTAAATTAGTTTTACAGTTGAGCACAAGGAAATCACATTGCTTCACAAGAGAGTTTCTACCTGTAATATGAAAATTTACGACTGATTAAGAAAAGAGACCAAAAGTGCAGAAATGAAACGACGAAATTCACTATATCTTACACACGATCTCGTCCGAAAAGAATCTCAACATGGTTCTCATAAGATTTTTTACCTAGGTTCGCTCCTGTACTACTTTCTTGATAGAAAAGTTTTCCACTTGTTATTAGGGGTGATTTTTTTATCTTTGTGGCAACACTGGTTTAATCAGCAGGCGCGCGTTTCGGGTTTTGTATCACTGTCAAAGTCTTCAGTTTGGTCTATTTCACGTTCGGGACGGATCAATTGGCCGCCTAGATCGTGCGATTTAACGCCTTTGGAGGACAACGTTGAAGTATTTATACGAGAGATACCGGACGAAATGTTGGAAAGAGTATGCTAAAATTGGACTAAGCGGATAGACCATTTGAGGCGCAGTCACGGTCGGCATTTGCATGAAATAATTCTATTATATGGACCGTATTATCGATTCAAATAAAAATTTCATGCATTTTTCTGATTTTTTTTTAAACTTTCCTATAGCTCTTAAAAAATCACCTTTTATAACAATAGAATAATTAGCGCTCTGTAACCGCTGATGTGATTTTCAGTCGACCTTATCTACCAATTTGTGTCATGCGTCTTGATGTTTTCCCATCAAATGGTGGAACCTACAGTTTATACTAGCTCGCCTCCGTACGGCTGATAATTTTTTATGGGGAGCTTTTATTACAAGTCGTAAATATACGAGGAGGGGTTAACATTTCCTGCCGACGGGAGAATGCAAATATACATTTTCAGTTTAATTTTTAAATAAATAAATTTTCTATAATTTTTGATGTTGGTCGGACCAGAAATGAACCCTGACCTTCCGCGTGGTAGTTCGTAATGCTAACCGCTCTGCTGTCACGGCGCCACATATTATATCAACCAAGACATGTATATAGAATGATTTAAAAATAAATTCGATTTTACCAGGAATCTTTCCTTATCGGATAACTACGTCATACGCAAAATACAGTGGGAAGCCAAAACAGAATCACTTTTACCAACAGGTGTTACTTTGGACTGAGTAGGTAAATGAAAAGTAACGTCCTCACCCGACAAACTTTACAGGTCACTCATCTTTTTCGACCTATTAATTGGTGCTGAAACCTGGAAAATGACGACACACGATGAGTCGGCCGTGGGAGCCCTTGAGAATAAAGATTTGTGAACGATTTATGGTGCTTTTCGTATTGACATTGACATAGTTCAGCGATTTAAGAGACAGTGGCTACGCTGGCGAGGTCATATGGTCCGAATGGATAAGATCCTACAGATTTGAACAGATTTGAAATGCATGATACAGTGCTCGCCGGAGGAATCAGAGGAAGACCTGAGGGTAGAGAGCGATTTGGTGTCAATTGGTATTTCCAACTAGCGCTTAACAGCGAAGAGAAGGAGAGATACGCTTTGGTTGATTCGGCAATAATCACGCAAGCACTGTAGCGATCAATGATGAAGAAGAAGAAGAAGGTAAGGCAAAAAAAGTCAGAAACTAATATCAAGTACAAAATGTTTGCTGGGAAGAACCATGAAGCTAGATATGTTTTGCGTTGCCTCTTTTGAGTCGAGCAGCAAAGAAAAAATGTAAAATGAAAGCTAAACACAACAACAAAAGCGGCAAGAAATAAGAGCATGACTGATGCCGCACAAACAATCGAAGCTGAAAAGTAGAAATGCGGCAAAGCCATGAACATTTTGCGAGCAAGCGATCGAGCGAGCGAACAGTGCATAACTACTCCATAGAGTGTAAGCTCTGCCTCGGGGCGAGCATGTACATATTTATATTGAGAGTCTTCATCATCGTTCTTGCTGTCTTTGGTTATATCTTGTGCTGAAGCCGACGCCGAAGCCGTAGCCGTCGCCGCTTTGTTAGTGAGTTTCTGCAGCAGCTGCTACTGCTGTGGCTGACAATAGTTAGACAGCCTGCAAGTTGGCCAAAAAGCGGTCAGAGACCGACAAAAATTTTCAGTTTAACCGCGATTGCCAATCGCTTAAGACGTTTTTGAAAATCAACCACTTGCAGTTCGTGCGTTTCATTTCATTACATATAAACAATTTTTTTTTTTTTTTTTTTTGAAAGTTTAATTGTGCTGAAGTCGGTCTTGAGTATTTGCCGTTTTTTCTTTCTACTTCTTCACAGTTGGCACTCAAGTTCACTTGCATATTTACTAGTTCGTAACAAAAAAATTATAAAAGCGAAGTTGCAGTTGTAATAAAATAGCAATTAAAATATACTTAACGTAATTCGCTTATAAATATTTATATATGTACTGTGTGTATGTGCAACAAATCAGTTAGTGATTTTAAGTGTTCGAAAGAAAAAAATATTGGCAAGTTTTTTTTTTTTTTTTGATTTCTTTTCACACTAATTTTTGAAATCGAAACAATTTTTACTACATATCCGTGTACTTATTATTTAAATTAAACTCCTGTACATACATAGCTACGGACATTTCTTGCCATTGCTAAGTCCGTGTGCACAAAATGAGTTTGGGCGGAGAAAAGTCGTTCAAAATGAAAATGCGCGACATGGAAAACGCTTTCAAATATCGCCGAATACCATATCCCAAGCGGTGAGTAGACACTTTTTTTCTGTTTGATTTACTAAATCGGGCATATCATGCTAGTCTCCATACAAGTTGGTACGTACGTATGTATGTATGTCTATCGTATGTGTGCTAGTGAAACTAGCGTTACAGGAAATATGTAAGGCATCTAATGCACTTAAATGCCAACAAACATCTTTGAATGCATGCTCCTGTAGAAAATCGGAATATCGTAAATACTTTCATTTGAAAAAGGCCAAAAGAAAAAAATAACGGTTTCCTGGTGGCCACCAGTTGCACAACTCAGCAATTGACCAATTTTTCGCGCTCTCACCCATTTACAATAAATTGAAAGAAAAACAAAAGACAACACTTAGAAAAAGTAGATAAAACCCACTAAACTCGAACTGAACTGAAGTCATCAAATAATAAAAGTGATTGCATGCGAGAGTAGAAGAAGCCATAAAGCAATAGAAAATTTGTACGCTTGTACTGCTAACATAATGACATTACAAAAATAAAAGGCAAGAAAAAGAAGTAAAAATTTGTGGAAAACGAGCAAAAACAAAAACAAACCCGTTGAAAGCATTAGAAAGCACCAAAAAAAAAAAAAAAAATAAGCATTGAAACTATGAGTACATATTTATGTATATACGTATGTATGCGTGTATATGTGTGTTTGTATGTTGGTAACATAAAGTGGTAAGTGAGTTGAGCTTGCAGGAGGGGTTGCACCAAATTGATATCACCTAGTTTCGAATTAAATGAAAACCGGTATCAATTGTTTTAGACGCACACTTTATCTGGGCATAAACATAGATACCTAGAAACATACATACATACATACAATCACACCGACAAACTTACCAACAGCACCATTTTTAGCTAAATAAAGTTGAAGTTGGTGGCTATTGCAAATAATAATAACTGGTTGGTGGCTATGTAGTGCAAATATGCGTATATTCGTATGTATGTATATATGTATGTATGTATGTATGTAGGTTTGTTTGAAGGCAAAACCTAATGTACACCTTACTTACTATGCTTGTGAAAAGTGAATTGCACTTTATAAAAATACAAACAAAAATGCACACATAGACGTTCATATATGTATACAGACTAATATTTAGGTATATCTTTGTTTAGCCGAACTAATGCTGTGCTACTAGCATCCAGTTATTGGTGAAATTTTCTGTCTTCGAAGGCTCTTAATTTTTCAGTTTATGCACACAAACTGGGGAAAAGTGTTAGTCATACTTTTTATTTCATTATTTATTACAATGCTATATAATTTGCAGATTTATGTAGGTATGTAGGTATGTATTATTATTTAAATAATTGGCGCAAATTATTGTAGTTAATGCAAGTAAGTTGCTGTGCAGGAAATTTGAATAAGTTTTTGCGTCAGCCGTGACAAAAGCATAATCACAGTTATATACATACACACATATATATATATATATATGAATGCATATCATATATGTACATACAGAGATATATGTAAGTGCGTAACCTGCACGTAATCTACTTAATTACGATCGCACGTTGGCAGTAATCACATACATATGTACGAGTGTATGTATACATTTATGCATGTATATATGTAAATTACCACTCAACGTCATCAAATGTTTTTTTTGTTCATGGAACTACCGTTTTTGGAATTTTTTGAATTTTCTGTGCGCCTTTTTGCTGCATTCTTAAGCATTTTCAATGATTTTCATTCAATCATTGTTTTGGCTGACATTCTAAAAACTAGATCAATGCAATCAATCACCATCGCCACAATGCGCAGTGAACTTTAAATTTATTATACGTAAAAAAAACTTATATTTTTCATGGCAAGAATAGGAAATTTTGACATCTTTGTTTAAAACCGGGTTTTTTGCCTACTGAGAGCATTTAAAAGGGTTCAGCAAAACTTATAGAAGTGGCCGACTGCATGTATTATCTGCATAAGATGGCTTAATTTGCATTAACTTCTCCTCTTATAAATGCAGATCTGAATGCAATAAAATTTCGTGTATTCGAAATGCTTTTGCGAATGTCAATATGACACAGCAGCCCAATTTGACAGTTTTTGTACTTATGAATGAAGAAGCTGCATTAACTACTTCATAAATTATTTTGATGTTGTTTAATGATTTCGGAAAAATAGTATTAAGTGTTCTTTGAAATAAATAGTTTAATATAATAGTTAAAATTCGCCAAAAACCTAACTTCTAAAGTTTTTCATTTTGAGCTCAAAGTTTTTGTCAAATCAGCTGATAACTAAATGCACTTATACATACAAATGCTGTGTGTGAGGAGTAAAACTCTCATTTGCATTTTTGCCATTTAATGCAGCTTACACTCAAAGCTTGATATATGTCAAAAGCTTTGATTATAGCTTTCTATTTTATAATCTTGTCATGCGAATTTTAAGAGTTCCTTCTAAGCCGACAAAAGAGAATACATGAATGTACATCTAAAGCAGATCAAAGTGAAAAGCAACATAAAATCCTTTGAGTCCAAGGGTATTTTTGAGTGCCCATAAAGTAGAGCAGTTCGTGTATCCTTAGATCAATTAAAAGTTAGGGTACATCAGGGAGTTCTAGTAGCTCAATGGTTGGTAATTCTGAAATGAAAAAGAAAGGTCCTTCGAAAACTTTATCACCAGTTTTAGAAGATACAGTCGGTCCTGCCGTTTATTGCATGAAGATTAGGATGAAGAACACAAATTCGAACAGAACGAACAAAATTTGAAACAATTAAATATCGATTTGCTTTTTCCGGTGTTAAACCCGAGCAGAGGAACTTTATTTACAAATTATACATTTTTTGCTACAAACCTGCATTTTGGTGAGTTATAGTCTGCAGATTTTGTTTTGATCCGAAGTAAGGGCCATACCCAGAAAGTAAGTGTACTGAGGCTCTCACGGCCGGAGGGACTTCATTGTACACGTTGAGAACTGAACTGCCGGCACGACAGCAAGCTTCGTAAACAATGTCAATCTAGTCTCCCGCTAAATACGTAATACGTTGCGTGATCCATTATCAGTTCGGAAGGGAAAACCTCCGTTAGGGATTTTTAATTAGATGAAAACTGTATGTGGTGATAAGGATATGAATCGTATAGCCTACAACTGGTGACGGGAGTTTAAAAACAGTCGTATGTCTGAATGCATGATAAACAAAGAAGCGAAAGACCTTCAATCTATTCTGGCCAAATGCAAGTGCCCAGAATCATCCCACGCATTCCCTGATCTAACATCTTCAGATTAGCATTTCTTTACCTTCTTGGAGCTGCACATTGGTGGGAAAAGGATTTCAACCGCCGAGAAGTTAAAAGAGGAGGAGGAGAAAGTACTTTAAGGAAGGCATACAAAAATTGATACGCCGCTTGACTATCGACATAGAGAGAAATTACGTCTATGTCGAAAAATAACTATCATTATGTACTAAAGAAAATACCTACGTGATCTTTATTTAGATATTAATTTTTAAAACCTACCAAAATTCAATACAATTAGTTTCCGAATATGCGTCGTATATAAGTACCAGAACGAGAGTAGGAAGATGCACCAAAATGTACACCGAATGGATCAGACTAAGCTGAGATGATTTGGTAATGTTCGCCATTCCTTGTCGATCTATCTGCCCATCTGTTTGAAGGCATACTAGTCCCATAATTATTTTTTTTTAATATTTCAACCAAATTTGTTGCGCAGATGCCAGCCCGAATGACTATATCATAAACTCCCCCACAATCGATTTCTTTAGATATGAAGTTTTAGACTGAAAAATCATCAAAAAAAAAAAACATTTGAAAGCATGACATTTGGTACCCCACACACATATGTACAAATAGATATAGACGCATAACATCAACGATATCTGATATGTTCGGCATGGCTGCAGAGAGCGCTTCTTGCCTCTAATTTTCTCGAAAAAGGTCAAGTAAGCACAGTTTTAAACTAGCTGCAAGAGCTAAAGCAAACCCATTCATTGAGAATAGTGTTCTCAAGCACAGTCACCCTCCGGAACTGTGAAACATTCAATTAACTTTTGATCTCAAGCCGTTTATTTGTGTTATGAAATATTCTAACATTACGTTTCAAAAAAAAAAATATATATATATATATATTATATATTTATTTATTGTAGCAATTTCGTTGGCAATTGGCGCTCAACCGAAAATCGTAAGCTGTTAAGCATTTACTTGCATGCCCTTGTACATTTCAAGACTTTGCAGCGGTTTTTGTTTGTTTTTTTATATGATCTCTGGTAACAGCTCACAAATACCGTCTGAATCTTTTTCTTACATCAAAACTTTCAAATAGACAACAAAAGTACAATTTTCGTCTCTCTACCGTAGTTTTGCATAGGCAAATGCTGTATAACGTACATGTGTACAATTGCATATATTCGTGTTTGCACAACTAACCGTTAGAGATTTGTTAGTGTAACTCAGCTTCGAATTGATTATCATTATATTGCTCTCGTCACGGCTTTTTGCAAATTTTCTCCTACGAATTCGCTGTTGGTTTCTATCTTTTTTATACTTTCTGGGTGTGTGTATGCGATTGTATGTGTGAATATATGTGTGCGTTTGTGCAAACACTTTTTTAAGTAAATCTTGCTAATTTATATCCACTTAAAAGAGCATTGTAAACTTTCACAAGTTTTGGGTGTCATCTATTACTAAAATTAAAAAAAAATGAATTTAAAAATATTTTGAAGATTTTTACTTGCGATTATAACACCCACGCACTACAGCCAAATTGGTTTATTTTAGTGAAATATAGGTCAAAAATGGTTTCAATTTCACTTATGTATTTATTAGGAGATTGTTAAGCAACTAATTTTAATGAGCTTATGATTTAAGTTTAATAACTTACGTAACGGTTTCATTTTATTAATGACAACAAATAAATTGTATATTCATTATTTTTAAACCAAAGAAGGGTAAATGAAATTTGTGCATTTCTTTTTTCAAACTATTTACTAATTCTTCTTCTTCTACTCCTCCATTGGAGTACGCACCGCTTACACGATTATAGTCGGATCAACAATAGCGTACTATTCGCGTCTTCCTTTGGTAGCTTGGCGCCAGTGCGAATACCAAGTGAAGCCGTGCGCTCTTCAGATGATTCTTCCAACGAAGTAGAGGTCTTCTTCTGCTTCCATAAATGGCAACTACATCAAATACTTTCATAACTGTGGCACTTTCATCCATTCGGGCGGCATGACTTAGCCAGCGGAGTCGCTGTCTCTTTATTCGTTGAACTATGCTAACGTCGTTGGCGGCCGAAATAGTCGAATACTAACATTCAAAAAACCAGGGTTCGACCAAAATACAAAAATGTTAGAAATTAAATTTTTTCAATTGTGGTCGCCACTCGGCAGAGAATTTCAAGACCTGCGTTTTTATTTCTGACATGAAAATCAAACTCAAATAACTTTTTAATAACTAATATATTAAATAAAAAAGTTCGAGAACAATTTTATGTTTTTAGAGGTTTTTCAAATGAATAATATTTTTTGGGGAAATATTATTTGTTATGCAATTTTTTGTTTATTTTTCAATTATTAATTTTTCTATAATGTTACCCACTTACGAATATCCTGCCGGGCTGAGTCCTGTATAATTTGTTTTATTTTCAATTAATAATAAGAAATCATATTAAAAAATATTTTTAAACGAAAACCCAACTTGCTGCATAACTAAGTTCAAGTAAAAAATTCTAATTAATCATGCAGCATTCGCGGAGATAGACCGATAGACCGCGGTTCATTGAACCTAAAAGACAAACCTTTTTTTTTGTGGAAAAAATTTCATTTCAAGTTCTCTACTATTACAAGTAATACTCGCATGTAAAGATGTGTGCATGTAAACCGGTCGAGTCGACCCTTACCTTCATTATTCAAATTATTATTGACGATTCATCGCTGCTTTGGCTGATCACTTAAATAAATTATTGAGAAAAAAAAACAACCATAAACTATTCGTGAAGAGGGTAACGGGTGCTTGAACTTTTCTATTGCTAATCTGCTGTCGGTCGAAAAAAAAAACAAACAGACAATATACTAGTACCGAAACATACTTTGTTTTTAGTTCTTGTTATCGTTTTTGTTTATTTTTCTTCACAAGTTTTTGCTCCTGCGCAACTAAATTATTTTTACCGCCATCTCACCTGCCTTGCGGCTGTTAGCAAGCGCGCATTGCGATTTGGTTCGCGCTGGTATGAGTTCAAAGACCTTTTATTTTGAATATGTTAAGATGCTTATTAATTCTTAAAGAGAAATTATTGTTTGTTCTAACAAAGGCGACCACTGTCACTATATCTGATTTCTTCCTCTTCTTTCGTTTGCTTCATTAGTTGGGTAAAAATAAAGAAAATGCTTATACATATGCATGCCAAATTAAATCTGCTCCCGTACGGCAGGTAATGTATGTATGTATTCTAACCTCTAAAGTAAATAAGCGTTTCGCCATTTCATAAGTTAACGATTATGTTGGGTTATGAAATAATTTGTCTTATTTAATATTCTAGAAGAAATATGTGTTTGATATTGAAAAATGTTTCGGTATTTGAAAAATATGTATAATCAAAATATTTTTTGTGCACATACTTTTTATGTTCACTGTTGCTAAAGAAAAAAATAAAAAAATCTTCATCAATTTATCTATGACTTGAAATTTTTGAAACGTTTGGTTGGGTGTTCTGGGGTTGTCAAATGAAATAATAATCCCACCTGTTGGCCAAAGTTGGGCGCTTCTGCACGATTGCTCCTTTCAGACTCTCCAATTGCTGCCAGCACACGATGCAATTGAAAGTTTGGGTGCAGGTGATCAGCTCATAGTGGATGATATCTTGACGATACCACCAAACACATAAGAAACCCATCCTGGCCGTCAATTCAGTTCCTGAGTGATCGAAACAATGCTCGTATGACGGTCACTCTCGACGATTTCCATTATTTTATCGACATTTTCAACAATTGGTTTCCGAACCCTTGAGCATCTTTTACATCAAAATTACTGGAGCGAAATCGACAAAACAAAAATTATGCCTGATTGACTGTTACAGTATCAGGACCAATATTATTCACATTTTCAGCTGCCTGACTTGTCTTTTCGCTTTTATTTAAGAAAAATCGTACTATTTCTCTTTAATAGTCTCCATTTTTGACATGCGCTCAAACACAACTGAGTTAAGTAATCGATATCTGTTTTGGTGCAAAATATCGTCTTTCTAATGCCATCTAACGTTATCGCACTTATAGGACGCGAGATACAGATCGCTGAGAACCGGCCCGACCTGATCGATATGATCTTTGCGGCTTACCTTCTTTAGTACCTCTGTTAAATCCGACCCCTAAATGTTTTCCCTTAAAAAATATATGTGGAAATCGTTTTCGTATCAAAATTTGTATATATACTCAACACGCGGGCATTTGAGTACGACCCAGGTATGAATGATAAAAATATTGGTTAATAAGAAGATCGATTAAGCCTCTCCGAAGCTGTCAAATAAAGACAGATTTTTGTAATTATAGTTAATACCTAACGATTTTCATATTTCTTGCTTCACAAAATTTAATTTCAATTTCCTAACGCTGGGATAGATTAATTATTATTATTATTATTATTATTATTGTTTTTAGTAGTTTCCAGGTAAATTTATGATTGCAATTTTATCTTTTATTTTCTTTTACAGTTCCATTGAGCTCATCGCTATCTTGGCGATATCGTGCACATTTTTTCTTTTTATGCACACAAATAAATTAAACAGTCGTCTAAAAGAGATGGAAATAAAATTACAGCCATCGGAATTCTCGGCACTCGGTCTAACTGGGAATCATATCAATTCAAGGGAGTCAGCAAGTGAGTAAAATGAAATTATTATTAAAATTAATAAAATTAATATCATAAATATTTAAATAAATGCGAATTCCGGAAATTTACTTTTTTTACTGTAAGTGCGCATAACCTGTTAACACCTCTGAAGCCTTGATATTAGGATTGAAAGGTTAAGTTGAATCTCGGGAAAGTTAATTAAATTGAGTCCAAACAGTGAAACTAGGAAAAATAATCAAAAATTTTCTGAGTTTATTTTCTGGAAATTTTAAAAATTCCAAACGTGCTGTTCAGAAACCTAATAATAAGGAATGAAGGTTCTGGGAAAAAACGTTTAAAAAGATTTTTCATCGAGTAACTAAACTCTAAACAGTTGGGATTGCTTTTATGAATAATCTAATTAATAAAAATTGTGATTAATAAAAATTGTGACTAAATAAAAAACAGGTTTCCAAAACAATATTTGTAAGTGCTAAAGCTATTTTCGACCGAGCTCTAATTCCAATTTGTGGATTTGCGTCTTGATGTTTTTCCAACAAACTGAGGGAGAGACGGACAGTTTATATAAAGTCAAGTTTTTTTTTGATGAGAAGCTTTTATTTCATACACACAATTAGAAAATTTAAGTAAAAATTTGTATTTAAATTAAATTTCTATAATTTTTTTGAGTTAGTACGACATCAGGATTTGAACTCGAGCCTTCCGAATGTAAATACTCTATGCTAAACACTCGGCTACCGCGGCTGCCGCTTTTGTTTTTCTTAAGGAACTCAAAAAATGTTGGCTATAGCCTTTTATATTTCAATATCACAACTTTTAACAATTTTTTTTTTGGAAAATCATACTAACTGTACATTAATTAACTTCCTTTAATTTCAGGGCGGGATAATATCAACACACTACATGGCACCTATCAATACCTAAAAAGTACCGGCCAGGTAAGTTTGAAGTTTTATAAAAAAAAAAAAGAAATCTCAAATGAAATACATTTTGCTTGAACATCGTAACCATTATACATCAAATCGCCGTCAGTCGTGCAACAAATCCATTTCATGGTGTCATGGTGTTAGAAACATGTCGTCTTGGTTGCAGTTATATATCGTCTATCCTTCACATAAACCATAAATTCTACGGGTACCACTGATCGCTCTACATAACTGCGTATGTATATATGTCTAAATTTGTTGTCGAACGCATTTACATTAATTACCAAAATAATAGTCTGCGTTGGTGATTGCGACGAGCTTTAAAGACGATTATGCGCATTTTTTCGAATTGCTTGAAATAAATAGTGCAAGTATTTATTTCATTTTTTTTATTCAAATAATAATGAAAAAAATAGTGAATTTAGTTTTTAAATAAGTATAATTTTTATTTTCGAAAACTTATTTTTTAATAAATATATAGAAGGATAATTAAAAGTGTATTTGGTAAAAATAAACAGAAAAACTTGCCGATACATAAAAATCAGGTGAAAGCTGCTTACGTACGGCAACCGACATTATCGCGACGGAAAAGCTTTTATATTTATATATAGAAATGTAATCGATCATACAAATATGTATTTGACTTGTCTAATATGCTGCGTAGATACAACATATACCAAAAACACATTTAAACATTTACATATTTACATCATTGGCATTAAACATTTAGTGGAAGACTTTTTGGACACTTAAAAATAAATACAAACTTTACATTGCATACATTAAAGTATTCATTTTTTTTCTAAAAGAATATGCACACATAAACATACATACACACACACATGAAAAACTCACTCCACTCAATTCTCTGCTATCAACGCGCACATTTGAATGCATAAAAATTCGCCGCCTCAATTCTTTACCATCTCTATCTCTTTTTGGTCGCTAGTTTACATACTTTTTACAAATACTGTGTCTGTACGCTCCACTCCACCACTATTCTATTTGGACTATGCCTTTTTTGCATGCCCTGTCTTTGGCCACTCACTAACCTTTCAACTTTGTGTCAGGGTCTTTTAATTGAATTTGAAGAAAAAGTGAAAATAATTAACAAAAAGCGAAAATTAATAAAAAAAAAATATTGAAAAATTGCAAGGAACTTAAAATACACACCAAGAACAACAACATCGTTATAATTATGCGGTTCCAATGTAAATTTGCCAGCAATTAAAAGTGTTTTCAGTTAAAATGCAGTTAAATTATTTCAAGGCGAAAATGATTTCAGTAAGAATTTATAAGTATCTGCAGCGCATTTGTTTATTCAATTACATATATAAATAGCGAGTAAGGGAATGAAAATAGCTGTATAGTATGTAAATTATTTAATATTTACATAAACATATATTTTTACCTGTACAACTTCTGACGGATAATTACTTTGCATGAAATGCAAAAGGAAAAGGAAAAAGTTTTGAATTTTTTCTGAAAGTGGGAAGAGCGCGTTATTAACTGAGAATGCTTGTATAATTATTAAGAACAATTTTTGGTTGTTTTGCAAGAACAAAGGAATACACAAATATATATTTTTATTTCTTAGGAATTTTTTTTTTTTTTGTATTTAGTTAAATCTCGAAAGACTGTCGAACTTGCTTACAAAGCAAATTGTTTTCGTTACACTATTTCATAATCGATTTTGAGATAAACCGGCTTAAACAAAGATTTTAGAGTAATCAGTAATCGAAATTCAATTAGTCAAATTCTGAGTAATAAAATTTTACTGGAAAGTAAAGGTGTCTTAGTCGTGTCGTGATTGTTTGATTCAGTTTGATTAACTACATTCCAATTAATCAGTTAATCTGACTGATTTCTAATTAACTCGATATTATTTCTGATTAACTGATTAATCGCATACCACTACACTCTTTTCTAATTTTCAAAAAGTGTTTTCAACATTTACTGAAATATATATGTATATGATTGGCGCTTTGTAACGCAATGCATGTGCATTAAAAGTCTAGTAATTTTTACTACGTCACAAAAGCTGTTGCCGCCAGCGGTGGTAGGCACCAAATCTGCTACATTACCGTGACCTTGTCTGGAAGTATAGAATTTTTGCACATTTTCAAGATCGTTCAGTAAAGTGGTTTGACAAAAGCATGGGTAGGTCAAAATGTTGTATTTGCACGATTGTGTTTATAAAAAAAAACTGCAGTTGGTAGTTCTATGGCATCTTGAATATCGCGTGTCATCGTCTTCATAGTGGCTTCTTGCTGTGGCTTTACAAATAACGTAAACTAGTATTTGTTGTTGCTGTCGCCAACATTTTCCGGTTGAATGAGAGGCAACAAGTTTTATTTGTTGCATAGGTTGCGCTTGAAAGCATCTCCATATATACTTACATACTTACATATTATTGAATGTATGCAATGAATATTGCAATAAAAAAGTGACAAATATTTGTTTATCGATGTCAATGATTTTATTTTATATAAACTTCGTTTCACTTGACTGTTTTATTAGTTAATAAATATTTTTTGTAATTAATCAAAAACGAAATAAAATATTAGGGCACTTTTATTTAATTGATTTCTTCGGATCTCTGACAGGGGTTGAATGAAATGAATTTTTTTTTAATATCTACAAATATAAATTAGTATATACATATTAATGTTTATATAATTAGTTATATAAGCATACATATATATACATACATTTAAAATCTTTTTATTAAAGTGCGATACTTTCGAAGCTTTTAAATTGCTTTTGTTCATTTTTGGTTTTATTTCGCTGAATTTGAAATACAAACCTATGTATGTATTTGGTATTTTTTACACTTGTGGTTTTCAATGATACTCAGTTTGGTTTGTCATTTCATAATAAACAGACTAACTCCGCAACAACGTAAGCAAATAGTGCAAATTTATTAATTTATTCTATGGAAAGACAGAATCATTGGTCCATCTTTTGTCAACAATGAAGTCGCACATAATTTACAGTCAATACGGAGAGGCTATATTATATTTATATAATTGGCGCTTTTAACTGCTGAAGCGATTTTCAGCCGAGCTCCTCCTACAATTTGTTTGCGTCTTAATGTTTTCCCTACAAATGGAGCAGCCTACTACTATTATACTAAGCCGTCGCCGAACGCCTGATGGTTTTTTAAGAGAAGGGGTTGGCATTTCCAGCCGTGGGGCGACCGCAATTAGATAATTCAACATAATCTTTAGATGTTGGTAAGACAAGGACTCGAACCCTGGCAGTACGCACTTTTCTATCGCGGCCGAACTCTGTAGAGCTATGATTAATTACTTTTCAGGCCTGAATTGGAGGAAGGAAATTTTTGGTGAGCGCATTGTATCGCGCCACGCCTCAGTGTGACTATTTTCTGCGAGGTTAAGTGTAGTCGCTTGGCTGGGTAGATACGCCAGATGCGATGGACGTTTGGGAAGAGAATATTTGATGCGTTATTGCTGACACAGAATTCCAACTCCTGAACTGAAAAGTGTTCGAGAAATGGGCTTGGTCACTTGGCCGAAATCATTTTTACATTCTGGTCATATTATGATGCCAGGAAAATGTTTTTTGTTTATTTTTATTGTCAATATTTCGAAATTCTGTTGATAATTTTGTATTCGAATATTTCTTTTCGTTGATAAAAATTATTAAAAATTGGTGAGTATTTCATATTAACATTTATGCGTATGTTATAAAATTCAAAAGTAATAGCTCTGGAATTTTATTTAAATATACAATTGGTCATGCTTGAATGCTTAAATTACAATAAAATTTGTTTTCCAAATATTCCGCTGACTTAGCTTAATATTAGCTTGCTTTTCGGGTAATCAATATTTCGAAACTAAAACCAAACCATCATATATTGCACGAAAGTACAAATTTTTCATTTGTATACGACAAAGTACGAATATCCCTAAGAATCACTCTATGTTTCTCTTTCTCTCTCTCTCTCTTTTGCGCTACATTCGGAAAGTTGCCCGACCTAACACCCGACAGTGTCAACACGACAATAAAAGCAGAAGTAGAAATCGTCTTCTTTAACCGTGTACCAAAAGTGGGTAGTGAAACATTGATGGCTCTCATGAATGTGCTCGCCAAACGTAATGGATTCGAGGCACGTCGTGATAAGCCCTCACCAATTGAGACTGTAATGCTCACGCCTACCGCCGAGCTAAGTGTAACCGAAGATATAATGGAGAAAGGAGAGGGAACAACATACTCTAAACATGTAGCATTTATAGATTTCGCGAATATAAATTTACCCTGGCCCATTTACGTCAATCTCGTACGTCATCCGGTTGAACGTCTAATCAGTTGGTTCTACTATGTACGTGCGCCGTGGTATATTGCAGCACGTGCTAAGAATTTCCCAAATAGTTACAAAGTACCAAGCGTAAATTGGTTGAAGAAAACTTTCGATAATTGTATATTGGAACACGATAGGGAGTGTATTTTTGCCCAAGGCGTCGAGCATGGTTTGGGCGATCATCGTCGTCAAATGCTATTTTTTTGTGGCCAAAATAAGGAGTTGTGTATGTGAGTAAGAAATTTCCATATTTGGTTTTGAAAAACAATCAACCAAAAATTCTAATTCTGAAAATCTAAGTCAGACATTTTTTGGCGAAAACTTTATACAACGACGAAGCGTTGTTATGCTTGCGGAATGAGAGAAAGGATCGGAAATAAAAATATAACTAATTCCTATATATCAATAAATTTTCCTGGAAGCCGGATCCAGTTTTCAGATCTCCCAATTAATCAATTAATTTTTTTTATACCCTGATAAAAAATGTCTCTTCTTTGTCTCTGTTCTCTTATTTTGAAAATACGCCACAACTGCACGATGAGTCAGCCCTTTTTCCATTTTTGGAAACGGGTAATAATCAGTCCGAGCCTTGGTTGCATGGTGGATGTCTCAAAATATCTTGTTTTTGAAGAGATGTGAGCATTTTCGACACCCACATTGCGCTGACCTTAGCCATGTCATCTTGGCATGGCAGGACTTTAATAATGGTTGTAAGAGATACTAACTGTACTCGAATTGTTGTTTGTTTAGCCGAATATCGTCGAGAAGAATTTTTTCATTTTTTGTTAGTTCTGGCGTGGTCCCCTAGATGCCTCTGCCTGGGTGGACTTAAAGGGACTCACTTGCTTCATTAAATAAACATTGCATTAAACTTGTACATTACGGCTTTTCCGGATAAGAGCTGCCGTAAACCAAGGATTTTTCTTGCATGGTGAGGAACTTTATAACGGATTACGTTATTTGGTTGACGAAAACTCGAAAACTAATTGTCTAATAACAATGAAACATTATACAATACTTACACTAATTGTGAGTCACTGAAAACACGTTTCGATCCTAATGAGACTACTCAGCGCTCTACAATTCACTCATTCCGTGTAAATAATTACGCTCCATCGTTCTACACCTAATACATGGATCGCTCGTGATAATTTTTCATTTCGCCTTTCATTTTGCTTGTAGGCCCTTCAATTCCTATCACGCAATGCAGCGTGCTAAGCGTAATGTTGAAAATTATTATTCAGTAATCGGAACTTGGGAGGAAACGAATATTACACTGACAGTGCTGGAACATTATATACCGAGATTTTTTGCAGGAGCAACTGAGGCATATTACAGTAATTTAACTTTTTACATATTTCTTTTTACTGAGGAGTATATGCTTCATACCATACATATGTATATATATATATGCCCTTGGCCGGAGTTAATCGAAATAAAAGTACGTTTACATAAGTATGATTAGCTAACTGATCTTTCTTGCATAAAAAATCTGATAGTCATCGCGACTATTGCTAATTTAATCTTTAAATAGTACCCTCTCTTCCAAAGGAACAGCCGATTCTGAAATATTTCGGTTACTCTATATGATTTTTCAATTCAATTTTTACGTTTTTTTAATAAATTTTTTTACTTTAACCAGAATAAATTGCATTGTTGTTGTATGTTGGTATGTCATATAAGCTTCCGTTTTTTTTTTGAAAAGCTTTCCCACAAATTCAGTTGTGAGCTCATTTATTTGACTTATAGTTCAAATATGGAAAAGTATTTCAAAAATTAAGCCCGTGGCACGCAGCTGCCAGTGTTAAAGCTTGTTTGTGGCTTCTATGAATTTAATTCACTTTGACTCTATATTATTCCATACTCTTATTATTACTATTTTCAGGGGCTGAAAATCGTCTAAATAAGGTTAATAGGAATTCCTTTAGACCCAGTGCCTCGGAGAAAGTTCGTGATATATTGAATAAGAATTTAACTAATGAAATTGAGTTTTATAATTTCTGTAAGCAACGTCTTTATCGGCAATATATTGCCATAAACACTTTGGAATTTAAATAAATTGACATAATATTATGCAAAGTGTGTATTTTTATAAACAATTTGCCACGAAGTCGTCTTCTGAATAAAAGTTTCGGAGATATAGTATTTGGAAGATGTACTCTCAAAGTCAGGCAGGCGCAGCGCTTTTATCTCTAAACGCGTGCTTCTATAGATTTTCTTTTTAAATTCGTTTGTCGAAGTTATCGAAAGCTGCATAATCGATATTAATGCAGTTTTACACAGATATGTTTAGATAAAATGCAACGGGATTTGGACAAAGATTGCTTTTTTCCAAAGTTTAGCAAAATTTCCGTTTTGTTTGAAAACTTTTTTCTTTCGCTCAAATCTTGATTTATGACATTCTTTCTTTTCATCTCGGATTATCCTGTCGTGAGTTATGCTGTCAAAGCAGACGCACACAATTTTTTTTAGGGGCCACCAGAAATGCGGTCACGTTGGCGGAGTCGTGCACATTTTCCTTTGAAAATTCAGAAACTCAGAAGTATCTTAAGATAGTAAATAATTTGTATAAAATATTTTATTTTTTTTTATAAAAAATTAAAATTTTCATTACGAAGCGTTGGTTTTTAGGATTTCGAAACATGTTGATTTTGAAATTAAAATTTTTTTTTGTTTATTAAAATAGCCCTTTTTTACACAAATTCCCATTTTCAATTTGCTATATGCGAATTTGAAGAGTGATTTTTTATTGTATTTTAACGGTATTCATCTGTATTCTGTGTATACCTTCCGTAGTTTTGAGACTGTTTTTAGGAGTTAAATAATTCAATTTTCTTCAAAATCATAAACATACTAATCTTTCTTCAATTCGCCCGATTCAAAAGTAGTGATCGTTCAATCATTATGCTTAAAATGCTTTACCTCTTTGCTCATGAACGTACTTACGTACCTAAGTGTGTAAATAGTTGTAAATGGTTGGGGATTCAAAGCGCACTCATTAAGCAAAGCGAATTAAAAAATGAAAATATCTTAAAATCTACAATGAAATCAATTCTCCAACAGCGTAATGCGCGAAATGTACGCGAGAGACACATACACAGTCATAATAATGCCAATAATGATATTCATCACAATGATGCAAGGAATCAACACCAGCGTCAACATCAAGGACATTCTAGGCGCAGACATGGTCATCATGATGATCACCATAACAACCAACATAAGCTAGCACAAGGTGCACATATCAATAAATTAGATAATGATGATTATGATGATGGTAATGATAATGATAATTCCGCTGAAGCAAACGCGAACGACGACGACATCACAGCAACCACTTATGAGGCGAATATGAAAGAGCGTGGCCTAAATACCAAAGACTTGAACAACACCGAAAAGGCTGACATAGATTTGGTGTTCTTTAATCGGGTCGCTAAAGTCGGCAGCCAATCGTTAATGCAGCTGATGACACGTTTGGGTAAACTTAATGGTTTCTCAACGTCACGCGATAGTGGTAAACGTTATGAGACTGTTCTTATTGGACCACATCAGCAGCGTGAATTGATAAAGGAGGTGTTGACGAAGCCAAAGCCGCATGCCTATAGCCAACATTTGGCATATATAAATTTTAAACGCTTCCACCTGCCCCAACCCATCTATGTGAATTTGGTGCGGCATCCGATCGAACGTGTTATCAGTTGGCATTATTACGTACGTGCCGAATGGTATTATAAAGATATGAAGGCTAAATTGGGTGATCAAGCACCACCGAGACCTTCGGATGAATTTATGCAAATGGACTTGGATACTTGTGTGAAAACGAAAAATATTTATTGTCAGTTTAATCAGGATGAGATAGCAAATCAATCCGGTGATCATCGTCGGCAAACGTTATTCTTTTGCGGACAAAATAGAAAACTCTGCTTGTAAGTAGGTTGAAGTTTTTGCTTCTCGTTTTCTTTCTTTCGTTCGTTTTGTTTTTTTTTTTTGAGTACAAACAATAAATATGAGCGTCTAAGTAGATATGTGTAAGCGCATTAGGCTGGCTGGGTTGATCAGGAAAAAGTGGAAGAGATTGCAGTTCTGAGTTCTATGCCCTTTTCTTTAAGTCTTTGAGTTCATGAACAGCTGGCAAGATTTATTGTTGGGAAGTTTAAATATTTACATGGATTTCACAACTTAAAAAAAAATTATATTGTTTTTTTTGCCTTACTTATTTCTACGACATTACAAGGTTGATGTTTTCAAGGACGGCATGCAAGTTTCATACTTTAAGTCCGATCGATCGTTAAAAATTCTCCAAATCTGCTTAACCGATCTTAATGAAATTTTACACCTCCCGAAGTATTGGGCGAAGGATGACTTGTTTTAATCAGAGCTGTTAAAAAAAATTTTGAGCAAAGTTTACACAAATGTAAAAAATAATGCCAAAAAACTAACTTTCATTTTTCGTATGCTCTTGTCTAAAACAAATTTTTCTCTCTTTGTCCTGAGTCAACACAACGAGCCTCTTTTCCGAGGCGTCATCGGAAACGGCACCACAATGGCGGATTTTCGCACATTTTTATTTTGAAATTTTCAAAATTTCTTTTACGAATGTGTATCTTTAAATCAATAAAAAGTTTAAATAAAAAAATTTAAAATACACCTTATTTTCCTGAATTAAGCAATGTTACCCTTAATTGTTATAAGCTCAAGCAGTCATCTGCCGTCAATATCTTCCATACCTGCTTACCTATGAGAAAAAAACGTCCTATAGCGCTTTTATTAATCAATTATGTATTCGCCATCATGTTCGGCAATCCACTCCCAACGTTCAACCAATTTACGGATGCCTGATTCATAGAAATCGCGCGGTTTCTCGTTGAAAAAGGTGTCAAGGTGGTTTTTGACGTCTTCCACATTTTTAAATTTTTTTCCATTCAAATTGTTCTGCAGCGATCGAAACAAATGATAATCAGAAGGTGCAATGTCGGGTGAATATGGGGGATGCGGCATGATTTCCCAATTCATCTCCTTCAGTTTGGCCAGGGTCGGTTTTGCAACATGTGGCCTGGCGTTGTCATGATGGAAAAGAACTCCTTTGCGATTGGCCAAAATCGGACGTTTTTCATCAATTGCTTTCTTCAATTCGACCAATTGCTGACAATACTTGTTGGCAGTGATCGTTTCTCCAGCTGGCAAGAGCTCAAAATAGATCACGCCTCGGATATCCCACCAAATGCACAGCAGTACCTTCATCGGATGCAATCCACCTTTCGACATCGGTTCCGCCCCTTCGTGTGCCTGTTTCCATGTTCTTTTGCGTTGAACATTGTTGTACAGGATCCATTTTTCATCACCAGTCACGAGCCGATCCAAAAAAGGTTCGTTTTTGATCCGTCGAAGCAAAGAAATTGCTGTTGACATACGGTCCACTTTGTTTTTTTCACTCAACTGATGTGGCACCCATGTATCGAGCTTCAAAGTGTACCCAACCTTTTTTAAACGACGAAACGCAGTTGATTTGTTGACGTTCAATTCACTGGCAACCTCTTCCGTCGAAATACGTGAGTTATTCGCAACTAAAGTCATCAAGCTCAGAAGGCCGTCCACTGCGAGGTTGATCTTCGAGATTAAAATCTCCAGAACGAAATTTTGCGAACCATTTCTTTATTACTTCGCGAATATCTTTAGTTTCAGCGCCTACTGTTTTTCCTTTGCGGAATTCGTATAACATAATTTGACGCATATGATCTTTTCCGTTGTCCATCTTCCATGCGTCTTTTCACGAAGTAACTCAAATCAAAATGAAGTTATTTTATGCTTGATTTACGGACTGTCACCTTTCCAAGGATATATAATATGTATATATTTCTTTCACGAGCGCCACTCTCAAACGGTTCGAACGGCATCCAGCGGAATCGGGCACAAACTTATGCACTCATCCAATATGTTAAATGTTTCAGTCTATAAAGACAGTAAATACGAGTTTAGTTTTCATTTCTTTAGATAATTATTTGTAGCGTCAATGTAATATTTATTTTACCTGACTTTAGCTGCTTGAACTACATACTATATAATTATGCTGTTTTTTTTCACTCCCTTGTTATCGCAAGTAAGCACCAGAGAAAAATGATTCAATCTGAATCTTCACGCAAATCATGACAAGGTCTATGCCATTATTTTTTATATTTTAATGTACTGTTAAGCTTCTACAAAACAGGAACTAGCAGAAAAAGTTTTTCTAAATATACAAAAATTTCCCGTTAGTCTACTGCATTACTATGAAGTGTTTAATGCGTTTCCAATTCCTGTGCAAATTATTTAAAGAAAATTTCACTTATTTAAGTGCAAGAGTAAGCATTGCAGTTTGTCATGCTTTCACAATTGTTTTACAACGAATTTACTATGAAAAAGAAAAGCAATTTCATTACATATTTTTCTTCTTCTTCTTCGATGATATACATACTTATTTTTTTTTTGGTTTACAGTCGATTTTTAATGAAGGCGAGGAAAGAAAGAATTGATTAATGTTTGCGGTTTGCAAAATTTTGTGGTCAAGAAAGCTGTTCATGCAAACTTTGAATTGAAAGTAGAATGTTTTAGAATGTCTTTTATTTACATCCACTCTAATGCTGCTTACAAACACAGCCAAGCACAAATGCTGAATTTCTACGTAATTTTTGTTGTTCTCTTTGTTTGCACTCGCCATATGTTTTTGAGGAAAACATAAATTCAAATTACTCTATTGTTCTTCTTGTACTTCTTGTTCCACATCATTCTTCTTCCTCCACCTATATGCCTAAAGGCCGTTTAACTCAGCTGCAGCAATGCAGAAAGCCAAACGTACCGTGGAAGAAGAATATGCAGTTGTTGGCACTTGGGAAGACACAAACATCACACTATCTGTACTAGAACACTATATACCGAGATTTTTCAAACACGCAAAAGTCGTCTATCACAGTAAGCTAACATGAAAATTGAATTTATAGCGTTCTTCTGAAGACTTTTTATAAATTGTTGCCTCTTCGCTTTGTTTAAAGTAGTTCGAAGTCTTATAGAAAGTGTTTCATAAACATTTTAGACACATTTGTGTTCAACTAAAGATTTTAACGGGCTGAGAACTAGTTTTGGACATGCCGTGAGTCGATGAACTTTATGAGGGTCTTCAGTGTGACGGCATATTTTATAACCACAAAATATATCTACATAAATTCTCCATATTTCAGTGGGTAAAGAACAGTTGTCGGTGGTCAATAAGAACCCGGTTAAAAGACCGGTGAGCCAGGAAACACGTGATATACTCAGCAAGAATTTCACTAATGAAATTGAATTTTACGAATTTTGTAAACAGCGCTTGTATCTGCAGTACAGTACGATCAGTAATTTCGGCCGATTAGACAATGATGATTATGTGCTGATACCGGAACATAGTGATGATGATCAAATCTACGACGATGATTATTGAATTTAAATAGAATAGTCTCTTATATATGTTATGAAAAAGAATTTTCAGAATTTTTTATCTATAAAAAGTATTAGAAGGCACACAGTTAAACACAATTTTCTTTGCATTTTCTATTAATTTTTCGCCTTTCGTGCATGTTTCGCCCACACTATCATATATATTTGTCGAAGTGGTTCATAAAAAGCTTACAGCCATTTGAGTCGTTGAAAGTATTCGTATGCTAATGAATTCATTTCTATTTCGTCCAAAAATCTCCCAGCTGCATTTACTTAGGCCAAACAATTTGAATAATACAAAGTATGCCGAAATCGATTTACTCTTGTTTAATCGCGTGCCGAAAGTCGGTAGCGAACAGCTGATTGAACTTATTCGTCAGCTGAGTAGCGTAAACGGTTTCGGCGTAAGTCGTGCGCCATTTTCCGCGCCGGTACGTCAACGTCTCAATAATTATGAACAGGAAGAGCTAGCGAATGAAATAATCGACTACGATGAGCCCTACGCGTATTCAATGCATGTAAATTACATTGATTTTCGTCAATACGATTTACCACAACCGATTTATATAAATATGATACGTGATCCAGTAGAGCGGGTAATCAGTTGGTTCTATTATAAACGTGCGCCCTGGACAGCGGCGCAAATGTATAAACTGACTAAAAAATTTCGTAAGCCCCAGTGGTATAAGAAGAGTTTTGAAGATTGTGTTTTAAATGGCGAGATCGAGTGTCGTTATGAGATCGATTCGAAGTTTCAAAATACCGTAGTGGATCACAAACGTCAGACGTTGTTCTTTTGCGGTCACGATAAGAGTTGCGAGTATGTTTTCTATAATTTTCTTGCTAAGCTTTGAAAAAAAAAACACCGTTTAGCTGCTGATATTTCGTAAAATTATTGCAGGCCTTTCAATTCAAAAGCTGCCTTACATTTGGCTATGAAACATGTTGAGAATGAATATGCAGTGGTGGGTTCATGGGAGGATCTGAATGTTACTTTGAAAGTATTGGAACATTATGTGCCTAAATTTTTTCGTGGTGCAACAAATTTATATTTTGGTAATTTGAAAAAAGTATATAACGCGTTTTTGCATAGAAATTGAAACTAGTTGGATATAAGTTGATAATTAATTAATTTAATTATATCTCGTATGCGTAATGTATACCACTAAGGAAATTAATGACAATATGTAGTTATACAGAAAACAATAAATTAATAAAAATATAATGTAATATAAATTTTGAAGAATCTTTTTCCATGCGCCCTTATAAATTTTTCCAAGTAGTTTTGTGTTAATTAAAAATATGAAAACTTGGATTTGATTTGCTTTTTTTAAATTCGTACGAAAAGTAACCTCCGTTGAACTCAACAGTAATGAAAAAAAAATTAAAAAGAATATAACGGTAAATGAAAAGTTTAAAATGAAAATGAATAGAAAAACTGAACTCGACAAAATTTTTCGAAAAGAAATTGTTACATTTCGGTTCTCGCGCTCTGTTTAAATTCAATAACTGTTTGTTTTTTATAAAAATAATATTACAATTTAATTTTTTAATTAACAGTATTATTACTGTTTTGTGTTGATTAAAAAATAAAAGCTTTGATTTGCCAGCTTTTATGAAAGATAATAATAAGAAACCTTCTTCTTTGCTTTTTGGGCGGTGGAAACAACAAAAAAAAACCTAATTAAATTCCCCTAAATACAACGTATAAAAACAGAAAAAAACAAAATTAACAAGAAAATATTGTTGAAAGAAAAAATCATTCAAAAAATACATTTGTAAACAAAAAAGTGAAATGAAAAAGTTAGTAAATAAAACATATAAGCAACAATTAAAATTACCAATTTAAAATTTTTTAAAAAGTTGATAAGTTGATATTAATAAAATATATATAAATAAATAAGGAATATAAAAAAAAACAATGAGCGAAATGATAAAGTTAGTATATAAAAATTAAAATATTGTGAGATAAGAATTATAATTGAAAAAATATATAAATATGTATAAATTTAAATAAGCAATGAAAAAACAAGGACTAAAAAATCATAAAAACCTTAAAAAACAGAAATGCTTTAAAAAAAAAAGAATTTAAGAATGAAAACAAAATTTTGATAATCAAGAAATTTAACCTATAAAATACGATAATTAATTTAATTGGAATAAACTTTCGTGATAATTAGTTCGCAGACATTTTTTTCCTCATAAATGATATTTTCAACATTAAAATCATTAAACAACAGTTAAATTTTTATGCAAAAGCCTGAAAATTCAATTAAAAAAATGCATTTCAATATTTGTAACAACTTTTTGTAGACACTGAAATTGGTCTGGCATCGAAGCCAATGAATGTCAATCCCTGGAAACCGGTCATAAGCGCACACATAAAGGCGTTGATAAGCAAAAACTTTACTATGGAATATGAATTTTATAATTTTTGTAAACAACGTTTGTATAAACAATATTATGCTCTGAACAATTCATAAAATTATAACTGATCAGAGCAGGAAATATGTATGTAATTGTATAAAAAAGTACTAAATGCAAAATACTCACAAAAATACCTTGAACTATTATTAATAATTTAACAGAACTTTTTCTTTTGAGTTAGTATTTTTTTTATTGAGGAAGCTGATTCATGAAATTAACCACAATTCGCATTCGTATATGTGATTTCCGTTTTTTTTTTCTCGTTTTTGCGTGCCATAACCTGTGTATGCCATTCACTCAATTAATTGACGAGTGAGTGGCTGTTTTATGGTAGCGCTTCTTCTTTTTAGTTTTGTTGCTTTTTAAATTGCATACTACATTTTATAATCTAAAAAGTGTTAATATGAAGACAAACCCTTAAAATACGGAAAATGTAAAAGGGGTCATAAACATTAATTGCAATTTAAACCGATTTTGTTGCGCTCTTTCACTCATATCTTCATTATCTGCTGCCGCTTTTTATGCTTTACACGCTGAGCCGAAGATTATTGCCTTTTATTGTGTTGGTATTATGCAATCGTAATTTTGAATAAAAAGTATTGATTATAATGAATGAGAACATATATATATATATATACATTTAAATGGTGTGTGTGGGTGTGCACATATGATTGTATATAATCTATTCGCAACAATTGCGATTAATAATTAAAATCGTAATTATATGCTGTATGCGGTATTTATTATTATCGCATAAATTATATATTAATAAATAGAGAAGCAATGAAATTGAAAGTATTCATTTACGATTATAATGCAAATCGAGTTCGAGTCTTTTGAGGCATTCGGATAGCGTGCGCAAAGAATTTGTTGTTTTTTGCTGTAAACAATTATGACAAAATAATGCTAAAATTGAAAAGCAATTTGAGTCATAGTGCACGTGGCTTCTTTTGTGCTAAATAATTGATATTTTTTTAATTTATAGCATTTTTTTGTTTTAATAATTATTTATTTTTATTTTTCAACTGTCAAAAACGAAGGGTTCTCAACTCATCGGGTATATTTATTTTAATAAATTATTTTGATTTTATTATTATTTTTTGATTGAAAAGACTCTACCCTTTAGTTGGTCGCACAGAAAGTTGGGGAGAAATAGTAATCTCAGGAGTAGGAATGGGGAACGATTCATTGATTTCAACGTCTAGTGCCGCTGCACTCAACACCACACAGTCTGATTTCGATTCGATACGATTTTGTTTTAATAGAGTATACTTTAGAGTTGGTTGTACAGGAATTTAGAAAAAAGAGGGATAGAAAAGGGGGATGATTTATTGATTTCAACTAACAATCCCACTTAACTCGTAACCACTTAGTCCTATTGGGATACTAATATAGAAGAGAGGATATACTACGAAGTTTGGTCCAACGTAAACATGAAAAACAAAAATTAAAATTGTTACCGTAAATGGTTTTTTTTTGTTCATTACATGATACGTAAAAGTCAACAGAAATGTAGAATGCTGTTATTAATAGATTAGAGTTAAACAAAACTATAAAATAAAAGTTTAAAAAATGTAATCGCCGAAAAACTAAAAACTAAAAGCCAAAAGTAAATATATTTTTATTTAGCCTTAATAAATAAATTGTTAAAGTAATGTAAGTAATTCTTAATAATTCATTCACTCTTTTCGTTGCTTGGCGCCAAATGGAAATATCAAGTACAGCCAGTTCCATCTCCATCTGATCTTTCCAGCTGACCTGACCTGTGTAGCCCCTGTAACTTGGTTGGTTGAACTATGTTTGAGTCGCTGTATATCTCGTACAGCTTATGGCTTTATCGGCTGTCTTACTTGTCGTTTTCAACAAGTGGTAGGAAATAGTGAACTAAAATTCAAAAAGAACCGTGAAATCCTTGATGCAATTCTAACTGCTCCTTCCTGTCAACTCGCCTTACTTTGGATGCTGATTTATTGGAAATTTTACAGTGCTTCCTGTGCTCAAAGTAAATCTACATTTGGTTTCTTTTCATATGTACTCTATAAGACAGAGCTTTCATGTATCCGAAAAAATATTTCCCATCCAGACCCGCTCCTACCGCAGGCCATTCGGGTCGCTATCGCGCTTAGTTAGGGAACACGACATTTTCACACGAATCGACGCCACACCGACTCAAAATTACTGTGATATACTTACATTAGTTTAAGAATTTATTTATTCAAGATAAACAAAAAGTTGATTATATTTTGCTTTTTAGTTTTCCAGTTTGATTTAATGTTTTTTTTAAATAAAAATAGAAAAAATTCCCAACTGAATTTTTGATGTAAAAATGTAATAACGCAATGTACAACAAGGGGGTTGGTTCATCAGCAGGTTAATCCATGGAACTTTTCAATATTGCATTCTCCATTTTTGGTGTCCAGTTTCTAATGCATTTCAATCATAAAAAAACATTTAAATTTCGATGAATTAGTAGTTTTGATTACAAATACTTTTTCTTTCTTTTTCCCATCCAACCAAGCTGAATGAATTAACCCCACGTATGTTAAATAATACCGAAAAGGCCGAAATCGATATATT